TACATACATACATATACATACATACATACATACATACATACATACATACATACATACATACATACATACATACATACATACATACATACATACATACATACATACATACATACATACATACATACATACATACATACATACATACATACATACATACATACATACATACATACATACATACATACATACATACATACATACATACATACATACATACATACATACATACATACATACATACATACATACATACATACATACATACATACATACATACATACATACATACATACATACATACATACATACATACATATACATACATACATACATACATACATACATACATACATACATACATACATACATACATACATACATACATACATACATACATACATACATACATACATACATACATACATACATACATACATACATACATACATACATACATACATACATACATACATACATACATACATACATACATACATACATACATACATACATACATACATACATACATACATACATACATACATACATACATACATACATACATACATACATACATACATACATACATACATACATACATTACATACATACATACATACATACATACATACATACATACATACATACATACATACATACATACATACATACATACATACATACATACATACATACATACATACATACATACATACATACATACATACATACATACATACATACATACATACATACATACATACATACATACATACATACATACATACATACATACATACATACATACATACATACATACATACATACATACATACATACATACATACATACATACATACATACATACATACATACATACATACATACATACATACATACATACATTACATACATACATACATACATACATACATACATACATACATACATACATACATACATACATACATACATACATACATACATACATACATACATACATACATACATACATACATACATACATACATACATACATACATACATACATACATACATACATACATACATACATACATACATACATACATACATACATACATACATACATACATACATACATACATACATACATACATACATACATACATACATATGTACATGCATGCATACATACGAGAGAGGGAGAGTGGGGAGAGAGAGGCTTGGGGGGATGGGGAGGATGGGAGCAGAGGGAGGGAGAGAGGACGACAGAACACACAAGGGAGACAAGGAAGAGAGGAAGAAGGAGAAAAGGGAGAGGACAATGTCGGCGGACTGAGCCGGAGGCTCTAAAGTATGGAGCCGAATCGGGAAACAGGCAGAAACAAAGACTTACACACGGATCATAGTGATCGCGGCTGGCCACGTGTTTCCTATGGCTTCACGCTTGCGGATCTGCAAGTTGTCTTCGCATCGAATCCTTGGTTGTAGCATTCATTGAAGGACCTGGAAGTTCACTCTTTGCACCTTGACTCAACATGGTCGCCAACATGGTTAAAAGGCTGGCATGATTGGAGACCCCTGTCAGGATGAAGATCTTGAAGTATATCTTGCTTAAGCTTGTGTCGTGTTTGTGCTTTCGGCAAAGACTGTAGCCCTTCATCCCTCCAAATCATTGTGCGCGGACGCGTACCCCGCTGACCCTCCCCCGAGGTCACTGCGGACTCTTGGAGGCGATTTTGCAGCCCGCCCGATTAAAACAACAAACGCCCTGAAGTTCTCTGCAAAATGGCTGCTTTTGTTGACGGTATCTCTTGGGTCTCTTGTTTCAAATGGAAGCCAAAGGGAAAGGGCCTCGCCGTTGCCTGTGGGAACTGTCGCCGCGTAATGTGTCACGGCTCGCTCGTCATTGGTTGCGGTTGGTTGAAAGGGCTTCACCAGAAACTCACCTGCACACAAAAGCTGCAGCTTTTGGGAGCTTGATCAAGGGGCCCAAATGGAAAAACCCAAAGGCCAAAAGGGTAGGTACCTGGCAAAAGGACTAGCCAGCAACTCGCTGGACTCCGGAACCCTGGCTTCGGACAAGTCCCCAATGCTCACGGTTCAATTCCTAAGTGGCTTGGCCCAGCGAATCGTGAGGCGTTGCTTTGTGTGGCTGCGGCTTCCTTGGTGTGTGGCTGCTTGTGATCTGTCAAACTCTTCGTTTGCCGCTTTTGGTCTTCCGAAACTCAGGAAGCGAGATGATCATACCCAAAACTGGCCCTTCATGTATCCATTGGGCTCGAGTGGTCGCGGATGCGAACGGAGCTTTTCTCGGAGAAGCAACCAGCAAACCCCGGGGCGGTCCCACCTCTTCGGAGTATGGCAGTTGAAATCGATCGAAAGGCCATGGGCCCCCGGGTCCCTTTTCTGCCATTTATTTTGGTCAAAGGAGTCATCAAATGGCTGTGGGTCAAAAGCCCGTATACCCCCAGTGAACATCCCAATCCCCACTAAAATAGACTAAAATGGGTGGTGCACCTACCCCAAAATGGTACCATTGGTTTTGACTCACAGCCAAATCTGGTCAAGTCCACCCAAGTTGGCAACGAAAACAGAACTGCTTGCTTCTCGGCACTGACCTGGTGGTGTCTCCCAGGCTCGGTACCCCACATTTTGTGGCAAAAGGAAACAAAATGGGCAGCTGTTGAAGTCGCCAGTTTCTTTTGGGGAAACCAAAAGGACAAACCAATCGCCATTTCGGAAGTCCCATTCCAAAAAAACTTGGACGGGCCAGCCGTGAACTTGAATAGTTTTTGGCGACCTATGCGCTGAAGGAATGCGCCTCCTTGAAGCGAATGATGTTGGGATGATCCATCTTCTTCCTGAAGGCGCATCCACACGACGGGTCCTTCAACGACCGGGACCCGACAACCGAGACAGGGGTTTCAAAAACCCGTATGCTTGGTGCTTCTCTGTGTTGAAAAACACCCATGAGTGCTTCTACCTCGGAATCAAGGTCATTGATTCTGGTCCATGGTACATCCATTTCAACATAGACTTTAGGCTTCCCATCTAGGGTACTGCCCCAGCACAGCTCGGAGTTGAGTGGATTGGCAAAGAACATCTGAGATCTTGTTCATTTGCCGCAAAATCACTAAAATGGTCTTCCAAAAAAGGATTGAAGTCCAGGAACCCAGAGCTTGAGTACGATGTAGTTAAATTTCAGGTTGATCAAAGACCCAGCACAGACTCGGGCTTTCTTGTTGATTGGTCTTGTGCCATAACCCCGGGCTTACAAAACTCCTGCGAACGACAGTGGCAATTACATTCGTGTCTGCCTATACCTGAAGCCCTGATTGGATGGCTTCAAGGAAAACAACAACCAGAACCCACGAGGCGCGAAGATCTTGCGGTGCGCCCACTTTAAAACTTTTACAATCAAATTCATACCCGTGGTGTTCAACATACAGTAAAACCAACGCCCGCCTTGTCAGTAGAAACCAGACACTCACATCTGTCATGCGGTTCGTGGCCAAAAGAACACATAACATGCAAACACCACCACCAGCTTCCCTCCAATTAGTGGGTTTGGATTTGGCTCAGAGTTTAAGGGGCGGTTTCCCATTTATCCAGGGGTTCAATTCCCAGCACCGATCCATCAATTGGGGATAACCTGACACCAGCTGTCTAAGACGCTAAACAAAAACATGCAACATCCGCTTTCCTGACCGAGCCTCCCTAGTCCACAGTTAGTATTCCCTAAACACACAAAATCGCGATGGCGGAGCCCCCCTGTAAAGGACACCTACAGACTACCCACCTGACATTGCTCAAAAACCTCAAAATCAAGGTCAACCAACTGTTGCCCGAACAACAAGGGCCCTTTGCTGCCTTCTGCTGGCACCCCCCCCCCCCAAAAAAAAGGAAGAAAAAAAACGACCCCCCCCCCCAAAAAAAAAAAAAACGAGGAAAAACAACCAGAATAAACAACCAGCAGCAACGAAACACAAGCCACGGCCGGACCGTCTGTGCCCTTGGGACCCGGCAGCAGCATGGCCTCCTTGACCGCCTCGTTCCGCTCCTGTCAGAGATGGGTTGAAGCCTTCATCTCTTGAAGTGGGGGTGGGGTCGTTTTTTTGGGGGGGGGTTGGGGAGTGGGGGTGGGGGTTGATCCCGAGGAGCAAACATGAATGAGGTGGGGGGGGGGTTTGGGGACTTGCTTTTGGGGGAGTCTAAAGAAAAGGTCAGGTCCTCAGGTTGGATTGGTTTGCGGATCCATGGTTATGGGCACTGGGCAACCGCGGAACACCTCGGGCTCCAAACCGCCAAGAAGCTGAAAGGCATTTCACCGGACTTCCCAAAAGTTGCCTTTTTACTGGCACTTGCGGCGGTCCAAAAAAGGGAAATTCAGGGATCCCTTTGCTTGCTTTTTTTTGAGGGGGGGGGGGGGGTTGAGACAACACACATGGGGTATAATAATTTCCCGTGATGGCCCTTGAAAAACGGGTCATGGGGAGACTTCGAATCTAGGAACAGGCTGCCTGCGAAAGAACACCAATAAAACCGATGACTTTGACCTTATTGATCTCCCAAGGCTGCTGCGACGGAGGCTCTCCAATTGCGTGCACAAATCATCTAGCCGCCGTGCTGTCCACTTTGTTGAAGACTCCGTGGGCACATCTCGTGCGGAGCATAGCCTGGAAATATGTCAAAGCTTTCGCGAAGAGATGCTCCCGCAGCAATACATATTCAAGTCCATTAAATCGATGCGGGCATGAGTTTTAGTTGGTACGATCCTCTGGTGGGCACCATTTACGCGAGGGTCTGGTCCGCCCACACTTTTGAGGATCTCTTTGTTGAAATTCCGTCCCATGTACGCAAGTATTTGAAGTTGCGGTCGCATACTCGTAGATGGTTCGAACTTGTAATACTAGTGACATGAGCTGGGTGACCAGGTCCCGGCCGGGAAGGAAAACTTGGGATCCAATGGAGAAGTCATCAGCCCAGAAAAAGCCCTAAGGGTCCCAAGACTCACCTCAGTCAGCGCGGGAGAAGGAAGGCGCCTTGGCCTCCATCGCAGATGTCTCCATCTGCTTGACCACACAAAGCTCATTCTCCTGGCGCACTGGGAGAATGTCTCTCAAAACAAAAAGGAGACGAAAAAACCAATACTAGGTCCTCCAGTAGAGAGGTTAGAATAAGGGTACCAGCTTTTTTCTGTAGTCTATTTTAGTTGAGTAGCCCTCCCCCAAAAAAGGGTAAAAGGGCACTACTGGGGGACCTAGAATACTTGTCACATACCTCCAGGCATGGTGTCTTGTGGAAGACCTCCTGTGAATGTCTCTATCTTGCCCAGACCTCCAGTGACACCCAGCAGCAGAAAGAAGGGCTCCTGTTCTTGGCCGGGGTGTTGAAGAGACACCCGCCAAAGGAAACACAAGAACAAACATGCCGGAGAGAAACCCAATGGAATTGGCCCGGGCTGGGAAAGCCTTTGTCGGAAGTGTGGGAAAAAGTGGAGGGGCCAAAGCGAGGGTATGTGAGGGTTTTTGTTTCGCCTGAACAAATCCACCCGGTGGCTTCTTTGCCTTTTCAAAGTCAAGGTTTGCCCAGCAAAAAGCTTCCGCCCCTTTCCAGGTCGACGATTTTTCGACGGATCGGATTCCGAAAGGTGGCCGAAACCTTCGACCGCATCCTCGGTGTTCTTCACCAAATAGGCCTTCCCGAAGCTGCCCTTGCCCAAGACCTCGCCGGGCGCAAGCCGCGCAAGCGGCTTGCGGCTTGCGGCTTGCGGCTTGCGGCCGCTTGCGGCTTGCGGCTGGCCGTTGGAAGGGGTGGGGCTTGGACCCTGAAAGACGTTCGTGAAAAGGCTGGAAGCTTGGTCGCAGTTGACCCTTAAAGACCCAGACATCAGAGGTGATCGCCTTTTGGCGTCAGTAAATGGTTGCAGCCAAAAGGACAGATCCGGTCGATTCGCTTTGGGCAAGCGAGTAGTTTTCAACCAAGGCCAAGCACAAAGTTGGACGGTCAACTGAAAAGAAGATCAGCAAGATCGGGAAATTCCATAAACAGTTCCCAGAGCTTGATACGACTGGCAATACTGGACTGTTGGCTTCGCTGATCAGCTGAAAATCCAAATTGGTGGGAGTTGTTCGCTCCAAATGGAGCTGCAAGCATAGGTGTCCTTGGAACCCGTCTATTTCAATGCCCAAACTAACGGATCAAAAGCACAATGGCTCTGAGGGTATGGCTTCGCCAAGTTGAATGCAAGTAGAGAACTGACCATAGTTCCCGGGCGTGTCTTTTTGAGGTGACATCTGTTGTTATGCCTTTTTTAAAGGAAACCAAAGGGAAACCACTGTTGGAAGTAGACATAATCCATCAGCTTGATTCATCCGGGCCCAACACAGTGCTGCACAATCTGTGCCAAACTTTCTAAGCAGGAATTGTTCTTGGGAGACACGACGCATGGAATTGTGCATGCATAGAACCGTTGGTAGCAAGACCAGCTGCAGGTCTGGATAGCTAGTTTCCGCCACCTCTTGAACACCTGGAATCCTGGAATAGCTGTGCTGAAAAAAATGCCACCGGTACCACATGTGAAAGTTTCAACTCTTTCTCTCTCTCTCTCTCTCTCCCTATAGATGTGTCCGTGTGGGCTTGTGCTGTTTGGTGGTTTTTCAGGAGAACCCAAAGGAATACCAATATCCATGGGGTCCCAACCCCCCCACCCCCCCCCCAACCCCCCCCCACCCCCCCAACCCCCCCCCCAACCCCCCCCCAAAAAAAAAACACAAAAAACGCCAGGCCGTGGCTTGGGCTTCGTTTGCTTGGACCTGTGGGGTTCCATGCCGCGAGTCCCCAAGGGAATGCTCAAAAAATCCAATCGAAAGGTTTGTCCTCAGATCCCCTGCTACAAGTTTAACTCTTGGGTTAAATGGACACCACCAACCCCTGAAAACATATTTGAAAACCCGAAAAACACCGGATGGCCGGGAACACCGAGAAAACTCCATCTAACAATACCCTCCCACCAACTAACATGGAAGTGCAAAAAGGCACTTTCCAAGAGGAAAGTAGCGCTTCTACAGGGGTCTGTGCACTTCCATGTTAGCTGGTGGGAGGGTAAGCGAACTAGAAATTGAGCAACATCCAATCAAGCGCGGCTCGCCAGCCCCCCCGATTGGACAAATCCAACCGCTCAACACCGGGCCCCCAAATTGACGAATGCTTGGAATTGCCTTGGCTCCACAGGCACCTCCAACATGTCCAGTGAATCACTTGCTGGTGCGAAAGGAAATGAGAAATGGAATGACCCCTGTAAACCATCCACCTGGTGGTTTCCACTAAGAGGATCCCCAGGCTCATTCTTCATTACCTACTGAGCACAAAATCAGCGATAGGCACCACAACCCGCATCCATTCGGCATCCGATTGTTGCAAGTCAGTCGCCAGGGACAGCCACAGGGAAATCGATCCAACCACCAAAAACCCAGCGGATCCCAGGCAAGCCACTAGGTCGGTAACCAGTAAGTGTCCCTTTGGTTTTCAAGGCTGGTTCCCTTGCCTGCCTTTACCAGATGGAATCGCAAGGAAACAGGTGGGAAGCTCTGGGCAGTGCTATGCCGTTGACAGCGAACCAGATTCCATGTTCGAATCTCCGGACAGAAAAGACCGCGAGCATTCGCTGGCCTTGATTCTCTGGTACTTCTCATCCATGTCTCAGAGCTGAAACCAATTCGCTCGAATTCGTTTAGGCTCGAATTCGCCAAAGACCAAAGGGCTAGCACATTGGCACCAGGAAAACCAAAGGAAATTCGATCGAACACCCAATGTTCTACCCTGGAATTTGGTCATTTAAGGGGATCCCAACAACCCTAGAGCTTGAGCTGGTTGTGTTCCTTTTGCTGCTTGTTGTGCGCTTGCTCGCTCTGAGCTTCAGCATTGACGAGTGATGTGTTCGGCTAAGCCCCGTTGTGTTTCTTTGCATCGAGACATCCGCAATCAACCACACTCTGCTTCCATTTGCTTTTTCGCCCCCTGGAAAAAATATTAAAATATGTCCAATAGTGATAGACTCCCATTGAAACCAACGGAAAAAAACAAAAAATATTGAGCCAATGGAAGTCTGGCGGGTCCCGAAATCCGTAGCTGTGATGTGGTCCCTTGACCTACCTCGCGGGCAAGCCACAAGGTCTGAGCAAGGTGGCAACGAAGTCAAGGACTCCACAGATCCCCCGCCAAAAGTTTAACTTTTAGCGGCTTAAATGGAAACTATACCACTGAACACCAAAAGGCTAGAAAGCTAAGGGGATGGCTGGGAACCACCAAGCTACCTGCCCTGAGTTCTATCACATCATTTCTTGAGTATCTACATTTATATAATGGCTCTGAGTTGCTTCCCCATCGTACAGTTCAATGTGCAATAAGTTTGAGCCGGTCCCGAAACAAGTGGGCTCGGAACCAAGCTGGTTGGAAGGGATTGGTTCAACTGTCGACTGGGTAGTCGAAACCCCTTGAATACTCCCAAAAAGAAGGGTTCCCAAACAGAGTTCCCAAAAACGGCAGTTCTCCCCAAAAATGGGGTTCCGCACTTTGAGAACGAGACTGCGACAAAATACCCGCTCGGAAGCCTTTCCCGACGTTGAAACGCCGAGACCTCAACTTGATTGAAAGTTGTAGACTCAGTGGTCGAGTCAGCAATAAAGCTGTAGGCCCAAATTGACAAGGAGACACCCTTTATTTGTACAAAGAGGCGCCCTTGGGATTTTGAAATGTGCCGTCAAGGGCCCAAGGTTTGATGTAAGCCGCAGAATGCGTGTGTGTCTGTGTCTGTGTGTGTGTGTGTTTGTATGCGGCTACCCAAAAAGACATCAGACAGTTTTGGGGTTCCTGTTCCAGTGGGATATGTAGCGAGCCAACTCACTTCAAATGGTCTTAACCTTGTGACGTTGAAGACCACCAAACGGGGGGAAGCTTGCCTCAACAAGAGAACCCGTGAATTCTTTGACTTCCCTTTGAAACCAGCCCTTAAAATCCTCAAAAAAGAAGGGAACACACATACCCACTTCCTGAGTGGATTGGTCAAGAAAGTCACCATATTTTGATATTTACCACTAAAATGGTCTAATCAAAAAAAATGACTCAAGTCCGAGTCCCTGAACTCAGGAAGTGAGCATATATGGGTGTGGGTCAAACATAGGTACCCCAAATGGAACCCTGGTAAATTGCAAATAAGCTCTTAAACCTGCGGTCTTCTAGTGGTTCATTTTGACCCATACCCGTAAATATGGCCGTGTGTCAAAACCCGTACCCCCAGTGAACATCCCAATCCCCACTAAAATCGACTAAAATGGGTGGTGCACCGAAAAGGTTTCGAACCATGGCCATTTAGGATCAACCTACACCTAATTATTTTGATGTTTAGCAGGGATTTCCTGGGTTTTGACCCATACCCACAGCCAAAATATCGGATCGCCCCTCTTTTTGGTGCCGCGTTCTTCGGTTTCAGCACGGGCAGCAGCTCGCGCATGGCCGCTCTGCGGTCGCAGCGCCAGGCGTCGTAGCTGAGGTGCAGCACCTGTCACGAGCCCGGGAGGATCCGGGAGGCGGGTTTTGGGTGTCCCAGCTTTCTAGGAGTAACTTCCCCACTAGGTCCTTCAGTTCAGAATAAGGGCACCCTTTTTTCTGTAGTCTATTTTAGTGGGGGAACCCTCCCGCAAGGTACCTTCCCCATTCTTTCCAGTGATCCTTCTTTCTAGAAAACCACCAAAAACCCGAGGGAAATGGCTTGTTTTTGAAAAACACGATTGCTGAAATTGGGAATCAACCCCTAGAAGTTTCCGTGTTTCGAGCTTCCCCCGAAGGAGACATGAGCCTGGAAATGACTTCCATTTGCTCAAGCCCTCTGGGGGAAAAAAGGGCGATACTGATAGATTCCCATGAAAACCAACAGGGGGAAATGAGAAAATCCGCCGACGCCAGTCGAGCGTGCAGATCGCAGTCCGCAACTTGGTTTTCCTTCAGAATCTCTTATTAAAGCCGAAGGCTTTTGGGACTGCTATTTTTGGGCATGCTGTGCTAGGTGTCCAAAACCTGTATGTTTCCAGTGTTTTTGGGTCTTTCGTGCTAAAAATATGCGTTTCGCCTAGGTCTCTAAGTCTAGCAAGGGGTGGGGGGTTCTTCCGGAGGTGCAGGATCTGCATCCCCAGCATCATCAGGATTATCTTGTTGCCATGAATTTGTCTCTTGGTGTTTTGCTGTTTCAAGCGATGTTGGAATTGGCCTGTTAGGGGCTTGGGTGGGGCCAAGTGCAGTGATGCTTTGGGGAACTATTGAAATTTGCAAAAATGAGTGTTTTTTGCAATTCCCCACCTGTACGGAGCAGTTACTGCGAAACATCCCCTGCACTATCGTGCTTTTCGAAGTCTATTTTTAGGGTATTTGAGGGGGTCGCTAGTAGCGGTTTTTGATGGTTGCTTTTGGGAAATATCGAAGAACCCTGTTTGTTGCACTGTTTTCTGGCTAGCCGGCTGCATTCCCAGCATTCCCCACATCTCTGGAATTTTCTGTGTTTGGTCAATGGTGCGTGTCTGCAAGTCTTAAAATCTTGAGCGCGAAGATTGGGTCTGTTCCTGTAAGTTGTGTGGTTGCATCCCTTGCATTTCCAGCATCCTCAGCATCTGGGACATGAAAAGAGGAAAGTGCCAACAAGGCCTTGTTGCACTTACAAAAAAATGGGGCCTTGCTGAAAGAGAAGACCCTAGCGTTGTTCTCCTGTCACGTGTTCAGCCCTGCAGCCGAAGTCAGAGCGGCGTTGTTCGCATTCTCGCTAAGAAGCCCATGTCACCGAGGCAAAAAATTAGTTTTCCCTTAAGGGGCGTTGCTTGTTCTCCTTCCACAGGGGCGTTGCTTGTTCTCCTTCCAGGCGTTAAAAGACCCATGTGACCTAGGCAAAAAAACGTCTTTTTCCTGACCCAAAACTTGAGGTACCCTGCAGCCGACGTCAGGGGGGCGTCGTTTGGTCTCTTTTCACTTGTTAAGAGCCCCATATGACCTAGACAAAAAACGTCTTTTCCTGACCCCAAATTCAAGGCACCTGAGAGGGGCGTTGCTTGTTCTCCCTCCACAGGGGCGTTGCTTGTTCTCCTTCCAGGCGTTAGGAGACCCATGTGACCTGGGCAAAAAGACGTCTTTTCCCTGACCAAACTTGAGGTACCTTCCAACCGATGTCGGAGGGGCGTCGTTTGGTCTCTTTTCACATGTTAAGAGCCTGATATGGCCTAGGCAAAAAGACGTCTTTTTCCCTGCCCCAAAATTCGAGGCACCCTGCAGCCGACGTCAGAGGGGCGCTGTTTATGTTCTCCTTCCACGCGTTAAGAGCCCCAGTTCGCCCATTTGACCTAAGCAAAAAAAAACATCTTTTTCCTTACCCCAAATTCGAGGCACCCTGCAGCCGACGTCAGAGGGGTGTTGTTTGCGTTGTCCTTCCATGCGCTAGGAGCCCCACTTAGGCAAAGAAAAAGAGTCTTTTCCCTAAAAATCAAGGCACCCTGCAGCCGGCGTCAGAGGGGCGTTGTTTGTTCTTCTTCCACGCGTTAAGAGCCCCACGTGACATCAGCCCGAGTTTATTAATAGGGGACTGTCCACTGGCGTCGGCGGATCGCGTAGCGATTTCAGTTTTTCGTAAGCAAATGGAAGATGAGGAACTCCAGAAATTCACCTCCCCCAATCCCATTTTGTAAGGTGGGGGTCCTCCGTTTTCCGCCAGGAACGAGTTTTCCCCACCCTGCAGTTGCTTTTTCGTCCCCTGGAACAAATGAGAACATCTATGTACAGAAATAGATTTCATTTAAAACCAACAGGGAAGAGTAAGACATATTCTCGCGTAAGCAAATGGAAGCCATGAAAGGGAACATGAAGATGTGAATGAATCATTTTAGGGGTCCCTCCCCCCCCATCCCCGTTTTCCAATTTTTCAGGGGTGGGGATATGTTTGGTCGACTCCGGCATTTTGCAGCCCAGGTTGCGCTGGATGGTTTTCCCGAATCCTCTCAACTGGGACACCCCCCCCCTCAGTTCTTGGAAGAAACATGGTTTGTTGCGTGTCCGGAATGTTGCAAGCGAACCAACCGCAAGGTGAAGGTGATTCGGATCACTTTTGGGCTTAAGTATTTTTCGAATCCGCTGGGTTCTTGTGCGGGTTCTTATGCATCGGTCAAGAGGGCTGGGTCACCAGCCTCGCAAAAACAAAATGCGCCAGAGACCCAGATCAATTATCGGGACCCATGTCTGGTTTCTCCCATGCATGGGACCCACTTACTGTCCAAACAGAAGTGGTTGGCTTCAGGATTCTCAACCTCAGGTCACTCCGGTGCGCTTTATCGGATGCCCAGAACCCTCAAAATGATGGCGTCAGCCAAGGAGATCCAAGGAAGCTAGCCGTTGCCCTCATGGGAGAGCGCCAGTCTGCGGGAAAACCTGGGGTGCTGGTACAAGCACCTGCAACCTGCAACAAACATGGCTTTGACATGTTTGTCAGTTTCCGGGGAGTTCAAGCTCGCAAAAAAAAACACGATCCAAGCGCACATCTGTGTGGTGCTTTCAGCACGGGAAACTCCACACGCACAAAGGTACGCGCCTTTTCAGCCATGGCCCAAATTCTTTCGGATCGGAGGTCAGTGAATTGCAAGTTAGCCTATCCTGATAGCAAGATAAGCCACGGGGCGGATGAAACGAATCAGAGCACGTAATCTTCTCCCCCCTCAGTATTCAAAACTGCCAACATGAGTAAACAGCTGGCATGATGAGTCATGATGGGACGGTTCATCCCCCGCCCCCAGCCCCCACCCCTCCCCCAACCCCCAGACCCCCCGACCCACCCGCCCCACACATGTATGTGTCTGTGATGCAAAACGGGAGAATCGCGGCAAGAGTCGTTAATGACGTGCTAGCCAAGACTAGGGCGCACCCAAAATGGTTTGCCTTTCCCAACTGAAGCTGATTTCCCTGGCAAAAGACCCCCTCAAATCGCTTTTGGGAAGTTGTTACCCTTCCAACCACCATGCAGAGGGCAATTTGAGGAAGTTCCATTCGAAGCACCAAGACATCCAATTGAAGGGGGGGAAAACTAACCCAAAAAAACGCCGCATAACACACCGCAAAAAAAAGAACGCGTCTTTCCGCCCCCGGCAAAAAACCCAAAAGAAAACCGCCACGCAACACCAAAGCCGCAACCATCAAGTCACCTGCCAGCCCAGGCGGTCCAGCAGCCGGCGCTTGAGGCGCGAAGGGCCCAGCTCCACCAAAACATCTCGCGGTCCGAGCAGACGACGGAGGCGGACGACGGAGGGCGTTTCTTTGGCTTGGGAAGGATCTACAAAAATTGGCAGTCAGTTTCGTTTCAAAGGGGACCTGCAACAGTGGCGTACAAGAGTTCTAGGGGTTGATTCCTTCTCCATTCTTTTCAACCATCGTTTTTTCCAAAAACCGGATCCGTTTTCCCTGGGTTTTCGGAGGTGTTGTAGAAAGAAGGATTTCTGGAAAGAATGGGGAAAGTACCCATACAAAACTGGCGCGGTGTCCTTTTGGCTCCCTTGTAAACCAAGACCTTGGCCAAAAGCTTTCCGTGATGCAATATACTTGCTGCGTTGATAGGCAGGGAATGAGAATTGGAATGACCCCGATTTATACCAGCCTATGGCATTCCCAACGCCCGGAAGGTCACTCCGTACTCAGAACCAGCAAAGAAAACTGATACGGTGGCCTCACTACCATGTTAGTGGACAAAAGTGTATCTAGAATCAAAACAGTCTCACTTCCAATCAAGTGGACTGGCCAGAATCAATACGGACTTTGTGTTTGCCACTAAAAGGGTCTTCCCGAAAAACATGTCACGTCCACGAACTCGAGAAGTGAAGCAGCGAATGGCTCCCAACTGGAGTTCAACCCATGCGTCCTGTGCGTCCCCATCCCACCGTAGGCGCCGTAGGCGTGCACGCGTACTTTGTCCCCACAAGATTGGCAGCGAGGCTGTCGCTGCGGCACTCTTCGAAGTGTTGCGCCCGGGATGTCACCACTGTGTTGGCTTTGTGGGCGGCCAAATGTTGGCATAGGCTAGTCGCCCGCCCGAGGCTACCATCAGCAGGATGAGGTAGAAGTAGTCCGTCCCCGCCACTCGATCCCAGGAGCTGCGGCCCCGAATGGCTGTGGTCAAAAACATGTACCCAAAATGGAATCCTGGTAAATGGACACATGAACCAAAACCTGCGGTCCCCCGGTGGTTTAATTTTGACCCATACCCAAATGAAAGGGAAGGACACCAAATGAGGATGGCCTTTGCTCCGAGCTCTGTGCCACTCATCCAGTGCACAGCGTTCAAGAGCGGCTAGATGGGGAGCTGGACCCTGAAACTGCCTTGAAAACTGAGTGTTGAATTCTTTCCTTTGAGGCATCCTGCTTGTGGATTCTCAACCTGGTTATAAGTGAGGGGGAAAACAGACAAACATCCACGTTAGGCACCAGTTGGTATGCATTTTGATGATTGGGGACCCTTTGGTGGACATTCGTTGTGTGCGGATTTGTGTACCTGTCACTTTCAAGGGAGTTCCCACAAAAATTACAGCCAGACTGTGGATAGACAAGATTTGTCTTGCACCAGTATTGGTGGCTGATCCCAAGAATTTCTAATCGGGTTTCATCCATCTCAACTGGTGCGAAGCGGACTTTGTCCATCCACAGTCAGATGTCAGTATGGGTCTGAATTTGATGGGGAACCCCTTTGAAAGTGGCTGGTACATGCAAACACCCCCTCAAATGATGTCCATCGAAGCGACTCAACATGAAGCTATCCAGACCACCCAAGGGAACTTCTTTTCTTTAAGTTTGAGTGGACCTTGGGCCATCCATTCCTCACAGACTTACTTGAACCATTCAAACTGACATTCAAACTGCCCACTCAATTCCATCGGCCGGGTCGGAGCGAATCGGAGCCCCGAGAAACCAAGCGGCTTCTGTTGCCGGGAAACCAAAGGGAGCCGGAAAAAAAAAATGCACCCAGACGAGGTCCTCCAGATTTGAGAGGCTGGAATAAGTTGGTACCCCTTCTTTTTTTCCGGCTTTGTCGATTTTAGTTGGGGAAGCCTCCCCAAAAAAAGAAACACTACTGGAGGACCTGGTTGAAATGTCGTGAGCTCCGGGGCAACCTCTGCCTTGCTTGCACGTTCAGCTCCACTGAAGTAGGGTTCTAACCACAGGTAGGCGGAAAAACCAACACCTGTCCATCCAATCGTATCCATGGCTCTGTTCTAAGTGGGTATATCTCAAAATGGGGGGTGTTTTTGTTGGCTTCCCTTGAAACCAATCCCCAACAAGGGTAGCCTGCAAAAATAACGGCAGGCACATTGTGTTTCTCAAGATAGGCCCCCCCCAAAAAAAAAAGAAACCCGGTTGCCGTCCTTTAAAGTCACACAGTCACAGCCAGGCACGGGAAACTCGCCTCCCGGCAGCGTGCGGGCCCAGTGCCAGGGGCCGTCCACCTGAGGGGTTTGCCCATGACCCAAGATGCCCCTACCTAGGGGGATGGGGGGGCTAGGACCCAAGCAACCATGGTTCTGCTCTCGCCCATAAAAGAAAAATGGGACCCTTCATGCAAGTCCAGGGGTCACCCCCCTCCCCCAATTCCATGTTTAAGGGGGTGGGGATGACCCAAGAACTTTGGGCCGCCATGTCTCGAAATCGAACAACAAGATGGCGAGTTCCCATTGAGCTTCCCTTTCGCGCCCGACCAAACAGGGTCCCCAAAACAACAAGAGTCATGGGTGGCTCACAAACTGGCAAGGAAGAATCCCTAAGAGACTTTCGATCATGGGTGAATTTGTGTTAGATTCAGGTGGGGGCTCGCTACTGACTCGTTGCAAGTTGCAACACGAATTTGTTGAACCCCCAGGTTGAACTCATCACCCAGCTAGCCCCCCTTTGGCTTCCCGTGGAAGATTCCCTTTTTTTTGGCCCAATTTCTTCGCCTGAAAGGGCTCCAAATGTCCGAAACCCGAAACGGGTTTAGCGGTTTTTCTCGCACCCCGGTTTTGGGGTCCAGAGGCTCCCAATGTATTTGTAGCACCCAACAGCCATTTTCAGACCCCCCAAACCCCTGTCCCATGGGATCTGGGTCGAGTCTAAGCCGAAGCCAGGAGCTCTTGGCTGCGAGTGTCTACTCCACGTCAAGGCTATGAGTCATCACTGTTCACCCAAATGCTTGGACATGAATCCCCATGTCCTGAGCAAAATTACACCACCGAACAAAACACAGGTTTTAGTCCTTGCCTCCTTTTACCCGGGCAACCCATTTAAGTTGACCCACACCCAATTGGAATCCAAACAGGGACATGCAAACTGGAGGTCTTATCTTGCCTTTTGGGGACCACAAGGCCCGTTCCGGAAACACAACAACCGGGTTTCCCATATGAAATAAGTAGTGTGGTTCGTTATTGGGTTTTGGTTCACCCTTTTCTGAGACAACCATTATGCCCCAAACCTGTTGGTCTCCCGAGTCTCACCCTGTTTCCCTTTGCACGGATTGTAGCTTTCGGTGCCCAAACCTTACCCTTCCCAGTTTCCAGCAGTAAAGGTTGACCAAGCTAGTCATTGAAACCATCGCCACTTCAGGCTCCAAGTGGTTTTCCCATGGTTTTCCCTATGTGTTCCCCGATGTTTTCCAATTTTCCATGTTTTTTTCTCCATGGTTTCCCCTATGTTTTCCCTATGTTTTCCCTATGTTTTCCCTATGGTTTCCCCAGTTTCCCGTCACCTCCCCCCCCCCCCCCCGTTTCCTGTCAGCCGATCTCCGCCGAAACTGCCGCAGCCTCCAGGGCCAACTTCCGCTGAGGCCAGGCGATGTCCAGCACCAAACACTGCTCCACAACCAGCTCATCCTGGTCTTCCGGGGGGGGGGGGGAAAAAACAAAGGCGGCGCCGGGAGGTGTTTGTTTCTTTTGGGACCAACATGGGAGAAATGAAATCTGAGTGGGGTTTTACCAGGGTTTATCGTTTCCTTTTTGTTTTCGGACCAAACGGGAAAAATGGTCGGAAAAAATCAACAACATGGCGCAGGGATGTCTTTTTTGGGCCAACATGGGTGTGGCTCAACATTAAACTGGGCTTACGCAGTGTTCGGTCTTTGTTTCCTTATACCCAGGTGTCATTTCGGGTGCATGCTTTTGAGCCACAGCCACATGGGAAAAAAGGAATCTGTTTGGCTTTCCTGAGCTTGTGAAGCTGTGTCTTTGGTTGGAGTTTCGCAACTTGGCTCCCTGTTCCGAGCGGGGACTGTGGTCGTGCGCGTTCGTGGATTTTTAGGTTCTTGAACTCAGTAATGTTGACCCCGGATTAATAAACCCCTGTTTATTAATATGCGGGTGTCCCTGGTTTTAGTGGGGATTTATCACTTTTGGAGGGGAACACCCCCATATTAGTAAACGGGGGTTTATTAATCCGGGGTCCACAGTACAAAGCTCAGGTGACTCCTCCGCCAATGAGTTTGAGGTGATCGGCAAGTGCGATGACGCTCACCCAAGTACCAAACCCTTCAAGCATTTCCGAAAGGGGTAGCTTGTCTGATGGTCTGCGCAAGCCGCCGGGGACCCAAGGCATGATTTAAGGTCTGGGGTCAAAGGCCCTCATATTTAGGGTCTTGGGCTCCTAGGGAGCGCTCATCCTCTGCCCACCTGGCTCTTGCCCTGACTGCAACATGAGCCAAGGCACCCGTTACAACTGTAGTACGCCTTGAACGCATCAAGAGTAGAAATAGTTCAAATGCATCTCTAACATGTTCAACCCATTCTTCTGGAGCCTTTGAACTCCCGCCCATTTGTTCTGGGTCGAATTAAAATTATTGGGAAGGAACTCAAAATTCAAGCACAATAATTCTAAATCAATTGTAAGCTGAGTGAAATCATGATTGGAAAGGAATTACGAATTGAAATCAAATCAAACATAAACACACTAGTTAAAATAATTAGAACATCGGGCTTGTCTTTCCTTACTAGATTCTGTTTGAAATCAATTTCAAGCAACATCCTACTTGGAAAGGACATGATATTCAAAATCCAACTCAAAATGTTAACTATGATTTAGCTCTAATGGCAAGCATCTTTGGAAAGGAATTGAACTCATGTTGAAAAGAACGATGGTTGAAAATAATGGAAAAGGAATCAACCCCTCCCTAGAGTTGTGCTTAATCCCCTGATTGATCTCCCGCAACTCAGCCCAGAGAGCCAAGAACAAGACACGACCCAGCCATGGAAAGCCAATCAAGCCCCAGATCCGCTAATCAAGCCCTAGATCAACACATCTATTCAGCTATTCACCTGCACTAATCCCAGTTGTTCGTGCCAAGCTGCCCCCCCCCCCGCCACCCCCGGTTGTGGCTTCAAGCTCATTTCCAGAGTGGATTGGTCAGAAGTCCAAGCTACTTGTTTGCCACTCGATGGTTCCGAGAACTGACTAACGTCCACTTGCGAAGTCCCCCAGTGGCACACTTTTTCTGGTAGCTTAAGGAGACTCCCCTCTGAAAAAAGAAGAAGAAACAAAATCGGCCCTGCAACTCCAAGGTTTGGGCCTAGTTCAGCTTTCTTGCAAAGGAACCGACAGACCCATCTTGGCTCGCGCAAGTTGTCCCTGCGACTTGGGTGAAGGAAGCCGTTGAGGTTTTCGTGCCAGAGGGTTCCCAACCCAACCTACATTTCAAGTCGAGGAGTCCTTTTGGTCTCCCTTCAAACCAACCTGGAAAGGGTGCCCTCGAGCAAAAACAAATGATGAACCTGGTGTCGGGGCAACCTTTCGCAAACTGTCTTGCAATCTGGGAGAACACCATTGTACGTCGGGTCAAGTCGACCCAAGGGCCCTTTAAAGGGTCAGGCCACCCTTTTCACCTTGGTTCCAAGGAAGACCAAAAGAAACACTTCGAGAACGCTTGCTTTTAGCGGCCCAGATTTGCGCCATCAATATCATCAATGTCAGTACGCAGCTGCTCTTGCACCTGGCTGCTGTCTCCACGCCAGTTTCCACGACCCCAGGTCACGACAGCCCCAGATTCAAGAATGGCAACAACACCCCTGTGAGTTGCTTGGATGCGCTGGACGCTTCTCAGCTCCTGTCTCCACCGTATCTTGCATGACCCCAAGTCACAACAGCCCCAGAACGTCCTCAGCTGCTCAGGAAACCACACAGAACCTTCAAAAATGTCACAAACTCTTCAAGCTTCAGCCACACTCAGGTGAAGCCGAGCAGATGCAAGTCGACTTGTCACTTGGTGGGAAATGCTCCGGCGACCGAAAGCATGTCTTCCATCAAGGGCATGCTGCTCCCAGCGACACCCCTGACCCAGTCCCATCCCCGCACGGAATTGCCACTGTGCCAGTGGCAATTCCGTGCGAAGATGGAGCATGTATAATGGTCTTTCCGTGGTCACTCATGCGGCCCATTCTGCCAGACTCTCTTGGCAGCTCGAGCTCAGCCCTTGGGTCGCTGACGAGCCGGCTCCGTACTTGTCCACCGAGTCTGAGCTGATGCTCGAAACGCCGCACCGCCAGACTCACCTGACGGTGTGTCTGCGGTACGGGTGTGCTGACCCTTCCACACTCCTTGGAGGATGAGCCGCCGGAACCGCAGTGAGTTGTCGAACCAGACTGTTGCGTTTCCTTCGTCTCTGCGCGCACAGTTTCCCAATGATGGATGCGCCACTGGAGAGGAAGCAATCTCTCTCTATCTCATGTTGTGGAATGCAGTGTAGCTCTCGTAGAACACCAGGCCCTTCCGCGAAGTCAACACACTGCAAGCTAGCTGCACAACTGCAGCCACCACGTCCCCATCTCCCAATCTGCCGGCCTTTCGCAATGAGCTTCAAGCGACGCTTGAAATGCTGCTGCAGCACTCATGGGTCTTTTTGGTGTGACTGCTACGGAGCAACCAGCTGCACTGGGCAAGTGAACGTCCACCTTTGGACCCTCATGGCGCAGGAAGGTTCTGGGTACATTCAAGCTGCCAAGCACCTGACACAGATCCATGGACGACTTGAGCCTTGTGTTGATGGCTGTGAAGAGAATCCGCACCTTGCATCCTTCAACCCATGCAATACGATCTCTGAAAAACCGATGCCCAGTCGGGACACTTCGAGGCCTCGGCATTCCAGGTGGTTTTCGTGGCGAGCCGATTCCCAAAAGCCTTAAGGATCTACAAAGATAAGACATCCGCCCACATTCTGGGATCCTTCCCTGCCCTCCGAAAGCGGGCTGTGCTTTTGACGGCTGCCTAACGATGGTTGGGCCTGGCTGATGAAATTCAATACGAACAATACTATGATGCAAAGTCGGGTTTCATTTGTGCCATACTACAGACTGCCACCGAGCTCTCAAACTCAGCTATGTTGAGGAAGCACTTGATCAGGACCAAGAGGGCAAAAACAATTTATTCCCTGAAGCTGCTGAGCTTGGAAGATGCAGGGGCTTGCCAAACAAAAGCGGTTAGATTCTGGGATAAAGAACCGAAGACTTTGAGCTGGCCCAAATCGTAGGTACACGTAGGAGGCCCAGTGCAGCGGCATGCTAGCGGAAACCTTCTTGGGTTACAACCCCCAAGAACATCCCAGCAACCGCGATTCTCCCGCCGGTTTCCCTTCAAAACAACCCCTCGACCTTTAGTAGCAAAACAAGGGCGGCTAGCAAACCGATGCATATTGGGACCCCACAAAGGATGCGCCCAAATTAATTGGACGAACCTTTTGGCTCTGAACCGCAGTGCTTTATTTTTTTGACAGTAGCGCAATTCCCAATAAGCCTGGTACTTGGACGGCAAATAAGCGGGTGATGGTAACTGGGACAGCAGGGGTTGGTGACGATATAGCCATAATGGTTGGCATCGCATACAAGTGGTTGCAAAGGTTTACAACATGGTTTACAACAGAGTTTGCAAAGGGCGCACAGCTCCGTGTCAGGTTCTCATGTGGTGCGTGACAAGGCCGCGGCTGCTCTTTGTGGAGTCTTGCAAAATTGATGCATTCTAATTTCATCCAGTGAAACTCATTCATGTTCAGGCAAACCGAAACCACATGGGCACGACACTGTGGATGTCCCAAATCTTGCATGCGAAACCACTCGGATAAGCGTGTGGTGGATGTCTCTTTCTCCGTGACATGATGTCTAATGACACTGGCTGCGAAGGCAACTTGGCTCAAGGTGACCAACCGATTCTAGGGAGTGCTGCCCCTGAGGGAAAATGTGCAAAAGGACTGAGAAACCAACTGGGACCTATTGTCTGTGGATGGACCTCATTCTGCACCACCTAAGAAACCCTTGGGATATCCTGGGATGATGATTCCCACGTAAAAACCAAAGAATGGTTTCCCCTGGTTCTTAGGTGGTGCAGGATTTCGTCGTATCTTGGGCGGAATCTCACGTGGGCCCCGGAACCCAGAACAACCATGAACGGGAGGCCGCGATTTGGCTGCGGTTCGGCCACTGCTAGGGAACGGGGGGCCTCAAAATCAGTGGCATCAAACTGGAGATTTGTCTTTGGTTCCTCTTCAAAAACACTCCCAAAACGACCCTGAGTGTAGAAACCCCCTTCTTTGAGGGGGTCCCATCATCTTCCCAAAAAGATGTCCAAAGGACCAACCCCCGCGCAACCCACGCCCTTCAACAAGAGTAACAACTTGTTTCTAGAAGGGAACAAAGGGCCGGCAAATCCCCCCAGAAGCAATTTGAGTTGACCCCACCTGGTATCGAGTCTACTGTGCAGCGCAGCTTTAGGGTACCCTCCCCTAGACTAACATGGAATCCCAGGACCCTGTGGAAGACTTGGTTCCAGTTGCAGAGGCCTTCTGGGAGCTTCCATGTTAGTCTGAGGGAGTGTATAAGCACGGTTCTCAGGAAACCAGCCATTCTTGCCCACTTCCCAGGTTGAATATCAGGATGCCTTAGCGGACACGAATCCAAACACTGGGAACTCCAAAGCTTTGGGGCGAGGGATCCAAATATGTCTCCAGCAACTCCTCCAGCCTCAAGCTACTCATACAAAGGGAAACTCACCCCAGAGGTTTGGGGCTACCCATTTTGAAGTTGGAATTTTGAGGGGCCAGGTAGTGGCAAGACTTTTATAAATTGGAACAAGCGGCAAAGAGGAAACACATGTTAATCGTGGCCCAAATGAAACTCTCAAATCGGGAACTAAATATGGGTGTGGGTCAAAAATGGGTACCCCAAATGGAACCCTAGTAAATGGAAACAGGGACTAAAACCTGCGGTCCCCTGGTGAATTCATGTTGACCCATACCCACAGTATGGGACTGGGAGGAAAACAAGGGACCCAGAGGGAAGTCATTGCAACCCCAAAGTCCTGGATGAGTTCGCCCCGGCAAATCTTCCTCACCTCCGCAGGCCACTGGGCCACTGGGTGCATCAGCAAATTTTGGAGGCCCCTACTCACCGATCGAGTGAACTAACAACAAGGTGAGCAAACTGTTTGTTTCCCGCCAAAATGAGCGTGCTTGTTTAGAAAGCCCTAAAAAATGGCAAGGGTGTCCTTTTTTCCCTTTAAATTCTCTTCAAAACCAACCAACAGAGAGTTCCCCCAAACCAAGACACAGCGAAATGGCCTTCCCAGGAACTTTAAGCCATGGGTCTGGAATAGCCGGGGGTTCAAGGTCTGCTAGCACTCCGGGACCAGGGCTTCGCGAACCTAAGCCAAATGCGCCCAACTGCCAGTTGCACACAGGGGCCGGAACACAACTCACAAATACTGAGTCCACGACAGCACGGAACTCGCTTTTAGTTTCCGAGTCCGGGAACACACAGGGTCTTCCAGCACGGAAACTATCCTGGGTGTTGCCACAGGGTCCTTTTAGTTTCCGTGCTGGAAGAGTTACGATTCTGAGATTACTCTTGACGGACAAATCCACATTAGGCACCAGTTGGCGTGAAGTTTGACCAGGGAATCATCCTGAGTTCCCACCCGAAGCTCCCTTAACATCGTTTCGGAGGTCGCTTTGTCAAGTCTCATTGAACCCTCCGGATCATTGTTGGGTTGCTGCCAAAGACTTACCACTTCCTCTTTGAGGATTGAACGAACCTCACTTGGCATCTCGAAGGCAACCACAACCAACTGAAGGAGAAAGGCGCCCTTTCTGTAGGCTTTGGCGGAGTTTGGTGGCTCTCTCTCGCCAACCCCGGGGACCCTACGGGGGGCATTGTGAAAAATCCTCCTCGTGGAATCACTAGAGGGGTGTTTCCGAAAATGAAGCGAAACCAAGTTTGGACACCGCTCGGTACATGACCGCTATTCTGAGAAACATCCATACATGCGTCTCTGTGTGTGTGTGTCAAAATGGGGGGGGGATCCCCCACAAAAGTGATATCCTCGTGGTTTTCAAGCCGACCTCCCAATAGGATACCCTCAACGAGCAAACATCCGAACTCATATTATGGGAGTTTCTCCACGTACTGGACCCACTGTTGGTTGGTAGCTGACTGGAAAACCAAAAGGAAACCAACCATTTTGGGCTGCCCCTATTTTGAGAAAACTGTGTTCCACGAACCTGATGAGGTGGCTCCCTATTACACATCATTTACTCCCCTGTACAGATTCACACGGAATCCAGAAGTTCCACATGTTTGCGAGGAATCTCCGGGAATCGAACCCACAGACCGCAGAGCTGCTTCCGTGAATTTGTGAGCAAACCTCACTTGGATGTTCAACCCACTTAGAAAGCAGGTTGTAACCATGCATGGTTACAAGTACGTAGGGCAACTGGGTTCCCTTAGAACCATGGTTATAACCTACTTACCTGACCTGCGTCACGACCTTCACCACGCGAGCAAAAAAACAACGACGCGGTTCGCCGCCAAACCGCTCAAGCTGACGCCTCCGCCGACACGTCCCCGTGGATCTTGGAGCTGGTGCTGCGTTGCGCCACCGCGTGCGCCGCCCGCCCCGTGCGCCGGAGCCAGGCTTCGCCGAAGCGGGAGGCGGCGGCGGGGCCTGGCTGCGCGTGGCGCCTTTTCGGTGGGTGATGTTTTAGGGAGCCCCTGTTTTGGGGTTGGTTTAAAGGCAAACCAAACAAGGACGCCTTTTTGGGGAGCCGTCTTGGGTCCAAATCCTCAAGTTGACACATACCCAAGTCGACGTTTTGCGGAGAAGAGGGGAAGATTGAGGGAAACCAGTTCAGCCTCGCCTCGCGTGGCCTTCGTTGTTTCCTTGGGGGTCACAAATTATGGTGAGTAAACAACCTAAATTCAGGAATCATAGAACCCAACGAATGCACGGCCGTGTTGCACCTCCCAGGGTGTATAGATTTTGACCTCTCCCTAAGGGAACCCCGCAAAATGGAAACGGTGCAGATTTATTTTGGGTTTTTTTTCTTCTGTTTTTCCCCCCCCCCGTTTTTCGTCCGGGCCAGTAAAATGTTGTATTTTACAGCATTTTCTCGCGAAATTGACGTATGCCCGTCAACATCCCCAGGATTGTTTTCAACATCCCCCGCATGTCCGACCAACATCCCCAGCATCACCAACAAATCATGGGAACAAAACAAAAAGTAGCTGGCGGGTTGACGCGGCCGAAAAAATGATGATTCAAATAGGAGGGCATTTCACTCGCTGCAAAGCAAATCTAAAAAGTAGCAGAGGGGTTGGGAGGGGGCGGCAGCCCCCCCATCATGTGCGCGCAATTAAATCTCTGCGAGAAATCTAAAAAGTAGCCGGGGGGGGGGGGTTGGGGGGGAGGGCAGCCCCCGCCTGGTTTGAACTGGGAATGCAGGAGGATGCGAAAAGCCAAAGCCAAAAAGCCACCAAAAGCCGCGTAAACCAACAAGAAGCCGAAAAGCCAAGAAGCCAAGAGGCCGAAAAGCCAAGAAGCCAAGAGGCCAAAAAGCCAAGAAGCCAAAAGCGAAAAAACAATCCCCCCCAAAAAAAACAACTAAACTAAATACACCTCCAAATGGCATTGCGTACCAAAGAAACAACGACTTGAAGCAGTTTAGTTCTTTGCTGACATACCGGACAATGATGTGCCGTTGGATTGAGTGGCCTCCAAACAGGTTGGTGCTTCGACTGCTGGAGCTGATTGCTTTGTTTGCTTTGTTGGATTCCCCAACAACTGCGACAATTGGTGCGGAATCGCTAGTTCTGGCACGTGAGCAACTCAACAAAAATGCTGGTAGTTCATTGCTAGTCTGGAGAGGATGTGGGGGGCCCATACAAATGTCCCACAAAAAAAACATAATTTTGCGGGGATTCATTTACTCTTCAAACTAGGCTCTGCAAAGGCCACCCGCACAAGGATTTGGCCCAGACAGTTTATTTTGGACAGTTGGAAGGTTTCACGGCAACTGGTTGTTTTACCCGAAGCATGGTAAAGGGCCAAAAGGTCTGGGCTTGGGTGTCTGACACCCCAATAAGCCTGTACTAGGTCCTCCAGACTCGAGAGGTTAGAATAAGTTGCTACCAACTTTTCTCGTCTATTTTAGGGTGGAACCCTCCCAACCAAAAAAGAAACGTGTAGAGAAAGGACACCCAGCTGGACCCAGTTTTTCATATGTAAACCGTCGGCTATGAAAGCCAGAGGCCATCTGTCGCAACATTTCAGAAAGGGGACTGCGACAAGCTCACGACCTCCTGCGGGCAAACCCGATGACTCCATCCAACAAAAATCGCCAAAATGCTGGGTTGCTGTTGACCCCTCCGCATAAAAACAAGCTTGTTGTGGGTCCCCTCTGGAAAATCCGACCTGTTTCAACCAAAAAGTTGTCCAGTTTAAAGATCCCTCACCACATAGCCATGCGTAAAGACAAACAATCCTGCAGAATGGCCGTCGAGGTTTGGGAGGGGCTTCGGGTCAGAGTCGACATCAAACCCTCGTGGGACTTGTTGGCTTTCGGCATCCACCCTATTGTCAACCTTGAATCTTCAATCCGTGTTCACGCGGTTCAATGAGTGGGAGGTGATTCATCGCCTTTTGGAACACCCCATGAATACACAGGGGCTTATTCGGACGGGGTCGACAGTAGCCATGAAGTTCGGGAGTCCGGATCGAAGATACAATCACTAGAGTTTCCGGAGAATCAAACGCCGCTGCCACCTTCTTCGCAGATGCACAGAACGCGCAAATGTGTGATGGAATTGGAACAGAGTGAAACGACTCGAAAGTCCAAACTGTTTGCAACCGAAGCCAGGGAAGGGAAAGCTCGGAGAGTTTGGACAATGCGCAACAACAGCGTAACAAGAGAGAAAAAGAAAAGAGACGGGAAAGCCAACAAAGGAACAGGACACGAATGAGGCCGGAAGACGAATTGAGTTTCACGACAAGAAAACATCTCTGGGCGCTGAATAGGCGGTCTCTTGGGAGGGGGTTGACAATTGTGTGCTAGTCAGCACCCAGTTTCCTTGGCGGAGGCTGGGAAGTTTGCTGGTTCCCAGTGGAGAATGAAGAAGGGTCTGGGAGATCCCGTACAAAGGGGGCCAGGTGCAAACCATGAAACATTTAAGGTTCACCCCGGATGAAGTTCAACCCCTGGTTGATTAATAGGGGGGTGTCCCCTTTTAGTGGGGATTCAGACCACTTTTGGAGGGAACACCCCCCTAAAAATGAGACGGGTTTCTTCATCCTGGGTCAACATTACGGGGTGAAACCCTGCAAGACGCCATCCACGAAGCTCTCCCTGAAGCCTGCGGCTTCTAACTTGTAGGCGAGGAAGGCGAGATGCCACTGGGCCAAATGGATCTCCAAAGCATCTCCCTCGCCGATCCGACGCACTCGCGAGGGCGTCGGAAAAGGCCCCCCACAACGGTGGTCTGAAACTAGATACTGTAGGATTATATAAGAGCCTCAAGCCCCAGTCATCCGGAGTTTTGACTACACACCTGGACCCTGGACAAAACTGGTTGATCTAAAATCTAACAAAGCAAGGTACTAGAACCCTTGACTACACTGGCCGGCAAGACTTCGTGCACTGCTTGATTGCATTGTTGTTTACGCGGACTAAGAGGACTTTTACAGCCACCTCCTTTGGGAAATGGAAGGGTTCTCTTTCATGTTTGGCCCCATGATTGCGGACAATCAGGGTTTTGGTTGCTTTCTACAAATGGCCAAATGGTACTCCTTCGGAAAGTCCCCCAACCTGTGTGCGGGGCCCATAAAGCGAAAGACAATATGGATTGGAACCACAATGAAGAAAACGGTGTCACCGAACGAGTGGTTTTCCGTACCCAAAAAAAGGGGGAAGCCAACATGTCGATACTTCTCTAAAGTACTCCCCAAATCAACACATCAACATGAAACCCCAAATGGGGTCTGTGCACTTCCATCTTGGTAGGAGGGCTCCAACTAACTCAAGCCTACACATTTTGGGGGAGGGAACCCACCACAATGTTCAAATAAGGTAGTCTGCAAACAATGGGACAAACTTGTTGTCAGCTGGTGCAGTGTCTCCCACTACCACTAGAGCAGGTCACCAGGTTTTTGCCTCTAGGATTTCCATGCTGGTTTGCCCTTCTGATTTCCAAGCGTTGGAGGGGGTTTAACTGTAAACCAAACAGAAAAAAGCCGCCCCCCATTGCGTCTTGCTTGCTCCCTCCCTTGCGTCTTGCTTGCTCACTTGGGCAGCCTCTGAAAATCCGACCGGGCATTCCACATATTTGAGAGCTGCAATGCTTAAAGTGTCAACGTGCTTAAGCTGTCACAATATTTCATGACCATATCTCTTTAAACCACAAACAAGAACATGGGAAAGTGCAAACTCTCCCGCAGCACATGGAAGGAACTGCGTGCCGACTTCAAGATTGGCATGTTTGCTCTGTTCAATTGCCTGGATATCCTTGTATCTTCAACAGGCCATGGACAGGACGAAAGAACTGCAGAGCATATCATGAATGCTGCGCAGGTGCAGAAGAAGCTGTACTTGACCAAACACACGCTGCAAAAAGGAACCCCTGGGTTTAAGTCTTCAAAAAATGGAACCCTGCACATGCGTGCGAGGCAGGGTTTCAAGCAGTGTCATTCCGGCTTTGGGACCAACAATCCAAACATGTCGATCAACGGCCGTAGCCTCCATCAACTTCGCGGTGTGCGCCAGCACGTCCTGCGCGAGGAGATTGAATCGAACGGAGCAAGCACTTGTTTAGGGTCCCCTTTGTGGGGTGGTCTTAAAGAGACACCAAAGGAAACCACATGTTTTGGGAGACGGGGTCTCTATTTTAAGACACATTGACACTGGCCCAATAAATGTGATAAGAAACTGAGAACGCCAAACAAAAAACACGGCACAAGGCATCAATTAAGCACGCAATTCCGCGGCCAAACTTGAGACTAGCCTGTTTTTGTTGGGTGACTTCTCACTTCCTGAGCTGGTGGAAAAACATCAAAACCCTGCATTTGCCGCCATGGGGATCAGTTTCAATGGAAGACTCTTTGGTGGACATGATTTAGCTGGGGATTTCTCTTGCTGGTTCGATATTCAGCAAATGAGTTGGAATGACCCCTATAAACCATCCCATATGGAAACCTTGAAGGGAATCCCCTTACGGTTCATTTCCAACACCGGGTCTTGGTCATTCCCTATCGCACCAGCAAGTTGTGAGGAGGTTCTGAAGCTTAAAACCCACCCTCCATTTGCTTTTACAAGCCGCCTGGAAAAATTGGGAACATACATCCAGTAGTGAAATCGATTCCCTTTAGCAGCCATCAAGGTAAACACATTGGCATGTTCCATTCAGCAAACGGAAGTGGGTTGAACATCCCAAAGTTCAACGAGGCCCCTCGGTTGCTTTCTGCTCCCCTGCTCAAAGTTCAACTCTTAGCGGTTTAATACGGAAAACCCACGAGTTGGCAGAAAGTCATAAAGTCCGTAACAACCCGTGGCAAAATGCACCAAAGGGAGGTTTTTCTCGGGGCCGATGGGCCGCACATGGCTTCGCCAGTTCCCCACGTCCGCGCAGCGCGTGGCTTCGCCTCGCGGTGCAGGCCCAAGACCGCCAGGGACCAGCATACGTTGGCCGCCTCCCGCGCCGTGCCTGGGACCTGGAGGCAAACGTCCAAACTCCGGCGAGACCGCGTCCAAAATCCAGACGCGTTCAGAAACCCTGGGAATGAAGCGAATCAGAAGGTTTCTTGGCATTAGAGACGAATCATTCCGTGCTGGTTGGGTGGTGCGAAATGGAGTTCGTTCGTCCACAGTAGGGAATGAGGGAATGAACCCAGGGTTTTGGGCCCCTTCAAGGAAACCACCAGTTGGATGGCGTGTCTTGGCGTCATTCCATTTCTCGCTCCCTGCCGATCGCACCAAGAACGAGAAGAGTTCCGAGGTTTCAAGTGCGCGGGTCAAGATAAAACCATATGGACTGCAGGTTTTAGTCCGGGTTTTCATCTTACCAGAGCAACCGTTTTGGGGTTACCCTGTTGACTCACACGGGTCAAAACGGATGGAGCACCCGCTTGGGGCTAACGCCGCTTCAGGCACCTCTATCTTTGGAAATACCCAAGCAGGACGCCGCGTGTTCAAGCAGGCCAAGTGGTAGGAAGACAGCTTAAACGACCTGAGTTGACTGGCACAAAAAGGCCTTTACCAACCCAAAGGAACCTGCCAATGAAGGTTGCAGCTCCAGTGAAAAGTGGGCTGTAAGAGGGATCCCCGCGTATTGACAAACCATGGTAGATGACAGGCTTCTCCTTCTAGGGAGGTCACCGTTGGTTCTACCTTCCTGGAATGAATACACCTACTAATCAAAAGCTACCTGCACCCTCGAATTAAAACAAAAAACGATGGTTTTAATGTCCTTTGAGTGATTTGAGGGTCGGGTAGTTCGGCTGCCCATTCAACTGGCAAAGGAGGCCACCATTACTCAGCCATAAGACCACAAAGCGAAACAAGTGGGTTGCTCGCATCACCATACAGCCTCGTTTTCCCGGTCACGTGGCGAATTTCTCAGATTGGTCCGTGCTCCTGAACATTGGCTTAACTGTGTCACCCATCTGGTTGCCTTCTGGCTTCGCTCATGAGTCAATAGAGGTCTCACACACTACAAACCCAATTCAACTCGGTTGCTTTCTGCTCCCCTGCTAAAAAAATAACTTTAGTGGTTTAATGGACAACCCATTATATAGTTGGCAAACACTTAAAGTCCTAACATCCAAGCGAAATGCAACAAAGGAAAGGTGGCATAGCATGTGTTCTGGCTCGAAAACATGCAACCCTTGCAAAAAGCCCTGCAAGGCTTCAAGCAGCTGCTTACCCGCCAAAAGGATGTGAGACTGATGAGTGTGATCAAGACACCGAGCTCTCCACCCAAAGCAGGAAAACCGCCAGTCAGATCACCCCTCCTCACCCAAATTTGATGTTCTCTCCCATTCGCCACTCTTCGCCGAACGGAAACAGACGCCGCTGAACTCCTCCCCCCCCCCTCCCCCCCTTTGCGTGCCGTAAAAAGCGCCGCCTCCGGGTGCCACGTGGGCTGCAGCGAGACCTGGGCGAAGGACCACAGCAGCGAGGCCGCCTCCGGGGCTTGGAACGCCCCGAGGCTCCTGGCGCAGGCGACGGTCGAGTGGCGCGTGGGGCGCGGCGGCGGCTCAGGGTAGGAGAGAGGTTTGGGGGTTTGGGGGGTTGGTTTGGGATTGGTTGAGGTTTGGGTTGGGGGTTGATTTGTGCGGGAGAGGCGGAGAGCGGGGTTTGGGGGTTGACTGAGAAAACCTGCACGATCAGGTTCGTGTTTCCAATCTCAAAAGGACTGCCCAGATGTCGGAGAGTAGCCCTCTTCCACTCTGAGATTGGAGCGCCTTCGTCGTACCTCGTAAGATGCCATTGCGCAAATTCTACTGATTTTGCCATTTAACACCACCCACCTACAGGAAACTCGCTTTAAACTTGGCAACCAACAGCTGATGGTTCAAACCAACCACAACACCAATGTGCAGGGAACCTTGTTGTAGGATACTTTGGAGTGCTGGTCAAGACGAAGCAATGGATTTGCATTTGGAGGCGCCAGGATCCTGCCACTGAGAGTCGCGAAGACTTGGCCCGAGACCTCCCTTCGGCCATCTAAAGCAAACTGAGGGAGAAAAACGAGCCCTGTAAAGATGGGTTCACGACCCCTGTATTTTGGGTAATGACCCCCTTTTTAAGGGGCCATGGAGACTCCAGGCAGCTCCATCAAGCCCAAGTAACGCGCTCTGAAGCGCTCTCCTCTGTGCGAGGCGGTCTGCCTGCTCAAAGATGTCCCTTTGGAGGAAGGCGACCGTCGCCGACCTTCGAGGCTTTGGGCGGAGAGCACGGACTTTTGTGTTGCATAGGTTCTGGGTTGATGGCAAGGAACCTCAAACACATAGCCCCATCCTTGACGTTGGAAGGGGAGCAACAAATTAAATTTTAGCAGTTTGGGGATTTCCCACTAAACCGCAATGAGCAAAAATGTAAATTGTTTCCCAACGACAACCTTGCATCTTTTGAGGAATCTCTGTCTTTTGTCAGGGGACCCCCAAAATGGCTTCGGCTTTCCTCTTTGTTCCCCTTTAAAATCAAAAACAAGGGGTACCCTCAAAAAAGACAGACCTATGTGGAACATACTTGAAAGGGCCTCATCTAGGGCAGCCATCCGGGGCAAGGACCTCGTTGTTGGGGCCTTCCGGTTGCGTACTGTTACGAATTTGTTTCAAGTCGGCATCGGCTTCAAACATGATTGTTGCATGTAAGCCAGTCATATGCATCGCGCGTTTTCAACTGACATTGGATTCTGAACTTCATGCCTAAATTGCAATTCAGTCAGTGGTTTCGCCCAAGTTCAGTACATGATGATGACGATGACGATGGCGATGATGATGATGATGATGATGATGATGATGATGATGATGATGATGATGATGATGATGATGATGATGATGATGATGATGATGATGATGATGATGATGATGATCAAGAATAATATCGACTACTGCTCAGGAAACATATGGGTGATTCTTGTAGTTGTTGATGAAGTACCCCCCCTTTTTTCGGTCCTTAAATGGAAACCCAAGATCACAACATCGGCTTTAAACAACTGAGCGTTTCAAATAAGAGTCGTGTAGTAAGTGTGGGACCCTGGTATAAAATCACATGGAAAAGGGGGCCTGTGACGATGTATTGAAGCGACAGATCAGGGCTTCTCATCTTATCCATCCGCCCAAAAGATCGTGATGTCCTTCAAAAAGGCTCCATGTGTCAAATGCCCATCTTGCACGTGTGTCCAAATACCCCCCAAAAAACTTCCATTTGCTTAAGCCCCCTGGAAAAACAAAAAAAACAAAAAATGTCCAATAGTGATAGATTCCCATTAAAACCAACAGGGGAAACTGAAAAAATGGTAATTTCAGCAAATGGAAGAAACACATCTTGCATATGTGTCCAAATACCCGCCCAAAATGGCGGTTCTGTTAATTTCCCTGCCTCTCCCCAGGTGAAACCTCGGACTCTTTCGAGCTTCCGGCGCCCAGCAGATGTTCGCCAGCTGCCGCGCGGTGAAGTCGAGCTCTGAGGCAAAGGGCCGGGCGCTGGATTGGCCGAAGTCGAAGGATCTTCTTGTACACCATGGGAATACACGAGGGAAGCTACTCCCCCCTCCAAATATATATATATATACATCTATATATATATATTAGTATATATAATCATTATATATATATATCATTCTATATATATATAAATTATATAAAGCAACATATTGAGGTTGTATCTGGAAGGAGGCTAGAAGAGGGTGATTTGCCAGAGGGCGTAATCCCAGGAAAGTTAAGACTTGTTGCTTGCCACCAAAAGGGTCACAAAACGATTGACATCCAAAGGCAGAGACTGAGAAGAGGTAAAGCTCCCGGGTGTTTGCTGATAGTTTACATTTGCCTCATGTGTATCTTCCCCGCTTCGTCCAAGGGAACCGTCAAACAGCTGCGGTTGTTTTGTGCCACCCACGAATGGGAAAGCATCCTAATGAGCCTTTTGGAGGGCGTCTGCCACTGTTTCAAAGGGTTTGCCGTGTGTGAAGATGGGGCCAACCATTTTGCTTGGCTCCAGTTTGGCCTTTGTCTAGTTTCCCCTATGCAGCGGAAAGTGAAAGCATGACGCAACTTAAGGCTCAAGCCTTCCATTTGCGGCGTCTTTCAAGGGGAGCGGTGGCAGTTCTGTGGGTTTGCCTCTGGAGCGAAGCGAAGCACACGATTTCAGGCTTTTGAACAAGTCCCCAGTCTTCTTGTGTTGACTCCCCTGGGTTTAACATGGAACCTTCCAAAGGAAACATGTCATTGTGTGGAATCTCCTTTTGGGGGACCCCTTTGGGGTTGTGGAAAGGGTTCGCAAATATTTGATTTTACACAGTCCCACAACACGCTTGACTTCACGACCTCAGCGTTCTCCCAACCCAAAATCATATCTTTGCTTTGAGCCCCTTAATGTAAAAACAAATGAGAGGCTATCATCAGGCCAAAGGATCCGTCCTCCAATCCCATGCACCCAGCTGGTCTCTCACGACCTCCATGAAAACCAAGTTTATTTGAACCTTAACATTTCGCGTACCAAAACTGAGGTCAAGTTGGTCCCAGGTGAGTCACACTCAAAACACGGTATTAAAATGGTCGACCCAGAACCATGTAAAGAATTAAGAAGCCGGATTCCCGCAGCTACAGTATCTATGGTTGGGATCGTCCCTTACCATCCTTCTACCCGAATCGGTTTTGAGCAAGTGCCTCAGGCCTTGCTCCATCCGAACCAACGGGGGCCGCCTTCCGGTTCCGTTTCCCTTGGGCCGAGTCGCGCGCCTTCGGCGTGCGCGAGGCGCGCGAAGATGGCGCGGTCCGCGGTGCCGGTGCTGCCCAAAGCCCAGCAGAGGTTGGCCACGCCTCGCGAGGCTCGGAGCTTGGGCTGTCCAGTGATAGATTCCCTTATAGAAAGAAACATAACAAACAACAACAGGGGAAAATAAGACAGATTGTTAGGCAACCGAAGGGGTCCGATGGAAACCCCCCGCCCTGAAAGGTCCAGAACAGACACTCCCAAGTTTCCACCAAAGGTAGCACAATTCACCTGTTTTTCTGTGTGTAAGGCTTTAGCGAATGACTAAACTTCAAGATTGGTTGTCAAAACAGCCTCTGTCGCAACCAGTCTCCTACTAGTATCAACCCTTGGAATTCTGCCATCAAAATGTCACCCGACTGTAACCCCTGGCACCCCTCACCTCCTCCCCATGCCCCACCCACACACACACACACACACACCCAAAGACATCCCCCGGGCCTTGGTTGTCAAACTCTCGAAGTCTCGGCAGCGCCGCCTGCGCGATCCTCGGCACCTCCTAGGCGCTCAAGCCGACGACGGACAAAAGGTGCGGTTGGAAGGCCTGTTGGAAGGGTAGAAACGGGTGTTGTTGTTTTTTTCAGGAGCTCACTTCCGGTCGAGTGGATGGTAGTAACCAAACTGTTTGCCTACGGCTAAAATGGCTTTCCCAAAAAGTATAAGTCCAGGAACTCGGGAAGTGAGGGAATGGGACCCCCCACAAGGCTGTTTTGGGTTTTGGCCTCTTGAACACCACAAAAGCGGATACCAACTCAACTGAAAACACGGCAACTCGGCCCCAGGAAACCAAGGGGAGAACGGATCTGGGCGCTGGTCTTTTGTTGAGCTGGTAGCCTGCTGGGTTGGTTCTAAAGCAAAACCGAAAGGAAGGCCACCATTGTGGGGGGGGAAAATCCCCCGCCCAACAAACAAACAAACATATGGCTAGTGTTTGGAAAGAAGTATCCCAGTTCCATATTTTTCTCTGGAACTATAAGCAACTAAGGAAACGGCAACCTCTGTAAGAACCAACCCAGTGCACAAAACCCCTTGGGTAAGCTTCTCAAGTGGCTTAGCCATCCATCAGCCCCCCTCTTCATCGGTGGCTTGCGTGGCTTGGAGGTGTTCTGGTGGTTTGGAGCCAGGGGATTGAAGCTGTAACGAGGAGTGGTTTGGTTGCGCGTTCCTTTGACTTTTTTCTTCCCCCTTCCGGGTGGCTTGTTTTCTTTTCTTTTTTTGTGTGGACTCCAATTGGTTTTGAAGCACAGGTTCCGCAACTGTTGGGCATGTGTACACTGTCCTCAGATCCCCTGCTGAACGTTTAACCTTTCGTGGGCTATACAAATGGACACCCCCGCCCCCTCTTAACCAACCAAAAACCTAAGAACCTGAGGAACCGAATGGCTGCGAACCACCAAGTGCAGACCTCAAGGTGTCGGCTGAAAAAAGTCGAGGTGCCAGTGCCAGCGGCACTGAGCTGGAGTTGGCGAAGCCTCGTGACCGAAGCAATGGCGCTCTTTTTCCGCCGGCTGAACATCCCGAAAACAGGTTTGACAACGGAAACAGCTGACATCTACCTTGGAAAAAAATTCCAGGCGGGCGGAACCATGGAAATGAATCCAAAAAGGCCCTAGCTTTCTGCAAGAAGATTCCTTGCATGAAAAACACCAAAGGAGGCCGTCTAAACAATAATGGAGTCTTGATCAAAGTAGAACCTTACGGATTCATAGGGGTTGTGTTTCGCTGAATGGCCAAGTTGCCTTCTCTGATTTGGGGCTTCCCACTACGCAAGAAACCAGCCAGAGGCCATAATCAGGGGTCTCAGTCTCTAAACCCCTTGTGACAGCTCACTCCCAGACCATTTTCATGCAAACATCGAAGGGCAAAAGCCTGAAGCGGGTGGATTGTGCAAACTATGGGTCTACCGACTTCTTTTTTGAGGGCACCCAAATTTGTTGATGCCCCTCTGGTTGATGCTTGAAAACCTGCCCTTGGCTCGTGTGCTGAAGTAGTCTATTGTGAAATAGCCATACGCCAGCTGTTCGTTCCATCCAAAAAAATGTTGCGCACACATATGGCAAGGAAATTTATGTCAACACCCGCCAAATGGCTGATGGACCCACATTGAATGTAAATGTTGTCAACCAATGGGTCCCTAGTTTCACATTCAGGTCCATAGGCCCACTCCGAACTGGAAGTCTTGTCCCGTCTTGTTATGCATGATTGACCCGCCTTGTACGTGCTTTATACGATGCCTTCTTGGGTGAACCAGGACCATCCCATCAGCGTCGATGCGACGGGAAGAGACATGCATGCCATGCTCAAAACTCCTCATGTGCGCCCATCTAACTGGCCTCACTATTTTACACTGCCCCATTGTCTGACTTTGATAACCCCCAGAAACAGGGAAAATAGTGTCCCCAGTCTAATGGAAAAGAAACTGAACTCAGCTAGTACTGTCACGTCTAGGTTCTGGCAGCCAAATCTAGCAAACCTTTAGATGCAGAATGATTCCTGACTTCATTCAAGGTGTCCTAGTCTAAATTCACTACTAAACTTGGTCAACGTTGAACCCAAAGCGTAGGATGTAAATGTTGTTTTCTAGCATCATCATGCTTTTTCAAGGACAACTTTTGAGGGAAGGGTCTCCAAACGGTAGACCCCCTTTGGGATGGTTTTGAAGGAAATCCACAAGAAAATGACTTAGAGGTCCATTTCTTATTTTGAGAACCAGCTATATATATAACAGCATCAAATGCCACCAAACGTTAGCTGCACGGCTCCCAGACCCCCAGACCCCAGACCCGCAGACCCCCAGACTCCCAGACCTCCAGACTCCCACAGACCAGCCTGTATCAACCATTAATGTCAGCTTCCACAGTTCCCAAGCTGTGTCGGTATACAACTCTATGTCATGTTTTCCAGAACCAAACAGTCTCCAGGACTTTGCGAAAATCTGGCGCCTGTAGGAATCGGACCCCAAAATGGCGAACGACTTTGAGGTTGGTTTCCCTTTAAAACCCCAACAAGAATTCGGGGTTACGCGAACCGTGGCCTTATAAGCAAGCTTGCAGCAGTTGTAACCTTGACGTTTGAAGATCCAAAGGGTTATAACTATGCATCCAAACTCTCGAATGGAGAGCTCTAGAGGAAGGAGGGGGTCTGACGGAGCTGAGGGAATGAGGGAACGACCCCAATGAAAAGGTGGTTTGCTCGGGGATGCCTTCTGGTCTTGGCAAGCGGCTCCAGGCCAGAAGCGACAAATCCCGGGCAGCAAAGGCCTGGCACAGCTTCAACGGTGGAAACTGGGAACTTGTTCCCCTCGAATTGGGTGGTCCTCGTTAAGAAACCAACCAAAACAAACATGCCGACCCAGGAAGAAAAATCAAAAAACTCAAACAATAAATTCGAGCCGGAAAATTGAAGTCCCGGACAAAATGCAAACCCGGAAAAACGGGAAAAATGACGCACCCGGCAAAAGAGAAGCGCCAATGAACGAAATTCCCCTTTGAGGCTTCAAACTCAAAAACTTGAAAAAGAAATTCGAGCCGCTCATTTGGTCCAAAGAGGTCGACCACACCACACCAATGTTCGAAACCCTTCTGGCTCGGTTTGAGCTCTCGAAAGTGTGGCAGGTTGGCGGTTTGTTTGCCTTGGCAAGGGCCCCCGATCGATGGCTCACTCGAGACAACGGCCAACCAGATGTTTTCACGTTGCAATGCCGTGTAGGGAGATGCCCGGCCACGAATAGCAAATGTTTAGACCCAGGGGCAGCTCTGCCCCTGATCCCACCTGAGTTTGGTTTGGAAGCGGACTTGGTAAAGGGTCGATCAAGAGAGCTGGTGGAACCCATTGAGACAAACATCGCCCAGTCAAAAAGGATCCTCAACCAGTGTGCGCCAGGTGCAGCTCGCGGTGAAGGGAGCTGCAAGTTTCCCTCTTCCCATCTTGGCCTCCATTTGCTTGTTCGCCCCCTGGAAAACATAAAAATGTTTCCCGTAGAGATAGATTCCCTTTAAAACCAAGAAGGGAAAATTGAAAAATGTGATTAACCAAATGGAAGTAGGCCTTCCAGGCCTAAGCGACGTGCTCGGATTTGCTTTATCCCCCGCACCCCCGCCTGCGAGCTACTCGGGCTATTCGCCTCCCGCGCCAGGCGCAGCGCCAGGTGCTGGAACTGAGCGGCCTTTGCCCGAAAATGGAAAGAAAGAACTCGCCGAGACCCTAAGATTCTAAATGGCTTCAGGAACCCCCAAAATGATGGGTTTGAGTGTGTCTTTCCTTTAAAATGGGTGTGTCGTTTCTTAGAGGAACCCCCAAAATGATGGGTTTGAGTGCGTCTTTCCTTTAAAATGGGTGTGTCGTTTCTTTGTTTGAGGTGTGGAATTTCATGAATTACAAACCTTACTCTAGCCCTGCTTTCGGCGTAGAGTAAGGATCAAATACCAAACAAACTCCACCAGGCTTGGAGTGAGGAGTTGTTTCCCGACAACCCACCCGACAACCCACACGAGCCAACTAGAGTAAGGTGTGGGACGCGCTGAGGACTAGAGTGAGGTGTGGGAATCCTTTACACAGGTCCTTTACACAGGATTGCCCGGGACATGGTCAGACTGGCTTCCTGTTGATAAATTCTTCACATGGGGCATGAGAAGGTGACAGCTTGACTCCGCAGAAGACTGCGGGACGACAAAGCGAGGTTTCGTGTGCTTTTGCAATGATCCATGTGAAGGATTTATCAACAGGAGGCCTTCCTAAAGGACCCGTTCTAGTCTAGAACAGCCTTGATAAGGTCAACCAAATATAGAGTAACGTGCCAGTAGCTCAAGGGACACAGCCCCATTTGGAGTAAGGTGTGATAGATCAACCAAATATAGAGTAACGTGCCAGTAGCTCAAGGGGCACAGCCTTATTTGGAGTAAGGTGCGAGAGATCAACCAAATACAGAGTAACGTGCCAGTAGCTCAAGGGACACAGCCCCATTTGGAGTAAGGTGTGAGAGATCAACCAAATGTAGAGTAACGTGCCAGTAGCTCAAGGGGCACAGCCTTATTTGGAGTAAGGTGTGAGAGATCAACCAAATATAGAGTAACGTGCCAGTACCTCAAGGGACACAGCCCCATTTGGAGTAAGGTGTGAGAGATCAACCAAATATAGAGTAACGTGCAACAAAGCTCAAGGGACACAGCCCCATTTGGAGTGAGCTGTGGTTTTGGCAGTCTCTCAGTTTCAGCAGAAAACCTGCTTACTTACACTCCCTACCACGAGAAGGTGGAGTGCCATCAGAGAGCAAAAAAATCTGCAGAGGCGGCCATTATCAGCCATACCTTGCAGATGGAGCAAGCCATTATCAGCCACTGAGCTCTTATTTTCTGTATTTCAGAATAGTCATGTTGAAATTGACTTATTTTTCGACGCGCTTTTCCTATGGCTGTCAGTCTTGATTCCCCTCTCCGGGGGCCGTATAAGACCATGGACAAGGCGAAGGTGGAGTAAGGTGTAGAACACATAGATGAACAAACGTTTCTTGGGAAGTCCGTAAACGTAAGACATGGATGAGCAAACGCTTTCTGGAAGTCCGTAGACGTAAGAAATGTGTTCGATGGAAAGATCAACAACAATCAAGGCTTGAAGGCCTGCTCCCAAACGTACCGGCTGATCGCTTCTGGGTCAGCTGCATGATAGTGCTTTTCGGCAATAGTCTGGGAGTGACCGCGGTAATGGTCCAGCATGTCTCGAGAAACTCTGCTGCCGTCCGCTGCCCTGACTTCACTGGACTTTTCCAACAACTCCTTCTCCACCTGTGTCCGGATCGCATTGCACGACACTCCGGACACCTTGTTCATGGCCCCCCGAAGGTTGTCCTTCGAGAAATACTGGAAGAGCGCCACTTCGGGCAACCCTTCCGCCGTAGTTGCCAGTCCACCTTTGATCTGTGGACCGTCTGGCAACTTGAAGTACTGCTTGAGCACGGGGAGATCTTGTTCTATGTACAGCAGCAGCTCACGGCTCCGGGGGGAGAAACTTCCGAGCCACAAAGTGAGCCCGCGACATCCTCTTGACCGGCTCGGTCTTTGTGGCCTGAGCGGATTAGGAAAAATGCCCGAAAAGAAGTTGAACAAGCGCAATCCCCCATCAGAGAAAGAGTCGTGGTTGACCAAGTCACACTTTACTCTAGAGTAACACTTGAGATGATTCAACCCACACCTTGCTCTAAAGAAAGTTTTGCCCTTGCCTCAGCTCCCACAGGGGCAAACACCGCGACTTCGTCTTCATCCCGGATAAAGATATTCCTTTCCAGGATGAGCGAGTGCCATGCCTGGTTCCGCTCCAGCGTGATGAACGTGTGCCAGAAGCATAGCCAGGCTGCACAGAGCCGTGCCGCAAGGTAGCCCATGTAGAGCCGATTCTCCTCAGGCGCGTCAGCGTCCAAAGCTGCAATTTTGGCCCGCAGCTTGCGCTGCTTCTCTTCGTGAAACCAGACAGCGCCTCTGATCTGGTTCACGTCAGGGGGAGGCGGCTTCTTGTCCATAGCCCGGATGGACGGCCCCCCTTCTTTGCCCTTGCTGGTTCTCTTGCGGGCTTCAGCGTCGCCCGTGGCTTTCAAATGGGAGAGGAAGCTGTTCCTACTCTGCGCGCGCTTCTTGGCTGTCTCCTTGCCCACAAGGGGTCAAGTGCTCAGCACGCACTGTGCCACGGTACTGAGCCCGCGTGTCTGAAGACGAATCGTTTTGCCGTCATAGATGGTGCCACGGCAGGCTCTGGTATCGTCATCCCCCATCCAGCGGAAATATGCCGTGACCCAGGCCTTCTCACGGAAACAATCCACCAGCTTCAAATTCTCGGGCACAATCAAGCCCTCACGGACCAGGAAACCCACATAGGCCCGGAACGTTCCCCACTGAATGCTGCAGGTGACTTCGCCACTGATGGCGCCTCCGGCGGAAGCGGGGCGTTTTGGGCTACCCTCCGCAGGCGTGGTGCAAAGGAGCCGCTCAAACCGCTCTTTCTCACCATCCTCAAAGACTGTCTCGGCCACCACCCTCTTGTGCTTGCCACCGCCAGCATTCGGAGGAACGCGGTCCACTTTCCCAAAGCCAACCTTCGCCTTCACGGCGGGCTTCTTCTGGATCTTGGGCTCAGGCTGCTTCTTCGCAGCGGGCTTCTTCTGGATCTTGGGCTCAGGCTGCTCCTTCGCAGCGGGCTTCTTCTGGATCTTGGGTGCGGGCTGCTCCTTCGCAGCGGGCTTCTTCAAAAGTTTCCTCCGCTTTGAGGCTCTTCCTCTTAAAGGCTCTTCCTTTCACCTTACCCCTGGCCCCAATCGCACCCCACACCTTGCTCCTAGACTCAATTTCAACCCACATCTTACTCTAGTTGGCTCGGGTAGGGTTTGGGCAAGGCAGGAGTGAGGTGCCAGGTAGGGTAGAGTAAGGTTAGAAAGGAAGAGAACGCTCCTAGAGTAAGATGAAAAATATAGAAAAGATAGTGAACATGACTAGAGCAAGGATCATGATTGGAAAGCATCCTGCACCTTATCAACTTAGAGGAACCCCCAAAATGATGGGTTTGATTGTGTTTTTCCTTTAAAAATGGGTGTGTCGGAACCCCCAAAATGATGTGTTTGAGTGTGTTTTTCCTTTAAAATGGGTGTGTCGTTTCTTAGAGGAACCCCCAAAATGATGGGTTTGAGTGGTGGGTTTCAGTGTGCCGTTTCGTAAAGGAACCCCCAAAATGGTGGGTGTGGGTGTGTCGTTTTTTAGAGGAACCTTTAACATGATGGGTTTGAGTGTGTCTTTCCTTTAAAATGGGTGTGTCGTTTCTTAGAGGAACCCCCAAAATGATGGGTTTGAGTGGTGGGTTTCAGTGTGCCGTTTCTTAAAGGAACCCCCAAAATGGTGGGTGTGGGTGTGTCGTTTCTTAGAGGAACCCCAAAACGATGGGTTTGAGTGTGTCTTTCCTTTAAAATGGGTGTGTCGTTTCTTAGAGGAACCCCCAAAATGATGGGTTTGAGTGGTGGGTTTCAGTGTGCCGTTTCTTAAAGGAACCCCTAAAATGGTGGGTGTGGGTGTGTCGTTTCTTAGAGGAACCCCCAAAATGATGGGTTTGAGTGTGTCTTTCCTTTAGAATGGTGGGAGGAACCCCAAAATTGTGTCTTTCGTTTAGAATGGTGGGTTTGAGTGTGCCGTTTCTTAGAGGAACCCCCAAAATGGTGGGTTTGGGTGTGTCGTTTCTTAGAGGAACCCCCAAAATGATGGGTTTGAGTGTGTCTTTCCTTTAGAATGGTGGGTTTGAGTGGAGGAACCCCTAAAATGGTGGGTGTGGGTGTGTCGTTTCTTAGAGGAACCCCGAAAAATGATGGGTTTGAGTGTGTCTGTCCTTTAGAATGGTGGGTTTGAGTGTGCCGCTTCTTAGAGGAACCCCACAAATGGTGGGCTTGGGCCAAACCACAACATGGTGGGTTTGGGTGTGTCGTTTCTTAGAGGAACCCCCAAAATGATGGGTTGGAGTGCCTTTAGAATGGTGGGTTTGAGTGTGCCGTTTCTTAGAGGAACCCCTAAAATTGTGTCTTTGCTTTAGAGTGGTGGGTTTGAGTGTGCCGTTTCTTAGAGGAACCCCCAAAATGGTGGGTTTGGGTGTGTCGTTTCTTAGAGGAACCCCCAAAATGATGGGTTTGAGTGTGTCTTTCCTTTAGAATGGTGGGTTTGAGTGTGTGTGAGTGTGCCGTTTCTTAGAGGAACCCCCAAAATGGTGGGTTTGGGTGTGTCGTTTCTTAGAGGAACCCCCAAAATGATGGGGTTGAGTGTGTCTTTCCTTTCAGATGGTGGGTTGAGTGTGCCGTTTCTTAGAGGAACCCCCAAAATGGTGGGTTTGGGTGTGTCGTTTCTTAGAGGAACCCCCAAAATGATGGGTTTGAGTGTGTCTTTCCTTTAGAATGGTGGGTTTGAGTGTGTGTGAGTGTGCCGTTTCTTAGAGGAACCCCCAAAATGGTGGGTTTGGGTGTGTCGTTTCTTAGAGGAACCCCCAAAATGATGGGGTTGAGTGTGTCTTTCCTTTCAGATGGTGGGTTGAGTGTGCCGTTTCTTAGAGGAACCCCCAAAATGGTGGGTTTGGGTGTGTCGTTTCTTAGAGGAACCCCCAAAATGATGGGTTTGAGTGTGTCTTTCCTTTCAGATGGTGGGTTGAGTGTGCCGTTTCTTAGAGGAACCCCCAACCCCCAAAATGGTGGGTTTGGGTGCGTGTTTGTGTTTTCTTGAAGGATGGGTTGACTTTTCTTCCGCTTGCCATTGGGATCCTCGAAAAAGACTTCGCCTTTCCGGAGAAACATTTGGGCTCACGAAGAGCGAACCCTGGAATTGCTCGAGCGCAAAGAATGCTAGGTGCTCCAGATTTGAGAGGTTAGAATAAGGGTACCAACTTTTTTTCTGTAGTCTATTTTAGTAGGGGAACCAAAAAGGGTAAAAGGGCACTACTGGGGGACCTAGTGCGGTTGCGAAATCCAGAAATCGCACAACCACCACCACCACCGTTCAGAAGCCATGGGAATGACACCATAACGTTTGTCGGTATTTCCAAGGGAATCGAATCATTCAAGGGTTTCTTAGGCGGTTCGAAATGGATTTCGTCCATCCACAGGACGGGTCTGTCTTGTCTTGAGGGAACTTTTTTTTGTGGGGGGGGGGGGGGTTGAAAGGAAACCAAAGGAGTATCGAAAGGAAAAAACACAACTTTGGAGGGTGTTAAAATAGGGGGCCCAACACATGCCTAGGTTATCAGGGGACCCCAAGATTCGGTTTGTATCATGTGGATGGGTTGCTGGGACCTCCAGAATTATTTGATGTTGTTGGGGTAGACCAAACTTGGAAACTTGGGTGTCTTTTCTGAGAGGATCCAAAATTGTAGGTGTCCTGGTATCCCTTTCAAACCAAAAGAGAAAAGCGCAAGGTGCCCTTAAGAAGCGAGACACGCCCAAATACCAAAAGCTTTGCTCTTGGCAGGCCCCGCTCCACGTGATCAGAACCAAAGAAGCAAGGAAAATGGGCGCGCAAAGGGCACATATCGCATACCCAGTATTTCCCAGGAGAATACTGTGGTACCATGCTGGGGGAAAAGCACATGGTCAGTGCCAATTGCCGGAGAACAATGGAGACCCGTTAGGTCCAACTGACCTGCTGGGTCTACCAAACAACACACCGAGGACAGAGAAGCAAATAGAGCTCCATAAGTTTCACTCGACGTGCCTGGAAACTCCCAAAACATGAAATTGGAACATCTTCCTTTCCCATATGCATACCCTTACCCGGCCCAGTCATTCCAGTCAGCATGCGCCCCAGATGGAAACCTACACCTATCGTTTGGCTCCCGTCAGTGCAGGCCCACCAGAAGCTCTCAAACTGGAGACTTGGCCAACCATCTGCTCTCTGGGGGCAGCAATTGCCTTGGTGCTCTGCACCTTGAAACTCTTTGACGGCTGTGTGGATACCGATCGGGCATTCTAGGGATACGACCGTGCTGGATCTCCTCTTTCCCTCGCCCTCATCCCCGTGAATGCATAGTGGCACACAGCCCAGGCAATCGGCTTGTTCTCTGAAGACAGGATGCGTTGGGTGATAAAGCTGATACGCTTTTCAACAATTTTGCACAGCAGCAATACCGGCTGGTGAGCTAGACAAACCACCCAGGACAGAAGTCGGCAATAATGCTCCGAGGGTCAACGACCGCCTCCAAGAGGATGTTGTTGCACTTTAGGGACATACTCAAATCAACAACCTGTATGGCCATGGGTGAAAAGCTCGTACCCCCAGTGAACATCCCAATCCCCACTAAAACAGACTAAAATGGGTGGTGCACCTACCCCAAAATGGTACCATTGGTTTGACCCACAGCCATATGCTTACAGGAAACACAAACTGCCCCTTTGAAGAACACCTTTATGGTCATGCTTCACCAAAAGTGAGTCCCACCTGCATTTAATCTAATCGACTTGGAGCATATGTCATGCCCAAACAGTGGATGTCACAAATTGTTGCATTTTGCTTGACACTCTTTAATTGCACTCGTCTGGCATTTTCCAAGAAGGATTCCAACTGTTCAAACATGGCTACAAATTCTAATATGAGAGCCTTTGGACATCTTTCCGGGAAACATGTCCACTTCGATGTCCCACTCAGGTTCTAACCATGGTAACGGAACCGACCCCGGTTACCCTATAACCATGGTCATAACCTACAGATTAAATGTGGGTTGAACTCTAGGGGTTGACTCCATCGTTCTTTTCAAAAACCGCCAATTTCCCCTGGGCTCTGCGAGGTTTCACGAAAGAAGGATCCCTGGAAAGAATGGGGGAAGGTACCCCGTAGATGAGCATCCAAGTAAAAGTCGGCTTCGCCGCTCGATTCACCCGGGCTTCGCCCGCCGAAAAAAGCGGTCCTCCAGTAGAGAGGTTGGAATAAGGGTACCCTTTTCTGTAGCCTATTTTGGTAGGGGAACCCTCCCCCAATTAGTTGGTCAAAGGGCACTACTGGGGGACCTAGACCAGACCCCACCTCCAGCTGCAAAGCGCTGAAAGCCCAGCACAGCTGCACAAGCTCCGCCACCCTGAGCGCGCGCCGAGCGAGTTTTAACGGGCTTTAATGGGTTTTCGGCACAAACTTCGGTTGTTGTGGGGTCCAACGGAAAATCCGCTGTTTCCAAAGAAGCTAAAGTCCAACATCCAACCAAATAGCCACAAGAAACCGTGAAGGTCACCAGGTGATTTCCCTGACTCCAGTGTTTCTGGCAAATTGGGTCTGCGATGTTTGCTATACCTCCATGTCCTCCACCCCCGCCCCCCCGCGGAAAAAAGAAAAACAACTATCTGCTTTGATGGTGTCTACTAACCAAAAGGTGAAACTGAAACATATATTTTGAAACGCAAATGGATCCCAGACCCTGAACTGGCATCCCCGAGATAAAGAGAACCAACGTGGTGAGCGCCGCAAGCCCAAATGGCGACTCCAGGTGGGATCGAAAAGCCCCAAACAGGAAGCCGTCCGAAAAATGCACCCGACAAAACTGAGCTCTTCCAGCACCCGGGCTTCTTGGTTGCCGTACTTGGGATTCTGGGCATGGTTGAAAAGCAGACAAGTGTTGGGGTTGTGTGTTCTTCATCCTCTCTTCAAGCTAAATCAAAGGTTAGAGTATATAGTCTAGCCCAGCATTCTCAACCCAGCAAGAATGTCCACAACCTCATTTCCAGCTTGTCCGGGCCTTTGGAAGCTTGGAACCTGTGGGCCAGACATGACAGCTACATCAACTGATGATGCTGGCTTTGCTGCTCCAATGGCATCAGTCAACTCACTTCCCGAAGGACCCGGACAGAGGCAACAAAATCTGCCCACATTGCCATAAAACCCGACCTGAAATGGACCATGCTCCTCTCTAATTAGTGGCATGGATGGAAGCATGACCAAGACTGACATAGGGTGTTTGACCATAGCACATGTGAGCAAGGGACGTGCTGGTACCAGGGAGTCCATTTTCATGCTGTCTTCCCGCTCAAAGAGACAAACAAACCGGAGGTGACGGCTTGTGAGTCCTTTCATGCGACTTGTGGCAAGCTCATGCACAGGTAAACGCAGACATGCACCTTTTGGTGGGACTGTTTGTTCCCCTATGAATTGGACAGAGCATAAGGAATCAGCCATTCCACTTGAACATTTCAGCAACCAGCTTTTGGACTGGATACCTACCGTGATACTGCGTTGCTGTCTCTCAAGGACACAAGGACACCTCAAGACGGATGCCTGTTGAATCATTTCATAGATCCTAATCATTCCGGGATTGGATCCATGTGGGTGTGGGTACGGGGGCACTTAGCTTTTTGAGCTCGGTTCACGTACGCCGATGAGTCTCTTGTGGGTGTCTCAAAACGGGGAACCCAAAAATGGATGGTTCGCTTTTGGTCGCTCTACTTAACCATGTCATGAAGCTCCGCTACTCGCTGGAGTGACCAGCCCGACACCCACACACCCACACCCACACTCCCCCCCGCCCCCCGCAAAAGACTGACCGTGGCCTCCACGCTGAGTCCTAAATGGCCGCAGATTTTGGGTTGTGCGGAACAAAGACCCCGGACCATAACAATTCTTGGAGAGAGGCTTCCATGGATTTTGGTCACCTGTTCTTTGGTGGATTTTAAAGGGAAGCCCCCTCCAAAACTGAAAAAACGGGACACCACTGGAGGTCTAAGTTGTAAAAGGTCTATATAACTTGTAAAGGAACATGCTTAGAAGGGGCTTCTACATACCCAATGTCAAAGTAAGCCCGTGTGCGCTACAGAAGACATCTAGAACCAGTGATGAGCCCTTTTTGGATACAAGCTCTTCTCCGCGGCCAACAGGTGTTTTTATTCGGAAAATCACACACCTATTATTGTAGTATTAGTTTCATAGCTGGGGGAGGATCCCATGTGTTTGCTAAAGAGCAACATCTGAGAATGTACCATACATGCATATGCATGTGTGTATATATATATATATGTCACAATCCGGAAATACGGAACCCCGCAGCTAAGGCGCTTCCATCATGGGCGAACTTGTTTTGCCTGGAGTGAGCTTGTCTTCAAACATTCAGAAGCGTAGGCTTCGCTCAGAATGCATCTGAAGCTCAGCCCCTAAACTGGATCCTGGGAGGGTGCGATCTCCGCACTCGTATACCCTGTCTGTATCTTAATCTTGGCTTCTTTGACCCCAGCAAATCATATAGGTTGTTGGTTACAGGGGGAGCTTTCGTTTTCCAACGACTCTAAGGGCGTTGTTTTGGTGGTAATGTCAAAATACATCTGATCCAAACTTCTCCGCAACAGGCCGGAGAAACCGAACGAGCCAGTGACACTAAGTCCCTGGCATTTCCCCCAATCTGCTCCCAAAGAAAGATGGCTGAACAGAATGGGGAAGCCCCGCTCACACCACCGGATCAGAGCGTGTGTCCTGCAACCGGGAAGTCTGCTCAATGTCCCGCTGCACTCCTGAGGCTGTGGAACCCTGGCTTCCATTTGCTTTTTCACCCCCTGAAACCAAAATATTTGCAATAGTGATAGATTCCCCTCAAGCCAACAGGGCAAAATAAAGTATATTCTTAAGCAAATGGAAGCTGGCTGGGGCGGGGTGTTGAATAGGTCTGGCATTTTGCTCGTCTTTCTCTGCTCAAGCTGCTGCAGCTTTGACTGGAGCAACCCATTTAGGGAATATCTGCAATTCAGGCATAGATCCATGGACCCCACCCCAAAACATCTATGTTTGGCGGCGTCTTGGGAGTCCGGTGCTCTCCGAAGCTCTGTCCAAAGTCATTGGGAACATCAAACACTTCTGTTCCAGATCTGGGTGTCATTCTTAAAAATATATGTTTGTTGGTGTTTAACAGCACACCAACAGGAAACCCAGCATTTTGTGTGGATCCCCTAAACATGGACCCATCTGAAACGATCCGCATTCCCCAGTCTTGAACAAATGCAAACACCTTTCAAGTGCCAGTCCCCCATTCGAGGAAATATCCTTACCCAACCACTCTTGGGCCTTCGATTCTGCGGAATCTTTCAGCTTATGTTGAGGTGACTGGAGTCGGCACTGGCAAGGATATAAGCCTGTTCTACCATCGCTTTAGTGAAGCATGTGTGTGTGGGTTCGCGAGGTGCGCGTGAGTTTGAAGGGTACGCTTTTCAGGCTGGTTGAAACGGAATCGAAAAGAAGCAAATCACCATTTTGGGGATCCCCTGTTCTTCACACATGCCCATGTAAGCTTTTGCCCAGGTCGACTCAGACTACGGGCAACGACTCAGAGAACTGTTTTGCCAGGCTGCTTCCGACTTCCCCGAGAATCAGAAAAGCCCACCACACACAGGGATCATGAACAAAATCCTGCCCAAACAGCAACCACCAAGCACGATTGAAGTTGCGCACAGCATGAGTCACTGCTATCTTTGGCCCTTCCAGGATAATTTTCTGTGTGTGCGCTTGATTGTGGGCATCCCGTTTTATGGCTGCCTTAAACAAGAGGCGTGCAACCCTTCGGAAAAAAACAAGAGAGAAAAAAGAAAAAAAGAAAGAAAAAAAACGACAAGTCAACCCCAGCTGGTTTTCTTGTTGGAACATCAATAAGGTCGCTATTTGGTGGCGAGGACACAACTTGCTTGACCTGAGTGAAGAAATTGGCGGAGAGCATGTCCACTTGTTGAGCCCTATGAACACGCCTTCAGCTTGACACTCGAGGTTTAGATGTTCGAAGGGTTGCGTTACAGGAAATTCGGCAGGAAAACAGCATTATGTACGGTGTTTTGGAGCCTGTCCTGTAACCAAAAACCCTCAGGTGTTTGTCTTTGGCTCCATTTACCAAGGTGCCATTTTGGTACCTTTTTTTGAGCCACTGCCATTTGAATCACAATCAAAACCCGGTATTAAAATGGTGAAGGCGGATTCCCGCAACTATTATTTCGGCTGGGACTGCCCCTTACTAACCTTCATCTACCCGGGCTTTGAGCAAGTGGCTCAGTTGGCTGTGGGTCAAAAATGGGTGAACCCTGGTAAATGGAACCAAGGACTAAACCGGTGGTCCCCTCGTGGTTTAATATTGACCCACCCATTTGAAGTCCAGAGATCCCGACCTATCGGCCAGGCAGCTCCGCGCGGCGCGCTGCACCAGCCCCGCGGCCGCAGTCGCCACGGTCGCGTCGCCTCTGCGCTGGGCCAACGTGGCAAGCACCGCAGCGAGGCCCTGCAGTGGGCGGGTGAGCGAGTGGGGCGTGTGGTGCTTGCTTGCTGGACGTATGGAAGCTGAAGGAACCATGAAGGGACCAAAGGAACTAAAGAAACCATAGAAAATCCTATAGGAAACCATAGGAAAACCATGGAAGAAACCATAGGACATCATAGAAAAACAACATAGGACACCATAGGAAAACCACAGGAAAAACCATAGGAACAACCATAGGAAAAACCATGATGCTTGCCTACTGCTTGCCAAAGGGGTGGGGCAGCTCAGTCCTTTTGTTTGATGATGGTCTCCTTTGGCACCCCAGCAATCATAGGCGCGCTTTGGAAAAATATATATGGCCCTGCCAAGTGGAATACACCCAGCTCAACTAGTGCCATCTATATTTAACCAAGCTAACCTAAAAAGGACACCTATGCCGGCAATCCCATGAAAGTCTTCCAAAGGGATGTGGTCTCCATGGAATCTCCAGGTTGCTTTTTGGACCAACGAGTGGGGCCGAATGGGGTATGGTACCGAAAGGGTTCTGCAACTCGGTGAAGTATCAACATCTGGTGCCACGCAAAATAACTAGGTCCTCCAGTAGAGAGGTTAGAATAGGGGTACCCTTTCTTGCTGTAGTCTATTTTAGTAGGGGAACCCTCCCCCAACAAAACAAAAGGGTAAAAGGGCACTACTGGGGGACCTAGATACTCAAGCAAATAGGATCCAAGACAACCACTTTTGGGGACAGCCTCCCGAGCGGCCCCTGTAAGCGAAAACCCCCCAAAAATGCCAAACCTTCAATCCCTCCTGGTCAGCCCCGGAAAATCCCATCAAGGAGGGGGTGGATGGATTCCCAATTCCCTATGCTCTGCTAACTTCCCTGCAAAAGACCAGAAGGAACAAAACTGAAGATCTCCCAATATGACCCCCTTCCCCCAATTCCAGCTTCCAGGTGGGGATTCGCAGAGGTCGCAGAGACCCAAATGGCGGCTCAGCAGAAACCAACTGTCAAAATTATCCTCCGCTTTGCTCCTCGAAACCACGACATCTTGGGTGAGAAGGCACACGCTGAGCCGAAGCCCGCCTAACCTAGGATCCCACCGACTTGGACGTTCAACCCACTTGGTAGGTAGGTTGTAACCATCATACTAATATATAAGGGTAACTGGGGTCGGTTCCCATTTTTTTGTTAAAAAACATCACCTACAAACTAAGTGGCTTGAACCATCCAAGTGTTCCCACCCCCCCATCCTCCCCCCCATCCTCCCCCCCCAACCGCCCCGGACATCCCATCAGCCTGGGGTTCCATCTGCTCCACCTGCGCCTCCGCCCGCGGCAGCAGCTCCGCAAAGAGCTCCTCGTCCTCCAGGCGGCCCAAGGCCCAGAGCACGTTGGCCGTGTCCTCGGTGCGCGCGTCCGTCGGCCCCACCCGTGCGAGCGAGCGTCGAGCGAGGGTCGAGGGTCGCATGGCTCCATTCCCATCAGCTGCGGTTTCTTCGTTTTGGCCATGGGCCATGGTCGAGGGTCGATTCTCAGCCTGTGGTTTCTTCAGTTGGGTGTGGGTCAAAATCCAAATCGTACCCCCAGTGAACATCCCAATCCCAACTAACATAGACTAAAATGGTGGTGCACCTAGCCCAAAATGGTACCATTGGTGTTGACCCAAAGCCATTTGGGTGTGGGTGAGACATTGGGTAACCCCAAAATGGAACCAAGGACTGGTGCTTCATGTTTGTCCCTTACCCATGTAGAAAATGCCGGAAGTCCCTTGGCCCCATTTGACCTAAAGGACACCGAAAACGGCAGCAGGGGTTTGGGCAGAAGAAACTTGAACTCGACTCATGGCCCAGACTTTTCGGATCAAGGGAGGCTCATTTGGTTCTCGAACCGCCGCGACCGTCCCGACCATTCCCCAACACACTCATCGTTCGACCACAGGGCAATGTGGCAATCCCCAACCCGCGCTGGAAATCATGACGCTGTGTCCACGCTTGGGGGGGGGGGGGCACCATGGCGGATTGCGTGGACCAGGAGCTGGGCTTCAAAACAAAAAGCAGACACAAAAACAAGGCACAAAAAAAACATCTGGAGGAAGCAACTGTTGGCAAACCAACCCATCTACAAAAAAAAAATCATGGCACAAAAAAATAACCAGGCGCTGGGCTTCCAAAACACCAACAAGCAACAAACACCAAGGCCCTAAAAAAGCTACGGCAAAAGTTGGCGCTACTACGGGGGAACTAGGCCCAAAAAAAGAAACCGGCGCCGGGCTTCGTCTCGTTTTTGTTTGTTTGTTTTTTCCGCCCCGGCTGAAGTCCTGCGGGCTGAAGTCCTGCGGCCGCAGCCGGCCCGCCAGGCTGAGGCCGGGCAGCGCCACCCGGCCCGAGGCCAAGGCCCAGAGCAGCTGCGCCGCGTCCCTGGCGAGCGGACGCCCGTGGCACAGGCCTTCCATTTGCTGAAGCTCCCGGGGAAAAACATCCAGTAGTGAGGTTGTTGACAACCAACAGGCTTCCATTTGCTTCCTGGAAAAATAATGAAAACATGTCCAGTAGTGAAATCGATTCCCTTTAAAACCAACAAAAAGGAAAATCAATAAATATACCTGAACCCTCCAAAAGTACTGAAATTTCCGTACATGCAGAAGAAAAACGTCAATGTACACTTTTGAGGAAATTTGACGGAAATCGCTTTTAGCAGGCTGTGGGCGTTTGTGGCGTGGATGCACATGAACACAGTTTGCAGTTTACATGGCCCGTCATACTTAATTCCGTTTCAGGTCATTCGTCTCCTATTGCTGTGGGGCAACATGTGACAGCTTCCTTGCCGCTTTTGCGAGTTTGCAGTTTTCACAGCCAAAAGGCAGAAACCGGAAATGCACGGAAATCGGCGGGAAATGCACGGAAATCGGCGGGAAAAGTACGGAAATCTGCGGAAAAAGTACGGAAATCAGCGGAACATTTGCTCGGGGGAAATGCGAAACTTTTGTCCTTGGTGAATTGCACACCTTGAAATGTTTTTCTTGGCCCATGAGCATGACAATCTCCAGTGCCAGGGCCGGAGCTGAACGTGAGATTCTTGTAGAAAATGTCTTTGAATGCTTCTGCCTCTTGCGTTGAGCCTGCAAGAAAAGTACAGTTTTTGCTCAAATGTATGGATTTCAAGGAAATGCACGGATTTTTGCAGACAGTCGCAAAAAAAGTGCCCTTGGTTGGTCCAGGTATATATATATATGTACCAGTCCCTGGGCCACGTACCCCCCCCCCCCCCCAATGGTATGGTCCCCCCACTCCCCCGCATCATCCGCATCTTGGGGATGATGCTGGCAATGCTGGGGATGCTGTCCAGTACCGTGTGAGCCCTGCAGCTTCGGTCCCAGACTCCCCCTTTCACCCCGTGAACCAACACCCCTGCACCTCTCGCAACATCCTACCCCTCCTTAACCCCAAGCCTAAATCAACCCAAACCCCAAACCCACCCGAAACCCACCGCAAACCAACCCTGAACCAACCCTGAACCAACCCTAAACCAACCCACCAACCCTAAACCAACCCACCAAGCCTAAACCAACTCCGAACCACACCCCAACCACCCAACCACCCACCACCCACCACCCACCACCCACCCCCACCACCCCACCACCCCCACCACCCCACCACCCCACCACCCCCCCGGGGGGGGGGGGGGGGGGGGGGGTCCACGGCCTGGAACATATATATATATATATATATATAGTCATTTCAGCAAATGGAAGAGGTTGAAGGAGAAGATCCGAAACATGTTGCCCCATTTTGACACATGGGCATCGGTCAAAACTTAAACCACTAGGGACAGCAGGATTTAGTCCATGGTTCCATGTTAGGTACCTATTTTTGACCCATTTTGACACATGTCCAGATCTGGGCGAAGAATGGCAAGTGCAAACTAGAAGAAAGAAACAGGGAGGCAAGCAATGGCAAGTTGCAAGGTTTCTCGTGAGTCACTGTCTGTCAGTCACTGTCTGTAGCTACACAATTCGCCATCAAGACATGAGCAACAGCGCCTACGTATATGCGGGTTGGCCAATATTGTTTTTCCTGAAAACCCCTCCAATCTCCAGCCTCTAGCGCTCCAATCGCGACCACAGTGGGGCCAATTTTTCGGAGCCTGATAACTTCTTCCCATCTTACCAGCAGCAGCGGAGGCCTGGATTTGACTTTTTGCAACCCGCTTGGCTGGCTCGAACATCCATCGCCAGATCCGCTGTTTGCTCCAGGACTGTGCCCGCGCAACACTTTTGGTTGAGACAAGTCGCTGTCAGGTGAAACTTAGTTGATTTGAGCGCCCTGCCAGCCCGCCGTTTGCGTACAAATCTCGCAAATGTCCGAAATTGCGCGCGAATACGAAAAGTGTGACATGCATGTGCGAAATTCGGACCTTTTTAGGCAGATGATGCCCCTAAGCGCCCAAATTGCCAACCAAAAGCTCGATTTGCGCCAGATGTCTGCGCCGATCCCTTTCAACCTGGAAGCGGCGTTCGGATTTCTTGAAACCTCAAAGCTGAAGCTTGCTTCTGTCCATCAAGCTGGCTTGTCAAAATGCAAGGCTAAGCCCGACCAGCATGCTGCTTTCTTGGATCGTTGAGGCGAGGTCTTGTCGACAAGGCGCGCAGAAATCCTTGTCCTAGGTGTTTTTCAACAGCTTGTCAGGTTGATGTCAAGGCTATCACCCAAAGCCTTTGCCCAAACCACCCAAAACGCATTGCGCAGTTTTTGGAACGTTGGTTTTGTTTTTGCTTGAAACGCACAAGGTTCCAATGTGCGCACTGTTTCTTGCTCAACCGAAGATCCTGGTTGGTTCGCTCTCAACCCGAAGAAGAAAAAAACAAAAAACAAAAAAAAAGTCCTCGCGCCGTGCGCGCCCCGAACCCCCCGAAACGAGCCGCGCTTGTCGCGGGGTCCGCCTCGCTTCCAGCGGGGCCTTGCGCCGCTCCAGGACTGCGCGCAGGGCCAGGCCCACCTGGCGGGTTCGATGCGAGTGAGTTGTTGGCCCAGGTTGAAACCCACTTGGCTGTGGGTCAAAAATCGGTACCCAAAATGGAAGCCTGGTAAACAAAAACATGGACCAAAACCTGCGGTCGCGTGATGGCTTAATTTTGACCCATACCCACCTAGTCTTTCCATCATTCATTGATTAGAGTTAGGCCCTACAGAATGTGTATTTTATTGTTTGCTTCACATGGAGTCACTGGTAAATTGTAAAATGTATCCTAAGTCTAGCCCAGTTTCTTGGGGGGGGGGGGTGAAAAACCCGAAGTGAGGCGTTTTTTTCACCTGGCGGAACACCCAAGTAATAAGAGTGAGGGGACCCGCGGGATTAAGTCGTATAGGGGGCCCTCCCCCCCAACAGAATCAAGTAGGGGAACAGGACACCACCAGAACACCACCGGCACAGCCCAGGTAACAGACAGTCCCGTCGATTTCCCTCAAATTATCTAGCAACGAATCACCCCACATGCCTATTTTATTTTAAAGGGGCCTTTGCTTGATGTGACCCCGAAGTGAATAATTTATGCTAGTGAGTGAGTTAGATGTTCGCTTTCGGTCTAATAAGAAACTGTGTGTAAGTTGAGAGGAAGTATGTGTGTAAGGTAGTGAGTGTCGGTTGAGTGAGCAAGAGCAAGTATGTGTAAATTGAGTGAGAGTGGCTGAAAGTGAGAGTAAGTACACGAAAGTCAGTGATGTAAGTTAAGTGAGTGAAAGAAAGCATGCATGGGTTAGTGAGTGCAGATTGAGTGAGTGGGAGTCAGTATGTGTAAGTTAGTGGGTTGAAAGTAAGTGTGTAAGTGGAGTGAGTGAGAGTGAGACTGGTTGAAAGTCAGTGAGTGTAAGTTGAGTGAGTGACAGTAAGCGTACAGGAGGAGGCAAAGAGAAGGCGGAGAGGAGGCAGCAGAGGAGGAGGAGGAGGAGGCGGAGGAGGAGGAGGAGGAGGAGAAGGAAGGGGAAGCACGGACAACAACATTAAAGTAAGAACCCCACAAAATAATGTGAGGAAACATATTCCCGTTTGTGTCCCAATTTACCAACACCGGTTCCCATTCATTTCCTGCGAGAAAAACGCTTCCCTTTGATGTCCCCTGTCAAAACCGTTTCCTTTTGACGTCTTTTGCAACAGTGGCGCTACAATGTCTAAAAACAAAACAAACACGCGTCCCTTTGGATTCCCTTGGAAAACTGTTTCCTGTTGATTCCCCTCGAACAAAAGCTTCCCTTTACATTTAACCCCGCAATCTCCCAGGTGTTTTTTGTGGCTTCCCCCAAAAAACGCCAACCCCAAACAAAATCGGCCCCCGAGCCCCCCACGTCCCACGTCCCACGTCCCTCCCCAAGTCACGCGTGCCCGCCCCGAGCCCGCGAGTGCCCGCCTCCTGCAGCAGGGCCTGCGCCTCCGGCAGCTCGCGGCACTTGGCGGCCGCCCAGGCGCCCTGCGCCAGCCAACCGAGGCGCCTGAAGATGTGGGGGGGCCCCCAGGCCCCACAGGTCAGCCACGAGCTGCAGGTGGGCGAAACCAAAACAACACGGGCTTTGGCAGCTTTTTTGAGCCATTAAAAGGGGGGAGGAATATTGATCCGCCTTTCTTTAGAATTGAGGTGGTTCATGTCCTTCGGCTTCCGCTTAAAACTAGCCCAAGAAGGGGACCCCTGTTCGCAGAACCCCACATGGCCCATAAGCAAGAGGGGGCACCTCGGTGCCCCCAATGCGCCTCGCACGGTGCCGCTCGCGGCTATCCGAAGAGCCCAAGTGCCTGGGTGCCAGCTTCCCACCAACTGGGGGTTTGGAGACCGGCGTTTTGGAGGCATTCCAGGGGTGGGAAACCGCATTTGCCCTCAAGAACCAGGTTCAAATCCAAATCCAAACCCCCAATCCAAACGAATCCAAAGAAGGCTCAGAGCCTCAGCCACCCAAAACTGAGGAGCTCAAACATGACCGACTTGTCGCATGCGATCGGCCTCTCGGCGGAACGCATCCTCCAGGTTGTGAGCAACTGAGTTCCATTTTCTGTTTCGAGTGTCAGACGCCAGCCACAACTCCCTGAGTCCCCGGACTGGCACATGGCCCGCATGAGCTGCCGCGCCAGCTCCTCCTCCTGAAGCATCCGGCTTTTGCTCTTGGAGCTGTTTGGGGGACCCATATTCTAGGGGTTGATTCCCCATTCTTGACAGCCATCGTTCTTTTCAAGAACCAGCTGATTTGTTCAGGGTTTTTAGTGGTTTTCTAGAAAGAAGGATCCCTGGAAAGAATGGGGGGAGCTACCCTAAGACGTATGGTCTGAAGCTGTGTGTAGCTTACAGCAAAATTTGAGTGCCTGGGACCCCATATACGCAAATGACCAACATGGCCATACTGACTAAAAAGGCCAAATACAGAGGTTTGACTGAAAAAAAACACGGGCATATGGGGTGGCAGGTTGTCAACGTTCAACCCGTTCTTCGTTTCAAAGAGTTCACTTGGTTACCTATGATGAATGGAATCTCTGGGGGTCTTTTGGCCGGGTTCCGAAATCAACCAAAGGCGCTTGTTCAGGGTGAAGGTTTGTGCCACAGGCACAACAACACACCTTAACAACTTCCAACCAAAAGGTTGCCATGACAACAGACGCACCCTCCGGGAATTGCTCTTTTGGCCGTAGATAAGGGCTATTAAGGAGCACGAAGAACGCCACGCGGAACCGACGCAAATGGCTCCATAGCCGGGGATCCCAGTCTTGAGTTCCACGTAAAAGCCCATGGAACCCAAAAGTGATCCACTTCCCAGAAAGACGCTCCAAGGTTTATTCTTGGGCTCCTTGCCATAGGCGTCCCTTTGGAAACATCGACGGCAACTGGCAAATCTTGACCAAATTGAAACCAGTGCCATCCCTCACCAACCAAACTGACCTCGGTTGCTTTCTGCTTCCCTGCGAAAAGTTTTTATCTGTTAGTGTTTTAATGGAATACCCATTAGTTGGCAAAAAGTTAAAGTCCTGCCATGCAAGCAAAATGCCCCAAACTGACCTAGCGCCTGTCGCGGCTTGCGCCTCACTCGGCATCCGGCGCGGGCTTCTCCGCACCAAGCGCTGCAGGGCAGTGAGGAGGTTCAGGAAGTCCAGGGCTTCAGCGCCCCCAAAGCGGGCCACGGCCTAACGAAGAGGAAGCCCCCCGGCCCAGCCTTGGGGAAAATGGGGAAAACTAGGTCCTCCAGATTTGAGAGGTTAGAAGAAGTTGGTACCAACCTTTTTGTCCTATTTCAGTAGGGTTGAACCCTCCCCCAAAACAGTTGGTAAAAGGGTACTACTGGAAACCCTATAAAATGGATGTTGCTTTGTTCAACCATCCCGTCAAAGGAAAACTTAAACTCACTGCCTGAGTTGACTGAACAGAAAAAGTCGCCTATTTGTTTTGCTTACCACTAAAGTGGTCCAAACCCGAAAAGTGTTTAGAGTTCATGAACTCAGGGAGTGAGTATATGGGACGCCAAAATGAGAAGTGTTTTTGGCGTCCCGTTGGTTTCCCTTGAAACGAGAAAGCCCCATTTGCAGCTTCCCTTTACTCACTTCCTGAGTGGAAGGCCCAAAAACGTCACCAAACGTTTCCTTCCACACCAAAATGGCAACCAAACCCCAAAAGTGATGATCAAATCCGAAACGGAAAACTCAGGCAGTGATCCAGGCTTTCTAGTAGAGAGGTTAGAATAAGGGTACCCTTTTTTTCTGTAGTCTATTTTAGTACGGGAATCCTCCGCCAAAAATGTTGGTAAAAGGGCACTACTGGGGGACCTAGTGACGTTTCCAGGGAGACCAATCCCTCGCACACCGCCGCGAGAAGCTTCTTCCCGCGCCTGGCAGACCTCCTGTGGCTCCAGGCCGCGCAAGTTTCGAGCCAGGGCGCTCTGCTGCTGCCAGGCCGTCTGCGGCGTTTCTGGTTTGTTCTCTCGCGATAGGCAGGAAATGAGGAACGACATCAAGGATTCCCTAAGGAAACCATAGGGGATGCCCGTGTTGGGAATGAACCGTTCTGCATCCCGAAGAAAGGAAGCCACCAATTGGATGGTTTGGGTCATTCCGTTCTCAATCCCTGCAGCTCTCGCACTAGCAAGTTTTCTCGGGGGCCCAAAGGGCAACTGGTTCTCTTGCTTGCAGCCTCGCAAAAACAAAAAACATCAAGTAGAGTCGCCGGGAAAAAAACCTGGAACCTCAAAACCTCAACTTAAACATGGGTTGTTGCAACCCCAAAATTATGAGGCAAATTCATGTCTTCACGGGAATTGTGAGGGCCCATGAAGACGGGGTTGTTTTGCAGCCCCCGAACAAAAACAGGACCCCAAACACTCAAAGACACACAAATAAACGGAGCGTGCAAAGAAGAGTGAAGCGTTCCAGTGGCTTGGATGCGTACGGGTCCCAAGCCAACGTGGTTGGCAACCAGCAACCCCTATGCGGAGCGAAACCACTCAACCCAAAAACAGAATCTGGTGAACATGTCGAATCACAAAATGCTCTGGCGTCGCTTTCTGAGGGTGCCCATTTCGTTGGGGATGTCCAAGAGGTTTGAAACCAATGGGAGATCATCCATATTTGGGGGTTCCCATTTGGGTGTGATTTCAGAGGGTAATTATGCTGTATGCTTGTTGGATGGCTTGAGGAGAACCAACGGCCTGCTGCCCATTTTGGAGGCCTCAGAGACACAGGTGCCACTTCCGCCCTGCCTCGCTGCAGCCGCGGGTGAGCAATCGGCCTATTCGGATTGCAGTGGCGGCAGCTCGTTGAACGCTGCAAAAACTTCGCAAGCCCTGATTCCACGAGTCTTCTTCTCCCAATTCCGGACCAGTTCCGGAAAAGAAGAGGAAAAAGCAAAGGCCGTTGGTGGTTGTCTGATTTTCGGTCCGAGCAAGAGAAAGCCACGCACATGGTGGATGTCGCTTGTGATAAACTCTTCAACCCGCGGGACATGGCGACCGGTAGACCGACAGTGGATTCCCCCATCGCGTTTGTGAACATCATCCAACGGCCTTTTTACCAGGTCTTCCAACTTCCACTCCACATACCCATCATCCTGCCTTCCATTGACAACGCAATGGAATGTGCTAGGAAGTGCAAAAACGGGTTGGTCCTTTTGGTGTCCCTTTCAAACCACTGAACAAGGGGTCCACCATTTTGAGAACTCTTTTGGTGCGACTTGGATCTGGGAAATCAGCACTTCACAACAGGTATGTAAGCCCCTCTCTACGATACCGTAGAGTGGTATCAATATACATCCTGACGTTTATACCACTTTGAAGTTAGCCCACTCTACATGACACCAGCCAAACAAGCCCATCACGCGCTTCAAGAACAGTGAGTCCATGCAGGCAACCCTTTAATTGGTGGTGAACCCCTTCTTGTGATTAAAGGAGGTTCCCCAACCTGCAAGAGGGAAGCGAAGTTCCATGACTTCCCCCGGCCCCGGCCTCGAATCACGATCCGAATCGCCAAACACCTGCCGATCCGAAGGGGGTTGTCCATTGGGTTTTAGGCGTCCGTGCCCGGTGGATTGCCCAGGTTTGGACTTGCAGGTTGTGACTCGGCGAGATTGTGCGCATCGTAAGTCTTGTGACAAGCTTGTTGTTTGGAGACGGCGCCCATAGGCGGCTCCTTTCCCAATGAGATTCCTCCATCTGATGGGTGCGGATTCAACCATCTGAAGGCAGTCAAAGGCTGGCTGACTACAATAAAGAAGTCTGTTGCACAGCTAATTCAAATCGAGCTTTCCATATCGTGGCCTGGTGTGCCGCCGGGATACCTTCTTTGTCTTTCAAAGATGCGCTAAACCCCTTGGGCTTTGAAGATCACACTGCCGTCCTGTGGTTTGGAGGTTCGGGGGTACCTTCACAGTTGGGCTGAAAACACTACCCTTATACCCCAGTATTGTATTTTCTTCCTCGGCAGCGGAGCTTAAAAATGGCTTGGGCGCACTTAAGTGTTGGGTTCTCATTTTCCACCTCGAGATCCCTAGCCATGAAATGGGAGGAATCATCTGACCCCAATCTTTGGCTTCCTGGAGCTCCTCAAAGTTTCAAAAGGCCTGACCTCGTGGTCCGAGTGGTCGAAAAGGGGAACCCCGCATGAAACCCCTTGGGTTTGATGGGTATCCAATGTTTCTCAGGCATTCACACAAAACCTGGGAAAGGAACACCCTAGAATGGGTGAGAAACAGCCAACACTTTGGAAAGTACTACCCTAAACGGGTGAGAAACAAAAACAACAGGGTCAACAATCGCCTTGGTGCAACGCGGGTTGCAACCCTCACATAGCTCGCTCGGGCCTCAGGGCCATGACGTTCCGGCGTTCCGGCCATGGGGCGACGGAGCGACGGAGTCGCAAGGCCAGAGTATGGCAAAGCGCCCGGCCGAGCACACAGAAACCATCTCAAGTTGCAACCAAGCTAACTTCTAGGCCGTCAATGAGATCTTTTACATTTTTCAACAAACTTCTGATGCAAAAGGCTGTCCCTCAGTTCCCCAAAATGAGTCAAACTCGTAGCGTACTCCATCTCAATGACGTGCTGGAGTCTGCTGTAGGTATTCGCGGATTTGTTGGCGTCTCCGGTGATCGCATCGTATTGGTACAATGTCACGAGTGATTGGGCCTCGTGAGAGCTCAGCCAAACAAATATGTATCCTGAAAATGGTACCGGCCTTTCCCTTGCCCTGTCACAAAGGCTCAGGGGATTCTTTGTGTTTCTTGTTGTTAAACAAAGTTGTTCTTTCTTTTCTTGTTTTTAAACGTTTTTTATGCATTTATTCCCCAAACAGCAAAGCATTGGGGTTCTAACTTGAGGTATAGAGAATGGGAAAGTGTGACGCCGGTTCCGGGGTCCTTGTCTTCCTGTCTCCCAGTCTCTCAAGTCAGATGTGTCTCCCAGTCTGCGGTCAGATGCGATGCTGTGACGCCGGCTCCAGGGTCATTTTGCTGTGTCTCCCAGTCTTTGCGGTCGGATGCCAAGATGCTGTGACCCTGGCGTCGGATGCCAGATGCTGTGTCGCTGGCTCCAGTCCCGCTTGTCTCCCTGTGTCTCGCACAGTTCCAGATGCTGTGACGCTGTGTCTCAAGCTTGTCCCCCTGTGTCTCCCAGTCTCGTCTCGCTGTGCCAGACGCTGTGACGCTGGCTCCGCTTGTCTCGCTGTGTCTGGATGCCAGATGCTGTGACGGTGTTTCCGGGGTCGTGTTTCCCGCTTGTCGCTTGTCTCCCAGTCTCTGCTGCTGTCCGGGGTCGTGTCCCGCTTGTCTCCCTGTGTCTGGATGCTGTGACGCTGGCTCGGGGTCGTGTCTCCCGCTTGTCTGCATGTGTGTCCCATCTCCCGCTTGTCTTCCTGTGTCTCCCAGTCTCTGCGATTGGATGCCAGATGCTGTGACGCCGGCTGCGGGGTCGTGTCTCCCGCTTGTCTCTCTGAGAATCAACCTAACACCTGGCATTAATCAAAGGAAGTTTCAAAGGAACTTCCGTAGTACGGACACTCAATGCACTTTTCCATCACCGCAGCATTTGGTGGCCGTCTCGCTACTCTGCTGAAACTTGCGCATCAGTCTTGGCAGCTTGCGGCCGAGACTGGGCACATGCCACTTCTGGTTGCTATCTTCTTCTCGAGCTCGGCTAAAGGTCTTGCCATAAGCAAAGCATGAGAACTTGCACAAACTTGCAGACCGCGCCTTGTAGCGTTACGGCCGGGACATCCTCGCCTAGCAACGCAGACACACGCCGCGCCAAATTGGCAAGCATCAGCAAGGGTGCCCGTTTGGCGCACACCTCTGTCAGCTCCAGAAAATCCTCAGTGTTTGAGCCGGCAGTAGCTTGGTCATTCAGGGCCTTCATCTCTGTCGTGTCCAGCGCGCCGCATGCTCCCAAGAGAAACCATCAAACACGGCTGCGGCGTTAGCGACTCTTATTAGATTCTACAGCCACCGAACACGTGTCGAAACATGGCCATGACCGTGTGTCCTTGTTTCAATTACCACATTGAGCACCAGAGCCGCCATTCCGTAATGTTGCTGGGGAGTTCGCCACGCGCGCAGAGTGTCCAGCAGCACCGAAACCTTTTGCGAGAACGGGTCGGAATCGATGTTCAAGGCGTAGCTGAGGAGTTTCCTGAGCAAAGCAATCAGCCGGATGTCACGATTTGTTTGTTTATCGAGAAAAATAGACATATTTAAGGCTCAACGATGCTCCACAAGGATGCAAACCTGCAAAAACATGTTCCCCCTCGAAGTCGATGAACAACATCGATGCTTTTACCCGGCGTCAAGGAGATGGATGGACCAGATGTGTCCTCTTGCCAAAGAAGGGGACTTCCTACAGGGACATACATAGACTGATTGTAACTATGTGTTGCTCACATAAGCTACTCAATTTCGCACCTTACATGAAGGAGACAAGCCTTTTTTGGGTTATACAGACCTGTCATGCGTTGTTGCTGTTTGGGGTCGAGGCGGGTGTAATTTATTTACATATGTGTTGTTCTAAAAAAGAAACATATTCTGACATGCAAATGGCAAAACAAAAGCCAGCCATCTGGAACCCCACGCAATTTGCCACGAACCGGATCGATCTCCCGCCCCATGACTTGGCGCTGGCCGCCTTGGAGCCGTCGGCTGCGCTCGCAAGCCCTCTCCCTTGAGTCATAATCAAAACCCGGTACTAAAATGGTCGCAATCCCAGAACCATGTAAAGAATTAAGAAGGCGGATCCCCGCAACTATATATGGTTGGGAGAGTACTTAAAGAGTACTAAAGGACAAACAAGGGAAAAAGCAGGTGAAATCCAGGAAAAGCTCAAATCCAAACCGTTTTCTGGTTTTTGGCGAGGTAGGTCATATGCAGAGTCATAAGGAACCAATGGGTGATAAGCGTATCGTAGGGCTTGACTATCACCGCGAGAAGTGAGGTAGGGCTTTTCCGCATTGCCGCGGTTATAAGCTACTTGTCCTGACCTATGTAGCTTAAAAGCCGCCGAGGGCTTGCCCTTTTGGCCTTCTTCTTTGAACCGGACCCGCTCTCGGTTAAGGATGCCCCTTTGTTTTCAACCAAAACACAACCTTCCACTCACATCTTGAGTGGACTGGCCGAAATCAAAAAGCAAATGTGTGTCACCAAAACGGCCTTCCCAAAGTCCAGGAACTCCGGGAGTCTGTCCGCCCCCTGCCCAAGCCTCCCAAAGCTTTTCCTTCGGAGCTGTTCGGAGCGCCACGCGGAACAAGGCTCATCTTTAAGCCAGCGGAAATCGTCGAACCGGGCAAGCTGCACTTACTCTCCTGCAGACGAAAAGAAGCAACTCTGCAAAAACGATCCATCCGGTTGGTCGCCGACCCGGCTCTTGCTAGCTGGTGCTTAGACATTGCAGTTTCCAAAATAGGCTAAGAGGCTACTCTCCGTCAAAGAACAATGGAGGATATCAATTCCGGGGAAGGACCCCCCTTTCACAGGCTGCCCAAGCTACGAATCCCCAACTCTGTCTGAGCTCCAGGTTCCGAGGTTCCGGTCTCTTCAGCTGGAGCTCCATCTTTGAAAAACGGCCCAAATGTCTCCGACTCTCCGGCCTCCCGTCTCTTTGTGGAGCTCGCTGGTTTTCGGCCGCAGAAAAGCTCCCTGCGCCTGGCTCAGGGATACGACGCCGCCGTCCGGAGGCCAGAAGGGGTCTATGGGGTTTGGGTATGGGACGCTCGTCTTTTTTGAGGCTTCCCCCCGTTTTCAGTGGTTTTGCAGAAACACCCAAAAAAGAAAGTCGCGATTCTTCAGGATTTGTTTCTAACAAAAACACAACCGCAGAAGTCTTTAGATAAACCCCAATAGTACCCTCCCACAAACCGGGTTTGGAAGACTCGTTTCCTTTTGGGACAGTCTCCTGTCCACTTCCATGATTGGAAAAAGGGAAAGGCGGCCACAAGAGAAATACATCTTCCAGAAGATACCTGCGCGGCACGTGCCATTTGCACCAGGATGCCAAAGGGGTTCTTCGCGGATACCCAGAAACATGCCCAGGGGCGCGCTGTGAGCCATACACACCAAGGCCAGCCGGGCTAGACCGGTTCTCGTGTTGAGTGAGGGTCCACCTTGTTTGCAACAAACATCGGGTTCAACTACGAAAACATATATACAGTACAACAGCGGTTGACTCGCTTTTCTGAAAGAAACACGTGGCCGGGGTGCGGAAATGGACGTATACATGGTTCTGAGAAGCTGTTTTTGTGGGCGAGCTTCCCAACATAATTTCCCTGCCTAGCTGCAAGGGGGGGAAGGTAAGGTGCAAAACCAAAACATAGATCAAAAAGGCCCTTGCTCCGGACTAACCAAAGTTGTGTTTCTGGGCATGTATCAAACTCCTGTCGGGAGGAAATAGCGTTACGACGATGACCCCAGCTCAAGCCAAAGACGTATGTGGACCATGGCAAGCCATCTGCGCAGCACTTGTGTTCTGGCACCTGCACACGCTCTCTCAGTTCTCAGTCCTTGCCTGCTTTAGCAGGTAGCGTTGTGCACTTATGCAAGCAAATGGCGGCCGTTTGGGCACCATGGTCAGTGGTCAAAGTAAAAATTGATCAAAATACGTGTACATGTGTCGCAGAACACAGGATTTCTCAAACTGCGTCTGCCCCACGGTTTGTGTCCTCGCGCGTTTTGCAGGCCATCTTGAGCACATAGGATTCATCCGCATCAAAGCTGCGCGACAGCTCCTGCTCCGCTGTCTGCACTTCCCACCACTCATCCAAGCCGGCATCTGCGGGACGGGTGAGGACCACCTTGGGGGTGGCAGATGGCTTCCCCAACCACAGCAAGCCATCTCGACCCAGCTGGACCTTGGAGTCGTCAGCCTTCAACTCCACGGTATGGCCAGCTGCCTCCGGGGTGACTGGATGTGCCGTTCCAAATCTGATCAATTGACTGGTGTCCATTGAAACGAGAACGCTTCTGGAGAAAGCCTTAGCTTGTATGATCTTGTATGCTGTCGACCCCTCTGCAAAAAGTTGACCACTTTTTGTGGGTTTAGTGGAAAGCCCACCTTGATTTCAACCAAAAAGTTCGGGTCGAAAGATTCAAGCCAATGGCAGTCAAGAATTCGGGAAATGGCTCAACCCTGGCCTCTCCCAGCTTGCCGGTAAAGGGCTTCAGGAAGTAGGTCAAGGGACTCAGCTCGAGCTTCTGGCTGATGACACCCACCAGGCGATCCGCCGTCTGCGACGGCTGCACCTTCTCAGAAATCAGGGCCTCTGATGTCTGCTTCAGCTTTTGGCACATCTTTACTGCATGTGACTCTCCGGTGTGCAGAATCACCACCTGCGTGCGTTTCAGATTTGAGGGAAGGGGGAGTTTCGAGATCTTAGCTTTACAACCCCTTGGTATGGTAGCAAAAGGCGTTGTCTTCTGCGGCCCACCAAAAATGAACAGAACCAAAAACCCTACAACCCAAAAAGCCTAACAAGAGTGACTTTAGGGTTCCTCTTTGGCGTAGCCCACCTGTACATTCTGCTCCTTCAGCTTCAGCAATGGCACTTCCGGCTTGCCCGTGCACGTGAGCCCGGTGTCTTGGTCGCAGAAATCGTCGTGGGCTGCGGCGCTGTAGTCCTTGCCATGGCAGGGCGCGTCGGTGATCACCACGACCAAGCGCTCTTTGGCGGTCCAGGGCAGGTGGGTGGCAGCCAGCAAGGCACCCGTAAGCTCCTCGAGCTAAAAATCACATAGAAACGTCCTTTCACTGGGCCGTGTCAATGGTTTTTGTCAGGGTATCTTTTTTTAAGTTGGCTGTGCGTTGAGTTGCAAACACCCTTTGATGAAAAACAAAAAACCTGTTGGTTTCAGCCACCCTTTGACCAAATAACCTCTGTTGGTTTCTCAACCACCCTGTCTTTAAACAGGCTCCTGAGTAACTCCCTTTGTCTGAACAGCCTTGACCGGAAACGGCAACCTGTTTCGCGATGCCCAATCCTCCGGAATTTTGCCTCCATGACCCAGTGGCTGCTTGATCCACTTCATCATGTCATCCGTGTCTTTGGTAAACTTCCCTCCCAGGTTGAACTCTGTGAGGCTGATCTCCGGATCATGCTTCTTCTTGATCTCACTGCCACCATAGGCAAAGACCACAGGCCGGTTCCTTTTCGCGGTTTCCTCATCCCAGTCATTGTACCCAATGGCAGCCATCTCCAGATCCACGGTTGCACCTGGCATATGGTCGAAGGCCATCCCCTTGACGGCATCCACGATCTTCCTGCAGCTGGACTCCGCCTGGTTGATCTGCTCTTTCATGCTTCCCGTGTAGTCCAAGATAAAGCACAACTGCGCCGTGATGACCGCGGGCTCCCTCTTCACAACGGGAATCTTGAAAGTCTCGAGCTGCTTGTGAACGCTGTAAACACAAGGGATCTTCGCTGGATCAGCCTTCACCTCTTCGGTTTTTGAGGCTACCCCTTTTAAGCTTTGCTTCAGGGGAAACAAAGAAACACACACACACACACATCCATTTTGTGAGGCAACAATTAGTTGGCGATTTGGATTGCTTTGGATTTGGATTTGAACGGGTCCTGGTGCTTGTAGAGGGTAAATGGGGTAAACCACCCCGGAACACCTCTGAGCCAGAAATCCAAACCACCAACTAGAGGCTTAAAGAAAAACACCAAAACGAGCTTTCCTTGGCAGTGATGCATTTAGGACGGATGTTTTTTTGGGAACCCCGTTGAGTGCTTTATTCTTGAGGGTATCCGGTCTCTCGTGTTTTTCCACATCCGTCTTCGGGGATGGGCCCCTTAACCGACATACTCAGTTGGGTCTTTTGTTAGTTTGTTTTTCCTTGGAAGGGGAGGGGGGGCGGACCGTGAAACTTTTAAATTTCCCACAGTTTTAAAATCAGATACATATCATAGAAAATAAGATTATGATCACAAAACCAGATTGGCTTGTATGTATTCAAATCAAAACCACCTTGAATCCTCATCATTCCCCCCCTTCTCTTGTGTGTTTCTCCGAATCCGTTTTTTGGGGATCTGCCGTCCTTTTCCTTTCAAGGGGCGAGAAGGAGGCCGCGGACCCGAACCGAACCTTCGCACCCCGCCTCCAAGGCCAACTCCAAGGCCCCGGCGTAGCGCGCGGCGTCCCTCGCCGCGAAGGCGGTGTCCAGCTCCTCCAGGGCGAAGTCCTTGGGGTCGCGGCCCTCGGGCACCACCGGCTTCCCGCGCGGGCCCTTCCTTGGGAAACAATTTGGAACCTGGACCGGTCCTCTCTTGGAACCGAAAATGGTCGCCTTCCTCGAAAATGGGGCAGTCCGGGACCTGGACCGGACCTGGCTTTATTTGTTGGAACCGAAAAAACAACCAAAACATGGGGGAAACCATGCAAAGTCAAAAGGTCACCTTTTGGAACCTGAATAGAAATCAAAATGGGAAAGCTCATTTCAATTGGTCAAAAGCTCGCTTCGCTTTGTTCGACTGAAAAGCGCTTCCCAAGCGGTTTGGAGCTGAATCACTGGCTTGGGGGACCCGTTAGGGGACCAGCTTAAAGAGGAAGCCACAAAGGCAAGTGGAACATAGTTTAGAAGGCTTTCTAAGACATAAACGTCCAACATCAATAGAATATAGAATGTCCCCTTCTACAATGAAGGTGAAATACCTTTAAAATGGGCCTTCAGCTTCCCTCCAAGTGGTTTGTAGACCGGTGGTTTGGGGTTGAGTGGTTTCTCCTTTGCCCTCTACAAGAAGGGCTTCAAATCCAAATCCAAACCACCAATCCAAGCCACCAAGTAAGGGTGACCTGAGACCTAAGAGAAAACCATAGGAAAAAAGACTCTTCCTTGGTTTGGAGGGGGAAAAAAAAAAAACGGTGATCACCGCATACGGTGTGACGCTAGGATGTCCTTTTGGGTTCATCTGGGTGTGACATTTGTGTTGGCCCGCCTTTGGGGACACGCAAAAAGGAGTGTGTCGCTTTGCTTTGGGGGCATGACTAAATATGGGGTCATGTATGTTTCTTGCTTTTTTACGACTTAACATGGGGCTACTACGTATGGGTGTATTTAGCAAGGGTCTCCTGTGGGGGGTCTCCGACCAAAAGGGTAGCCTCAATCGGGGCACCAAATCAAACCAATCGGTCGATTCGCTTTGGTTGCAAGTCTCTGAAATGCCTGCTTGTTCACCTGGTACATGCAGCCCAGCAAAAGTGCCACACACACCAGGCCAGCAACCACCATGTAGACAATGGTCTCGTCGAAGCCATCGTCACTTTGAGCATGGGCCAAGGCTACCGAGGAAGCAAACAGCAGGCGGTACATGGCTTCAGATGGCTTCAGGGATGACCTATCTCGTCTGAGCTTGTGGCTGCTGAGAACAACTCGATCCAAGACTAATCTGAGATGCCTGTGAGCTCTTGCAACCTCCAATCTGGGTTCCTTTAGGGAGTTTGGTTTCAAAGGGGAACAATACGGGTCCAAATCCCATGTTTTGTCCACAAACACAGGGAACATCCAGCTAACCTGAGCTCGGCCGATGCCAGACTTGGCCTTGCAAATCAACAAAACCCACGGCTCGGCAGCCCGAAAGGTGTCTTGGCCAGTACTCCAAACACCACCTACCTTCCAACCAATCAACATGGAGCCTTGAGTTTTCGGAATCCTGGAAGACCGATTTCCTGTTAAAGGGACCTGTCAGATTCCAAATTCATTGGTGGGAGGGTATTCAGTTTCATATTTGATCTGCCTTGAAATGTAACCTTGTAGAGGAGACCCCGTGTAATTTCAGGGCCTGGGCACTTTTATCGAGAAATTGCTGTGGTTTGGAGCCGAATCGGTGGCGGACAACCCAATTTACCCTTTTTGCACCAAGGGTTCAGATCCAAATCCAAACCATCGAGCTCCAAACCACCAATTTGCGGTTACCTGACAATACCAGTTTGCCAGGTTTCGCCAAAACCTCCCCCTACTCTGGCACGCGCCAGAACCTACCCCCAACCTCCCCCCCCCCCCCGCCGTCTGCCTCCCCGAAATCGAAAAAAGCCATCTTCACAAGAACCCCCCTCATAGTCTGAAGGGCCATAGCTCGAACCCCAAAACCGAAACAACACAAAACACACCTATCCGAGAACGGTTTCCATGTCTTCCCATGTTTCTCAAGCTCAGGGCCTGGAAGAGGCCACCCTGCAAAATGCAAAATCAAAGACCAGAACTAACCCATAAAACCACCCACCGAGGCACGGGGGAAAAAAAAGAAGAAAAAAAACAGACAACAACAACAAAAAAAAAACACCAGGGCCCGCCTCAGTGCACCGGCGCCGTGGGTGTGGCCGCGCGCCACCCCGCCGCACTGAGAAAGGCCAGCGCCACCACGCCGAAGAAGACCCGGCCCCCGCCTCGCGTTCCATGGCGGCGATTCCATGGCAGAAGGTGCCGGTTGAAGCCGTGGTTCTAGGGGTTGATTCCTTCTCCATTCTTTTCAACCATCGTTTTTTTCAAAAACCGGATCTGTTTCTGCTGGGTTTTTGATGGTTTCCTGAAAAGAAGGATGCCTGGAAAGAATGAGGAAGGTACCCCTAGAATGGTGGGCATGGCTTGTGGGAGCCAGGGGTCTGAATCTATGGACTCCAGCTCATGGAAGGGGTGTGAACCATGGGTGAAACGGAATTTATGGAAGGGATGATGGGTAAAGAAAGTGCTCAGCCTTGACAGGTCTCCGCCCAATTATGGAAATGCGCCAGATTGCTGGTTTGACCCCGGAAAAGGAAACTAAGTACCTGGGCATCCCAAGCCAAAATCTGGGCTGATCAAACTCAGAAAATCCTGACACATGGTTCCCAAGTACCCCATCGGATTGTAAGCGCATTTTGAACACAAACCGGGAAGCCTACTACTACTACTACTACTACTACTACTACTACCCACTACCCACTGGTGGTGGTCCTTGTGAACCAAAACCAGCTGAGTTGACCCGGGCTCGACCACATGGTCGGGAGTTCGACCCAAGTGGGCCACATCAATCGCACGGCCTCTTCGATGGACGAACCCGGCGGGCATGTAAACCCCCCAAAACTGTGGGAAGTTGAGGAAGTCTGGGAGGGAACATTGCAACCTTACCCTCGTTCCCTTTGATGCATTTCCCTTTTTTCAGTACCATGCTCTGCCCAACCCTAAATCGTCCAAGACCAATGCGGAAACAATACTAAGCCTACCAGACCTATACTCAGCCAATACTACCCGAAAACCCATCCATCCCACACCAAATGGTTTTTGTCTCAAAACTCCCCCACATTTGTTTTTTCCCTCCAGCCCTGCCCCCCCACGAAAAAAATGCAAATAAACAAAAAGAAACGATAAGCAAAAAAACGTGTACCCACCAATAACCCCCCCCCCAGCGCCTCAGCCCCCCATCAAACGTGCTTGTCCCGAAGTAGGTGAACCCCTGGTTTCCTCCAGTTCCCCAAGCAAAACCTTCCCCCCCTTCCCCCTCCCAAATAAAACCAACCACGCCGCCTGGGCCGGAGCGGAAGGCCTCCATGGCGCTATGCGCCGAGGCGGCGGAGAAGATGCAGGTGCCCAGCACCCGGCACTGCATGCACTCCTCGCGCCGAGAGATAAGTATGGGTGCTCAGGGTTAAAACCAGGGCAAAGGATGGTTTATAAGGGTCATTCCCTGGGGTGGTTTATAAGGATGGTTTACAGGGGGAAACATTAGGTTTGTTGCTCAAAAACCATTAGGCTGATGTATTCCCTTGTTGCACTCCTCGCCCCCGGGGTAGGATAAGCGTGTGGTGCTCAGGGGTAACACCAGCCGAGATTTTCTGGTGGGAGAAGTAGAGAATGGATAAGGGTTATAGCCTGGGGTGGTACTCAGGCGCGAGAAACCTAATAGTTTTCTGGTGGGAATGTGGCACCTCAGGGGTAAAACCATTAGGTTTGTTGCTATTTCCAGGGAAACATCATTCCAGGCTTTGTTGGGTGGTGCGAAATAGATTTCGTCTATCCACAGCTCGGGAATGTGGTTGAATGAACCCAGGCTTCGGTCTTGAAGGAAATCACCAGCAAAGGATGCTTTATAAGGGTCATTCCCTTTCTCATTCCCTGACCAGCAAGTTGATTCTTTCGCTTTCTCGAACTGTTGTTTGTCCAACCAACCGCTGGAAGCTATGGATTTGGTCGATGGGCCCAGAGAGGCCCCTGATAGGTGCCCGAAAAAACCGGAACCGGGGGCAAGGGACAGGAGCTCGTCTCTTTAACTTTTTGGAGGTTGAACACAAGTACCAACTATCGGTACCCCTGTTTTGGTTTGGCTTTTAATTACCGAAATTCATGTGGAGTCAATTCATGTGGAGTCAAACATAGAAAACAGTTCTTGGGCATGGTACCCGCTCTTGGGTGTGTGTTAAAGGAAAATTAAAAGGAGAACTGTTGTACCCTTTTGGAGGTTGCACCTAAAGAGACACTCCTCGTGAAATCGAAATGGGTGCGTCTTTACATGCGCGTGGGTAACAATAGGGTAGCCCTTAATTGGTTGCCGTGGTACGTGAGGAAACCCACTGCTTGGTTGTTTGTTTTCAATATATAAGACAAACCCATTTGGGTGTGTCTTCTCCCCTCTCCCCGCGGTTCAGTGGGCTTCCTTTTGGTTTCCCTTTAAAACCACAAAAAAAGGACCATACCCTCTCCCTTTGAACATAGAGAAACCGCCCCACACTAGATTATTATATTTGCACGTATTTAAAACTACTAGTACTTTCTATATATTATCATACTTTTACATGGACTAGGCAAAAACACCCTCCAGGCTGCTATCGGCCTAGTATATTTGGCCTACCCCGGCGATCGATGTTTGACCATGGGACCGCAGGCTTTAGTCCTCATTGGATACATGTTAATGTGTAGGGGAGTACATCGATCGCTTGGTTGTGGGGCGGGGTGGTTTCTTTATGTCCAGAGGTAGAGGGGTATCGAAGCGGGTATGTCTCAAAGTATGATATGGACCCCCAAAAAATGGGGGGTCTTCGGCGAAGGTGTCCATTTAGTGTCCCTCTAAACCCATCTCAAAAGGGTATGTTGTTGTTCATTGGCGAGCATGATAAAGATTCTGATTGAAGGAACCACCATGTCCACAGAAAAATATGACCATGGCACTTAGGCTATGTGTCAAAGGGATTTGGACCCCCCCAAAATGTCACTGTTGGTTTCCCAAGGTGAAAAGGCTGCGGTACCCAGCAGCAAAACATGCACCTTAGGTCCTCGCGAATTGGATCGAAATGGGTGACTAGAGCTGTGGGGGGTCGAACGGAGGGAACCAACCGGTTGAACAAATGCATTCGGTGAAACTCCAAATGATTGCGGGCTTTACGTGAGTACCCCCACACAAAGACACGTTGCACTGGGTCAATATATTGCAGCAACAACACGAGTTTGGACGTTTAATTCTAGCAAATAACAAACAACGCTGGGCTGTCTTCCAATCCCCTGCTAAAAGTTGAACTTTTAGTAAGTCAAATAGAACCACTAAATTCCAACTAAACAAATCATTAAAAAACAAAAACAAAAACGAAGGAACCCACCAGCTGGCTGGTTGCACCACCCTCCGAACGCCATCAAACCACTCCCGCGGCCGTCGCCTTCTCCCCCGGCTCGGGACGCCGGATGCGGCCCTCCGACAGCCGCTCCACCCACGAGTCCATGACATTCATGGCGCGAAAAAGCGAGGCCCCCAAGCGCTCGCGCAACAGGCCAACCGCTCCGGTGCTTCCAGGTCCTCCAGATTTGAGAGCTTAGAATAAGTTGGTACCCGACTTGTTTTTTCTGTAGTCTATTTTAGTAGGGGAACCCTACCCCCAAAAAAGGTAAAAGGGCACTACTGGAAAAAACAACAACTAGGCTTGTTTGGGAGGGCTTTGAGGGGGCTCCGCCAAAATGGAAACAGAGCAGAATATGAGGCCGCTGGAGTTTCCCAAAGCAAACGTTGATGAATTTGCAGGTTTCCATTGAAACGAGAAAGCCACTTTTGGAGGTTCCCAAAAGAGATTCTCACATCCAATTGTTTTGGCTTGCTCAGCTGGTCAACCAGCTGGGATCCAACGAGTTGTTGGATCACTTCCGTGTGGGGGAAATGCCTTCCAAGTGTGTCCACCTCGCTGTGTGTTTGTGGCGGTATGTGTTTGTTGGCGCTGGTTTAAACAGCCAGATTCAAACTGAGCTGCGATTCCGGCGGTTCTATGTCCCATGCGGAGACAAGCTCAGCAGCCGGCAACTGGAGACTCGGAACGAGATGGCGCAAAAATCCTTCTTGGATCCGGGCAAAGTGCTTTACCCTACCAACACAACATGGAAGTGAGAACGGCCCCCTTTCCCAACAGAAAAGCAGACTTCCAAAAGAAATACATCCGCGCACTTCAGCTTTGGTGCGAAAGGGGGTGGAACTATGTTAATTCATGAACCTGAAATGATGACAAGAAAGAACATTCATCTGGACTCCGAGCTTGTTCTCAAAAAAGTTCTCCCATTGCAAGGCCCGTGTGGCTTCCCCCATGATTTTTCTCATAGGTTCCCAAGGTGTTTCCTCATGTCCAGCATTTTCCCCATTGTTTCCCATGAATATAGGACTGTTCAATCCGAAGTTGCTTGTGCTGTTCGGCGGAGTTGCCCCTTTGGCTTATCCCCAAAAAGAGCTCTCAACAAAATAGACTATCCATTTCATCCACAGGTTTATCCACCAGGCCACAGATTCAGGGACTCAGTCGCGCGAGGGTCATGGGAATCCGGGGCCCATACATTCAGCTAATCGAACCATCGGAATATTTTTTGCAAGCCCGGGCGCCTGCGGAAAAGCAGACCGCTTGAAGCACATGGAAAGCTGAAGCCACGGAACAAGTAGGTCCCTGAGGTCATGGGAGGCAACTTCAAAGGATCCCGGAGAAGCTTGTGTTTGAAGCCAAAGAATCCGGAGCCCGACCTTGTAAGAAACCCTGAAGAATTCCAGAAACAGGTCCCCGAGTGCAACCCAAATTGCCCCCGCAACCCGAGTTACGCCGACGAATCCATCGCGCGCGAGACCCTTTTCTCAGCTTTTGGGCTGCATGACCACCTCCAGCGCCAGGCCCTGTGCGCGGAAGACTGCCCGACTTTCCCAGAGTTGCTGGGTCTACATCTTCTCAAACCTTGGCATGGCAGGTTTAACATGCCACTACCAATGAAACTAAAAGACTAAACAACGAAGAAACTAAAGAGAAATGCAAAGAAGAGGGAAGACATAGGTGTGTGTGTGTGTGTGTGTGTTAAAGGGGGGCCCACGCAGTGGATGTCGGACGGGTGTCCATTTGATGTCTGTTTAAACAAATCCAAAAATAGGCGCCGAGCCTCAACAGACACGCCTGCCGACAAACAAGGAGCCTGAGAGGGACCCGTGGAAGACTATTTCCCTCAAGAGGCCTTGTTGCAGGTTTTATGCTTGCTTTTTGGAGGGAAAAGTTGATGGCTTGAGGGTTGCGAACGATTTCCACTGCCTAAAAGGCTACCACCACTTGGTTCTCTTTCTCGGAAGCCACCCGACAATTACCAAAAGTTGGCTCCCATGGCCATGACTCAGTTGGTTCTGAAGCACCCCACCCCTTGTAGTCTTCGGTCTGGGCAAATTGTCTGTGTTCTTAGGCCTCCAACACCAACCTTTACCTGGCCTGCACCACTTGAGCAGTGCCCAAAAAACGGCCATTTGAGTCGGTGGTTTGTTGCTGGGGTTGATTGGGAGTACAGAAAGAACTAGATAAACCATTATATACGACTATATAGATGCAGAATATAGTACACATACACAATATAACAAGATATACACAACATACAGACAAACATAGATATTGTCGTAAAGTAGATACAACAGAATTCTGACCGTAGAACCAAAAGTTGATGGGTTTCTGTAACCCATTTTCTCCGAGGCTGCGGTACACATGCGCCTTGTCAACTCCCACATGCGCAAAACGCATCCTTTCTAAAACAAGTCCGCAGGAAATACCTTTGGGAAGTTCGCCCACGTTTCTGGGTCTTGGAATTCGCGAGTTCGATTTCGAATTTCCTGGAGCCTCCCGGTGGCCATGCGCGAAAAACTTTGGATCTCGAGCCCTTGCAGCACCGGTTCTGGAAAACTCACCAGGAATCTCGCTTGGAGCAGCGCCCAAAATCTCTGACGACCATGTGGGTGGCTCTACTACCTGGTTTCTTAAATTAAGGTTCTGGCAGGGTCCATCCATGTTGGAACCCAAAGTCAACGAACCGGTTTAGGGCAAAGCAAACATGACAAATGTTCTTGGTCACTGGGGAGGTCACAAAGTTCTATAAAATTGGCGTTCTATGAATGACCACATACATTGCCACTTACGTTTATTGTCATACTCAGTGGTCGAAAATGAAATACCTTTTCTTGCAAAGAAGTTGTTTGCCACCTGCCTGGTTTCTCCAAACAAAAGTTGTTGAAACAAAAGTTCAAGCTTGTTGGACCCCGTTGAAACAAACTTCTCCGTGAAATAAAAGTTAGGTCTGGGCTTTTCAAAAAATAGATGGTCTTAAACTGGCGATTGTAACATCGACATGAAATCCCTTTCAACCAAACAACCAAAAGGGGCACCAAATGTTCAAAGGCTGAATGCACGTACCAATCAAACCAGTCTTTGCTATTTTGGGCGCCGTTCATCCAAAGGGGTTGCTGGGGCTAGGGTCCGAAATCTGGCCAATAATAAGCAAGCTTGATGACTGTTGTCCCCCAAGCAGGTTTATTTGCTTTCCAAGTCAGTGTGTTTCGCAACCGACGCAACTTTTAGGTGTCGATAATGACGACGATGATGATTATGACGATGAGGATGACGAAGAGTCATGTTGATTATTTGCTTTTCATCATTCGCAGTAGTAGTAGTAGTAGTAGTAGTAGTAGTAGTAGTAGTAGTAGTAGTAGTAGTAGTAGTAGTAGTAGTAGTAGTAGTAGTAGTAGTAGTGGTGACGGTGGTAGTAGTAGTAGTAGTAGTAGTAGTAGTAGTAGTAGCACTAGTACTAGTACTAGTACTAGTACTAGTACTAGTAGTGATGGTGGTGGTGGTAGTAGTTGCAGTAGCAGTAGCAGTAGCAGTAGCAGTGGCAGTATGAGTAGCAGTAGCAGTAGTAGTAGCAGTTGCAGTGGTAGCAGTAGTAGCAGTAGCAGTAGCAGAGCAGTAGTGGTAGTAGTAGTGGCAGCAGCAGCCCTCGTCGTCGTTGTCGTAGTATAAGCAGCCGTCGTAGTAGCTATATGTGTTTGACTTGAAGCCCAGGGCCTTAAACTTAAATGCAAGAGCCTTTACCATCCTTTTACACCCAGCTGACCAAAACGATGGTGGTCCGGCAGCCGTAATTAATTAAAGAAAGCAACAAGAGCTGCCAGAAACTCCTGCCTCTGCCAGGGCGGACACCTGCGACAGCACGCAGAGGATGTTGGGCACGCAAAGGACATCTTTGCCTGCGGCGCGATTCGAACTGCCGCAGAACCCCCCGAACTGGCCGATTAGGACATCGAATTGAAGTGACTCCGTCGAGTTTCCAAGGGGCCCATCCAAAAGGCAACCGGCCAGCAGTTCCCACCGGCAAAATCATAGACGCGAGACCTACCCAACGTCGCTAGGCGCCGTTTGAAAGCTTCCTGTTGCAAAGCTTTGTTCCCGCCGGTGCACCAAAGTATGAAGCGTCTCAGGTTCTGGCTTCGTACCGATTCAGTACTGAGTGAGTCTGGGACTAACGCTGTTTTAGTATTGCTGACTACTGCCAATCTGAAACTTGCCTTTGGCCGGTTTTTTTTGAATTTGGCCAGCATTGTGCTATTTCTATACATATATATATATATATGAGGAGCGGACGAAACCCTTTACTTGGCCTTAGTACTTTTTTTAACGTCATCGTTTTTGGGGGAGACCTCATCGTTTTACAGTGTTTTCGAACTTTGGCAGATCCGGCTCCAAAATCGCAACTTTCTAGCACAAGTCTAGTACGCGAAGTACACTTCCGCAGCTCCAGCTCGAAATTCGCAACTTTGTAGTACAAGTCTAGTACGCGAAGTACACTTCCGCAGCTCCAGCCCGAAAATTGCGAAATACAATTCCGCAGCTCCAGCTCGAAAAGCGAAACTTGGCAGGCAGTACAAGTCTAATACGCGAAGTACACTTCCGCATCTCCAGCTCGAAAATCGCAACTGTGCAGTACAAGTCTAGTACGCGAAGTACACTTCCGCATCTCCAGCTCAAAAATCACAACTTTGTCGTGCAAGTCTAGTACGCGAAGTACACTTCCGCAGCTCCAGCTCGAAAATCGCAACTTCGTAGTACAAGTCTAGTACGCGAAGTACACTTCCGCATCTCCAGCTCGAAAATCGCAAAGTTCTAGTAGTTTGTAGTACAAGTCTAGTACGCGAAGTACACTTCCGCATCTCCAGCTCGAAAATCGCAACTTTGTAGTACAAGTCTAGTACGCGAAGTACACTTCCGCAGCTCCAGCTCGAAAATCGCAACTTTGTAGTACAAGTCTAGTACGCGAAGTACACTTCCGCATCTCCAGCTCGATCGCAACTTTGTAGTACAAGTCTAGTACACGAAGTACACTTCCGCATCTTCAGCTCGAAAATCGTAACTTTGTAGTACAAGTCTAGTACGCGAAGTACACTTCCGCAGCTCCAGCTCGAAAATCGCAACTTTGTAGTACAAGTCTAGTACGCGAAGTACACTTCCGCATCTCCAGCTCGAAAATCGCAACTTTGTAGTACAAGTCTAGTACGCGAAGTACACTTCCGCATCTCCAGCTCGAAACTCGCAACTTTGTAGTACAAGTCTAGTACGCGAAGTACACTTCCGCATCTCCAGCTCGATCATCGCAACTTTGTAGTACAAGTCTAGTACACGAAGTACACTTCCGCATCTTCAGCTCGAAAATCGCAACTTTGTAGTACAAGTCTAGTACGCGAAGTACACTTCCGCAGCTCCAGCTCGAAAATCGCAACTTTGTAGTACAAGTCTAGTACGCGAAGTACACTTCCGCATCTCCAGCTCGAAAATCGCAACTTTGTAGTACAAGTCTAGTACGCGAAGTACACTTCCGCAGCTCCAGCTCGAAAATCGCAACTTTGTAGTACAAGTCTAGTACGCGAAGTACACTTCCGCATCTCCAGCTCGAAATTCGCAACTTTGTAGTACAAGTCTAGTACGCGAAGTACACTTCCGCATCTTCAGATCGAAAATCGTAACTTTGTAGTACAAGTCTAGTACGCGAAGTACACTTCCGCATCTCCAGCTCGAAAATCGCAACTTTGTTACAAGTCTAGTACGCGAAGTACACTCCGCATCTCCAGCTCGTCGCAACTTTGTAGTACAAGTCTAGCGAAGTACACTTCGCTCCAGCTCGAAAATCAACTTTGTAGTACAAGTCTAGTACGCGAAGTACACTTCCGCAGCTCCAGCTCGAAAATCGCAACTTCTGTAGTACAAGTCTAGTACGCGAAGTACACTTCCGCAGCTCCAGCTCGAAAATCGCAACTTTGTAGTACAAGTCTAGTACGCGAAGTACACTTCCGCAGCTCCAGCTCGAAAATCGCAACTTTGTAGTACAAGTCTAGTACGCGAAGTACACTTCCGCAGCTCCAGCTCGAAAATCGCAACTTTGTAGTACAAGTCTAGTACGCGAAGTACACTTCCGCAGCTCCAGCTCGAAAATCGCAACTTTGTAGTACAAGTCTAGTACGCGAAGTACACTTCCGCATCTCCAGCTCGAAAATCGCAACTTTGTAGTACAAGTCTAGTACGCGAAGTACACTTCCGCATCTCCAGCTCGAAAATCGCAACTTTGTAGTACAAGTCTAGTACGCGAAGTACACTTCCGCAGCTCCAGCTCGAAAATCGCAACTTTGTAATACAAGTCTAGTACGCGAAGTACTTCCGCATCTCCAGCTCGAAATTCGCAACTTTGTAGTACAAGTCTAGTACCGAAGTACACTTCCGCATCTTTTCGTCGTCTAGTACGCGAAGTACACTTCCGCAAGCTCGAAATCGCAACTTTGTAGTACGCGAAGTACACTTCCGCATCTCAGCTCGAAAATCGCAACTTTGTAGTACAAGTCTAGTACGCGAAGTACACTTCCGCATCTCCAGCTCGAAAATCGCAACTTTGTAGTACAAGTCTAGTACGCGAAGTACACTTCCGCAGCTCCAGCTCGAAAATCGCAACTTTGTAGTACAAGTCTAGTACGCGAAGTACACTTCCGCAGCTCCAGCTCGAAAATCGCAACTTTGTAGTACAAGTCTAGTAGCGAAGTACACTTCCGCATCTCCAGCTCGAAAATCGCAACTTTGTAGTGCAAGTCTAGTACGCGAAGTACACTTCCGCCTCTGCAGCTCGAAAATCGCAACTTTGTAGTACAAGTCTAGTACGCGAAGTACACTTCCGCAGCTCCAGCTCGAAATTCGCAACTTTGTAGTACAAGTCTAGTACGCGAAGAACACTTCCGCAGCTCCAGCTCGAAAATCGCAGCTTTGTAGTACAAGCCTAGGCTGTACGCGAAGTACACTTCCGCATCTCCAGCTCGAAAATCGCAACTTCTCAGTACAAGTGTCGTATTTACAGAGCCGTGTGTTCGTTAAGGGTCATCGTTTTTGGGGGAGACCTCATCGTTTTCCATGGTTTTGGGATGTGTTACTCAAAAGCGTGCCCCGTCTTGATAAAGTGGTCTACGCGTGTTTTGTCCGTGGCTCATATGTATACATACTGAAGGGTTAACTCACTACACCAACCATCCATACTACTTGGCGCCCTCGATCGATCGCGCAAAGTGTCCCAAGCCCCCTCCGTTAAGCATCCTCTCCTTTCAAATTCAAGCATCCCAAGTACACAAGTCCAAACACACCCCTTAACTCAACCCCCCCCCCCCACGGTTTTTGGGCCAAAGGCAATGCTTGTTCCTCGGTCTGTACTCTTCGTGATGTTTAATTGGGAAACCTTTGGTGACTACGAGGACTGCGTGCAACCATGCGTTTCAGGGTTTTCCAACCAGAAAGCAAATATGGGGTTGATCAAAAGGTTCGATGAACATGGGATGATCATCAGGGAAGCCACCAAAAAGGATGTGATTGTCCAACCACTAAGTAGTCATTTGGAAGCTGAACGTCACAGTCCACAAAGCTCGAGGTGGTTTAAGACGGCAGCAGAAGGAAACAAGGGCTTGCCGTTCGGAAGTGGTGGAGTGGGGCAAAACAAGAGCGCTTACTCTCAGCCAATGGATTTCCAAGCGGAAGAAAAGGTTTGCCCTTTTCTTGCTTGGTTTAAAGGACCCTCTGTAACTCAGTTTCTAAGTGGAGTGCCCAAACAAAGTTTGAACTTAGCATTGCGCAAAAATGCAAGGTCATGTTCAGGTATTCATTTTAGGAGGTATGGATGTATTGTTTCCACTAGTCCTAGTATATGGAAGTATGTACCCCTCATACGGTTGACGGACGCAATCCTGCAGGTGCAGGATTTCGGTCGTTCCAACATGTTTGCAAGCAAGGGTCCTTAAAAGTCCAATGTGCAATGGGGAGCGGGAGGGTTTCGTCGGTCAACAGTATCAACACCCATACCTGAGAATGACCAGACAAAATATGATTAAAAAAAATGGCATTCCCAAAAGTATCGAGTCCAGGCACTCCGGCAGTGAGACAAGAGTCAAAGGGGCATGCGTCAACGCTTCCAACCCGCACAGTTGAAGAACCAGCCGCATCGGAATTCACTGACAAATGGGGGTGGGGTGGGGAAGGGTTCCTTGTCTTTTCTCACCTGCGCGTTGAATCCATTTAGTACAACCATGGCAAGTGGGGTAAGGGTTGGTTCCTTTATAACTATTGTGGTCTTGGCTGATTTGGACCCTTTGCAAAAAGTAGGGCCTTGCGCAGGAACAAACGTCACATTCTCCAGAAGTTAGAAGGCCAAAGGAACGGCACCCAACGGGCAAGGGCAATCCAAGGTTTGAAGGACAGGGCCACCAAGCACCTGCCGCCTGTTCGGAACCGAGACAACAGGGACATGAGGGGCGTTCCTATCAGAAAGGTTCTCCGAACCCTTCCAAGGGCCTTTAAGAAACTCTCCTCATAAACAGCGTGGCCATGTTTGTTCCGCGTGTCCGAATTATGGAATGCCCTTGTATAGTGGGGAGTAGGTGCAAGTTGGTGGGGTTGAGAGCCCCTTTCGGTTTCCTTAGGTTTCACTAGGGTTCCTTCGGGTTCTCAAGGTTTCCCTGCAGTTCCTTGGGGGCTCAGGTTTCCCTGGGTTTGCTCAGGTTTTCTGAGGGTTCGGGGTTGTAGGCTTAAGGGGTGTTGATACTAACTGAGAGCGCCTGGACTTGATACTGGGAACTCTCAGCTATGGATTCCCGAAACCAAGTCGTTTCCCTCCGTCCGCTTCGGCCGGCCTTGGATCACCGTGTGCGGCGCCGCCCCTGCGAGCACCTCACTCCGGGACTCTGCGGGCCTTCGACGCCCCTGGACCCTGAGGGGCGGATCATAAGCTCCGAAACACGTCCCAGGGGTGCCGCGTTTCTTCGCGATCCTTTGGGGGGGAACAAATTCAACACATGGCAGGTCGTCAAAATGGTCTCCTGAAAAGAGCATGAATGCAAGTTCCAAGCGCCGAGTTGAAACGGAAAGTATGGGATGCAACGGCCTTAATCATGTCATGGTTCAAGTCTTGTTTTATACTGGAGGCTTTTGGAGCCTCGAAGCAATGCTGGGATTCGGGTTTGCCAGTGGAATTGAAACAAATAGTGGTTAAGTGGTTGGATTTCAATCACTAAACCACAATAAGTTATATAAGCAAAAATGTAACATGCTTCCCAACAACAACCATGCCTCAGGGATTCCCGAAAGAAAACTGGTCCCCAACTTCCGGCCGAGAAGCACGTCGCGGTTCACCAGCCAATCAAACTGCACCCCCGGCCAGGCTGGCCAGTAGAAGGTTTACGGCCAAACCAAAGAGCGACTCAGTGCCCATGGCAAAAGGGTGGAGATTTGATTGAGGATTTGTGGTCGTCTTTGTTGCGGGATGTTTGTTTGTTTTTGGCGAGCAACGGGTTGAAGCGGCAGAGGCTGGTTGAGATGACGGGGCTTACCGTTTCAGCGATACATCTGCTGAAGGTACCTCTACACACAACATCTTCATCTGTCGCACAAAATCCTGGGGGGCCTCACTAATTGTCCACTTGCAAACAACACGCGGACTCGCTCACTGCCAAGAAAACCCATCAAGACGTGACAGTCAGTGAGGCCCAAAACCATCGCCAACCTTCTTCGCGTTTTTTTTTTTTTTTTTTTTTTTTTTTTTTTTTTTTTTCCGGTGTGTACTTTCTTGCTCGGATTGCGAGGAACACGCTTGAAATACACTACCGGCCATTCCCCTTTGTCTTTCACCCTGCGGGGCACTCTAATTTGACAGTAAAGAGGTTAAAGACACGCGCCCAATTCCAGCTCTTCAGGTTGAAGAAGCTACGCATGGAGCAGATGGGCTTGGCTCAAAGTCGAACCCTTTTTGGATGGTAGATGGAAAACCAACATGAAACCATGAGGCTCCCTAATTTTGAAAACCACCCACACGATATTTCGGAGCAAAGCAGCCTCTCCGAAACTCCCTTTGCCATGCGACATGTCGGGCTCAACCTGTGGGGAACTGCCCCACGACGTACCCGCGGTTTGGATCGGCGGAGAGAAACGCACCCCACGTTTTTTGGTTTCCTTCGGGGCGAGGGCCCCATGTGTGGGGAAATAATTAACACCATTTGTCTCTGAAAGCATCCAAAACGCCTTGGGGGAATGATCATATTTGCCAACCCAGCGTCAGTCGCGCGCAATTGTTTGTCCCATGTTGCAGTGCGTGGTTTGGGAGGAAGCCGAGGCTCTTAGACCTATCATTCCGATTTCAAGATTCGCCAACTCAACAAGCACGAGTACCAGGGCTGGGCCGAAAAGATGTTGAACAACGCGCGTGTAGAAATATATATATATATATATATGTGAAAAAATAAAACGCTATTATTTCAACCAGCCTCTTTTGCATCCCCTTTGCAGAGTACCAGGGATTGGGCTGGGTCCATGAAAATGAGTGCAAACCTACCGACTCCAAATGGTGGTTTAGGAACCGCAAAAACAAAATGTTTGAGAAGCCCTCAAAATGCAACCACAAGGGGCCCACTGCAAAACGCTAATCCTGCCTATCCATCGGCTGCCTTCTTCCTCGACTTTTCTTGTGTGGGTTTCTTTATAAACCAACACGGGTAGGGTTGATCCCCGCAACGAAGCACCTGATCCAAACCAAATGTCGAAACACTTCTGTTTTTTGGCAAAGATCCCAAAACTCCGCCATCCAAACCACCAATTCAGCACCTGATCCAACCCAAACGTCGAAACATGTTTTGCTTTTGGGGCAAAGGATAAGCAAAGGAGCACCTCCACACCAAAAGTTGAAGAAACAAAAACTCTTTCAAAACAAAGGACGAACCAACCCACCGGGATTTTCCACGGGGTTCCAGGCGCTCACTGAGGCCGGCGCCGCTTGGCCCTGCGGCAGAAAGGCCCCGGGGCGGCACTTCAGCGCCAGCAGCTGGCGCTGGGCGTCGAAGAGCACCAGGAACAGCGGCGACAGCTTCTCCTGGAGCCCTGCGAGTCTTTTGGCGCCCCCGATTGGGGGGTTGGATGGGTTTCCTGTTTGTGGCGTTGTTTTCCTTCACGGGGGGTGAGGGTTTAGGGTTCAGGGTTTAGGGTTCAGGGTTTAGGGTACAGATGCGCCCCCGATTGGGTTGGCATTTTTGTTGTGCGTTGTATTTTTCTTTGGGGGCGGTGGAACAGTGGAACCCCCTGAAAATATTCGACACTTTTTTCTCCACTGATGCTTGGTTCCATGGGTACGGTGTATATGGGCTTGTTCTACAGCTTCTTTTCGCCCAAGACGAACGGGTACTTGTGAAAATAGTCGGGCACTTGTTAAGATGCTTTGTTTGGTAGTTAGAAAAGCAAACCAGAAGCAAACAAACAACACCGTTTTGAGGGGGCCCCGCGAAAAACAAGACACACTTCTAGGGGCTGATTCCCCATTCTTTTCACCCATCGTTCTTTTCAAGAACCAGCCGTTGACCCTGGGTGTGTGAAGGTTCTCAAGAAAAAACGGGTTCCTGGAAAGAAGCTATCCCTAGAACGCTAGAAAGAAGGTTTTGTAGAAGGGTGCCCCTTGGAACACTCTTCTACCCGCTCCTTTCCCCAAATCTCCGGGGGGCGAACCCGTCGCCTCGCACCAGGTCCAGCGTGGCCTCCTGCGTGGCCTGGGCCGCGCCCTTCGCCCCCTTCGCCGCCTTCGCCTTCGGGGAATCCGAGTCGAACATCGGAACCGAGGGCGGTGGTTGGAGCGGAATCCACGAATCTGCGATAGACAGAAACTACCCCCTATAAACGCTATAAAGGGAGATTTTCCCTTTCGCAGCTTTGAACCCCTTGATATCTGTGATACAAGAGAAAGGGCTTCCCAAAGACTCACTTTGAACCCCTATTCTCAGGGGGAGCTTCCCGTGAACTTCGAAGTCGGGATACGCCCCGACTGTTCCCACAACCCTTGAACTAAGGTTTTTTTCAGTTTGTAGCATAGAAGCCTCCGGTAGAGAACGGGGACATAGGCGTTGGGGTTCACCATTTTGTAGGTGGGACTACCCACCTCTCTGAGCAAAGATCTCAAATGGGGATCCTGTTCGTTGGCATTTTCGCGAAAAACCAAAACTCACTTCCTGGGTGGACTGGGCAAAGCTAGTCACCACTAAAGTCCATGAACTCAGGGAGTGAAAAGGAGTCCGCGACTTTTGAGAGAACGGAAAGGAATCCTTCGGGACCTTCATATCTCGTTTACAAGCTTGACATTTCCCGCCTTGATTGGTTGATGCCTAACTTGTGAGTGGGATATGGCTCAAACCCGCTAAACTCAGGTCAAAAAGCTGCTCAGGAAGCCATATGACTGGGAACCGCCAAGCATAGGTTGAAGTATGTTTGTCCCCAAAATTGGTGACTCGACATTCGCGTTGGTCTCCTTGTGGTTTCCCTTATGAACAACCAACCACAAAAGGTCACGCCAAAATCACATTCGTCGAAGTGGAGGACTATGAAGTTGACACAAAATGCCTTTCATGCATGTGTGACGGGAACCGGATAGAGCACACTCACAGCACGCTTAGAATCAAGAGACTACTCAACATAATCCAATTCTGCCGGCAACATCATATGTCTTGCTTTCTTTCCCCTTTTTTTGAGGGGTACCCCGCCGACAGAAAAACTGGGCCCGCAAAACATGGGGCGGCGCTTCCCTTCTTTGAAACCAAATCGAGTTTCTGTAGGCGTATAGACGGGGAGGAAATGGAGGCTCCCAAACAGGCCCATCGTCCCAAATTTCTGTCTGAAACTTGGCAATCACATCTACACAGAAAAAAATATTCAGATTTGGATATCATATGTTACTTTTTCTTGGAGGAGAGAGAAGAGCAAAAGAGCTGACTCTTCTTTGAAGGCTCAAAGTGTAAAACACATCACCCCAGCCAATGGGAGCCCACCAGATGGGCCAAAAAGGTGATCGTTGAACGCGGAAACCATCCATTGGTGAAAGGCTGATCTCGGGCTTCCGCAACCACGGACGTCTCATATATGTGCCACGGCAAGAAACACATGCACCAGAAAATTTAAAAGGGGGGGCCTTTGAACAGCGCTCTAGCGCATGGACTATGCGCGGCCCTTTTGGTTTCTTTCAACCCCTGTCTTTCTTTTTTTTTTGGGCGGGGGGGGGGGGGCATAAACGTCAAACGGAGGTCACATAACAGGTGGGTTGGAAGAATAGGGTCCATCCAGGGAAACAAATTCCCGATACAGCGCCTGATCCCCTTTGATCAACGCCGCTTGATCCTGCGATGGAGCATGCCCCCCGTCTGGAAGAGGTGTCAACCTTTATGTAGGGGCCTCCCCAAATTGGGGATGTTTAAAGAAAACTCGCATCAAAAATACTGGCGGTGGGTGTCGGCATTCAAGTTAGCTGTATGGCGCCATTGTGAGCAGTTTGAGGGAACCGACATGAAACCAATCGATACCCCCTACGGGCAAAGCCCGCAAAAGGAGTAATTACATAAGCCCCAAATAATAATGCATCAGTATCATATGTCTGCTGGGGAGTTTGTTTGGGCGTCCGTGGTGAATATACTTGATACTGGTCCCTGGTCAGTGTTGCCTCAAAACACTTGGCACAAGAAACTAGCAACCCTAAGAGAAGCCGAGGGCACGCCTTGACTAGCAACTTGAGGTGCGGTCACCTTACAAAAAGGCCAAAGGCAGAAAAGAACTGGGCATCAAGAAACGTCCAGGCAAGTATCTGTGCAAATCCCTATTTGGAACACAACCAGAACACTCCAAATACAGGGATTCCAATCAGAATTTCTCCAACAACCCTTGCAGAAGGGAAGACGTTTGGTCCACCAGAAGATCAGCTGGCCTTGGTTCAGTCAAACACCACGCGCCCAAAGGAAACTCGCTTTTGAAGGGCGCGAATTGAAGGAGCGAAAATGGCAACATTGGTGTCAAAATCTGGTTGCAAATAAGGGGTCTGGAAAAATAAAAAGACTACGCCCCCTTTTGGCTTCCCGTTTGGTACATGCAATATTGTGGGGTATTTGGCCCAGATTCGTTTCAGAATGGTTGGAGGTTACCCCCAAACACCCGACCAGCAGGCTTGTAAGAATCCTTCCACCAGCCCAGTTCCCCTAAAAAGGAGAATCCTGTTTGGGATTGATCATTTTGAAAAAAAGCCGTGTAGATTTGACCAACATTTTGCGGGGGTCAACAATTGGGTTAAAGTTGGTAGCCTATCCTGATTGCATGATGATCAATGATCAGTGTTCTCCATTGGACAACGACTAGAATGCAAAGGAAGATGAATGAGCTTGCGTATGAATCCATGTCTTGCGCGGAGCAGGAACCACACGAGGCAGACTACATCAAGGCTTTTCCCAACTACTGAGTCTCCTCATCAGAGCGCATCAAGTTCCTCAACAATGAGATGCTTATGAATGGCTGTGGCTCAAAAACCCGATACCAAAATGGCACCTTGGCAAATGGAACCAAGGACCAAAACCTGCGTAACCCTAGCTGCTTAATTTTGCGCCACACCCAAATGGCAAATAAGACTGAGATTGGCACTGACCTCTTCTGGACATCAAGAAGGCCAAGAATCCCAAGTCTGAGAAAGCGCACACAGAGCCGCATGCAGCGGCCGGAAAAGCCACGAATTTCGGCACATAAAGACAAATCGATGTGGAGGATCAACTAATGTTGTGTCTGATTTGTGGCTTTGCAACGATGCTGATCGTCCATCAATCTATCAATCTACAGTTTGGCTCAAGGCCTCAAGTCTTACATCATTCACTGCCAGCAGCAAAAGGCCCTACCTTCTGGTAACGGTCCACATAGGGGGTGGGGGGGAGGGGGGGTCAAGATTGGCTCAAATTGAAGGGGATCAAACTTGGCTCAGAATTGGAGAATGTTCAAACTGTATCAAAATTGGGTCGGAGGGGTCAAACTTGGCCCAAGATTAAAGTGGATCAAGACTGAGGGGGGATGGTACCACAAACAAATGGTGTTCTGCCGGAAACATGCAAAGAAGCGTGAAGGCAATCGTTCGGGACCTCTGCGGAAGCCCAGCAAGCAGGACAGAGACCCAAAAAAGGCATAACTTGCTGGTGCGATAGGGAATCACTTTCCGGGTGTTGGGAATGAACCCAGGGATTCCCTCAAAGGAAACCATAAGAAATGGTTCATATGGCTCATTCCCGCATTCCCTGCCTATCGCACCAGCAAGAAAAGGGGGGTTGAACCTGAGGCCACTTCTGGGCCTTTGCCAATCCGATTCTTCCATTTGCTTAAGCCCCCTGGATAAAATAAAAAAAGAAAAAATATCCAATAGTGATAGATTTCCAATAAAACCAACAGGAAGGAGAAAAAAAAAAAACATTCTTAAGCAACTGGACGGATTTTTCCTGAAAACCGGCGAGATCTCCTGAGGCAGCAGCCGCAGCAGCACGTCAAATGCGCTGAGCTCCAGTTGGAAGACGCCGCGCCAGGTGCTCTCCAGTCCTCTTTTGTCAGCCAATGGTTGAACACGGGCAACCGGCCATAGGTGGCCCTTTTGGAGAAACAAAAAAGAGATGGTAAATGGAACAAAACCCCTCTCTCAACCAGTGGGACCCATCTATTTTAAGCCAGGCTCACCGAAAAAGGACACCTATGGTTCCAGCCTCTGTCAGTTGTACATCCTACTCCGAAACTTTGTGTCAGCTGGAGGTGAGGCTGCTCGAATTCTCTTGACAAATCTGCTTTAACCCAGTTGCCCAGCTTTCCTTTCTTGGGATAGGGTTTTCCGTTCAACCAACACACAAAAGTGCGCCCTGCCCAGAAAAGTGCTCAACTGGTCGTCACACCGAAACGCGACGCTCTGAGAGCGTCGAACCGGCCTCGCAAACTTTGGCGAATACGCGAATCCCGTGTTGACCCTTGCAACTTTGTTCAGGACATCCCTCGTTTGAGGTTCGGCTTGGTGGGTGTGGGGTTTGAAGCCCTGGCTCTTGTAGAGGGCCTCCAAGCAACCAGTCCAAACCAACCAGAGGTGGGCTGATTTACACCGCTTGGTGGGAAACTGATCATCTTGTCGAGAACGTGAAATGTTTAACTCGGTTGCTTTCTGCTCCCCTGCTAAAAGTTTAACTTTTAGTGGTTTAGTGGACAACCCATTAGTTGGCAAAAAGTTAAAGTCCTAACAGCCAAGCAAAATGCACCAAAGTTAAGATGCCAGGCAAACAGCAGACAAGAAAGGAGAGCCCAGTGGCGCCAACCGTCCGTCCCAAGGAGCTGGTCATTCGCACTGCTTCTCAAAATGGGTCTCGCGGTTTTCCGAAGGATGGCGGATTCCCGTTCATTCCCAGACTGTACCAAACCCCATCCTCTTTGGAGTTGGTACCTTTTTGCGGTTTGGGGAAGGACACCTTCTGCTTTTATTTGTGACTAGCCCTACCCCATTTGAGGTCAAACAAGTGCGCGCACAAGATCACGAATGGCTTCCCAAAAGGACATGAGCAATTTGATTTTATGAAATCGGCCGGGAATTGTGGGGGCCAGGGAAGGAAAGATGAAAGAACCCAGTAGACCTGCCGTCCCTACGATTGTACTCCCGTATATTGTGGAACATACTCCCCTGGAAATCACTCAGAATCGATTCATGCTAGGGGCTTTGATCTGCAAAACCGACACTCGAATCATGAAGAAGCCAAACAGTGGAGCTCAGGTGAACTTTAGCTGCCAAGGTCCTCTGAGTTCCATTTTGTCTGGTGGTTCTTGTAAGCTTTGTCGAAACTAGAGCCAGTAGAACCCCCACTCAAATGGTTGACTCTTCAGTTGAAAACCCCGCAGGAAGGGAGAGGCCATGCTGGACATACACAAGCCTGACTGGACCTGCCAAACCAGATCGATACTCTGGCATGTTCGGTGACTTGGTGAAGTATGGCCGGCTACTCCCCTGCTAATTCACATCTACCCTAACGGAGATTCATCTAGCCGTGCGAGTGTTGGGCTCCAAGCTATGGGGGTTCAGAATCATAATGATTGGAAGGTACTTGAAATGTTTGGGGCAACAATTCTTCCAGCACTCTTGCTGAACATGTGGCGATTTCATTTGGCTCAAAAGGCCATGATTGAAACCGTCAAAGTGGAGACAGGAGAAGCACACCTCTCCCAGAATCCGTGCAGTGGGACTTTTCTCCAACTACTAAGTAACTACAGCTTACTTACGTGGCTTGAACGTCCAATTTGCTTTTCGAGGGTACCTTTTTCACCTTGCCCCCATTGAGGGTTTTGAGAAATACACCAAAGGAACACCTGTTGGCAGAATGGTGTCTTTTCTAGGTGAGACCCCTTTGGGTTGTTCAAAATGGAAACCAAAGGGAAACCAACCATCTTCAAACAGACAAAAGGGAACCCCTTCAAGACTTCCCACCTTGGAAGTCCCCTAATTCCCCCCGAAAAAAATGTCTTCCCCCCAAAAACAGGTCTTCACCCCAAGAAAACCACCTGGCCTTCCCCAAAACAAAACACGTCCAGCGCGCTCGGTCCTAGCATCCGGCGGTGGCACATCCTGAGCGCCTCGCCGGCGCGCTTCTGGAGCCAAGCCGTGAGCGTGGTGCCCGGAGTCGGCAGCAGCAGGCAGTGGGGGTCCAGGCGCGAGACCACCTGGCGACCCAAACCACTGCGGATGGTTGCGAAATCCATTTCGCACCACCGTTCAGAAACCCTGGAATGATGATTCTCTGGTACATACCAACAAACCATGGTTTCCCATGGTTTCAAAGCGGTGCAGGATTTTGTCCATCCACAGTAGGTCCTCGAGTAGAGAGGTTAGAATAAGAGTACCAACTTTTTGCTGTAGTCTATTTTAGCAGGGGAACCCTCCCCCAAAAAAGGGTAAAAGCGCCCTACCGGGGACCTAGAAGTGGTTTGGAGCCGAATCGGTGGTTTGGACCAGCAAAACGGAATCACACTTCAGGCGTTCTTTTTTGTTGGTGTCCTTTCAAACACACGCTAAACGGGGTACCTTCAAAAACGGGTGACAAACCCATCCCCTTCCCCCACCACCAGCCCCATGAGGGCCCCCGCCCAGAAGCTCAGCGGCGGCGACTTGGCGAGGTGTTGCTCAAAGGACTGACGCAAGCCGAGGCGCTCCTGGCACGTCTCCACTGTGAACCGCTCGCCGCGTTCTGGACCGCGCGATCGCTCCCACCTGGACCCTCGAAATTCCAACTTAAACATGGGTTATTGGCCTTGGTTCGAGTTCCCCTTTTTCCACCGCACCCTGCAGGGAAGCTCAATTGAAATTTTGAGTTTCCCAAAGAGTTTGAGGGTCCAGGCAGTCTCTTACGGAGAGTCCCAAGTCAAAGTGGCCAGTTAGTGAGCCAGTGTGGAAGAAAATCCGTCCTAAGAGCCCAACGCCCACCTCGCACGCGTGAACTCAGCCACTCCGAAGTGAAAACTTGCGGTGAACCCAAACGGCAACCAAGGCTGGGCTCATTCAGGTGCCATCCACACAATCGCCCCAGGAAACCAGGCCCTAATTTTGAGAAGCCTTTCCAGGGAAACCATCCTGACTTTAAGGGACCGATACAACAAGGTCCCTTGTCGTGCCCCGGCCGGCTAACCCTCTCACCACTCCATCTCTACATCTCTCCATCTCTCCATCTCTCCTGCTCGTTGATCTTCCCATCGATGTCTATGATGAGCGCCTCCTGCGTCAGATCAAATGAAACCCTGGTAGCCCCAAAAGAACCTTGCTGGCGTAATCTAAGTTGCTCTAATTCAGTACACACATTGTTATCTGACGATAATGCTCTATTGTGTTTTTAAGCACCCCGCAACCCCAGCCCTATCGTTAAATTGTTTGGGCCCTTGTAGTATGTTCCAACTGTTTCGCACGCTGCTTACATTTCCTGGTGACAAATGACCATCACAAACAGCCTGGAGCTTACCGACAGCTGCGATATCCCAGAATAGCCCGCTTGCCCTTTTGGAAGCAGGTGGGTATCAGACAAAATAGGACTAAGATGCTTCCAAGCAAACCCACAAAAAAATGATTCCAGAGCCTCATAACATACAACCCCAAATATAAGCTATATATCTCTACATAATACAACACATATATATACATAGACCACACACCGATATATATATATATTCTATATATATTTATACATATAAATATGTAGTATTGTAAAACATCCATCCCGTGAGGCAGGCTCTCGCACTCACCAGATCCACTCCCGCTGCCAGTCGAAGGTCTTCAGCAGCCACAGCACCCGGCAGAAGCCCAGGTGTGCGCCTCACGTCGGCGTTTGATAATGCTTGGGTGTGGTTCTTTACAACCGTTGGCATTGTAGCATTACATATATACTATTATATATATATATGTCACTACGTATATGTAGAGGGAACTAAAAATATTATGTATACTTTATGTATGTCGATGTGTTTGTTGAACAACTTAATCTACTTGGAGGTCGTAGTAGCTTTACCCGCAGCACGTGTGGCTCGCCCAGAGCCACTTGGTTGCACTTTCTGGTCCTTTTCCAGCCTTTGGCTTAACTTGCCCCGTTTAGGGTTCAGGTTTAGGGTTTAACTTGCCTCCAACCCCCCGGTTTAGGATTTTGTTTTGGGCTTAACTTGCCCTCAAACCCTCACTTTAGGGGTCAGGTTTTTGGTTTCACTTGCTCTCATTTAAGGTTCAGGTTTAGGGTTTGGCTTGCCCCCAAACCCCCCGTGCAAAAATAGTTTGGGGTTTCACTTGCCCTCAAACCTCCACTTTAGGGTTCAGGTTTTGGGTTTCACTTGCCCTCATTGAGGATTCAGGTTGAGGGTTTAACTTGCCCTCAACCCCCCCGTCTAGGGTTTAGGGTTTGGCTTTGAGGTGTAACTTGCCCTCAAACCGTTTAGGATTTAGTTTTGGGGTTCAACTTGCCCTCAAATCAATCCCACTTTAGGGTTGGGTTCAGGTGAAGGGTTCAGGTTTAAGGTTTAGCTTGCCCTCAAACCCCTCCTTTAGGGTTTGGTTTGGGGTTTAACTTGCCCTCAAACACTCACTTTAGGGTGTGGAGAGCTTCAGTTCTCACCTTCTATGTTCTGGCTGAGCCTAGGTAGTCCAAAACAATAGTCCAAAAAAATGCATTTTGCGACCCATCGAAAAGCCGCACCCTGCGCAGTTGCGCGCATCGGCGAAGGCTTGCCGATGTTCTCAGGGCAGACCGTTCGATATCAGGCGCGGGTGCTAAAATGCTGGCAGGCGCAAGGGAATCTCAGCGCGTGAGGCCCTCCGAAGAGAGTCTCCGGGCAAACCACAAGTGCTGGCCGTAGCTTTACAACCCTTGGGCTTGCGAAAAGCTGAGCTGCCAAACTTTGAGACTCGTTCCCTTGAGGGAGGCTGGTTTCAAGGGAAAACAACAGGACATCCGAGATCCATTTCGGATCTCCAAAAAGGCGATCTGAGGCCGTGCTTTTTTGAGGATCGATGTCCGTTTTGAAGTTGGTTCAAAGACAAACAAGGGAAACCAACGTATTGGGGGGGAGCCTATTTACACATGCCCAAGTCACCTTACACCAATTGGCGGTTGGTAACCCCTTTTTGTTGATAAGTTCGGGCAACCTCACTTTTCTGACTAGATTTTACCAACCGTGTGTGTCAAACTAGTCCTAAAAGACATGTGGTTTCCCTCTATGAGCCACACCAGGCCGCAGAAAAAAAGGCCCTGGTCGTATCACCTGAAACTCTGCTTTTGAACCCTCCCTGAAGGCTGCCCTCACCCACCCCGAACGCGCCTATCTGGGGGTGTTAAGATACTTACACTGACACACCCCATACCCCCGGCGGTTTTGGGGGGGGGAAGTCGTTGCCGTTGTTGTGTTTTCCGCGGCGCTGGTGGGGGCGTCGAAGGGCGCCGGGTGCAGGAAGACGAAGGCCGCCAGGTGCTCCGCGAACCTCAGAGGTGCCCGTCGCGCGTCTGATTGGACCCCCCAGTCGGGTGGGTTGAGAGCCCCGAAACGGTTTCCTTAGGGGATAGGACCACCCCCCCTCCCTGGAAAGGGGATTCCCGAATTGAGGCAACTCCGTTTTCTTGCATTTGCGGTTTTACGACCCCTGTAAAAATTGAGGAAGCGACAGATGATCTTCAAAACCGGTTTCGGAGCTAGGATTCCAAGTCAACTCAATCATTTGGAGTTGGGAGTTGGAGCTGGCAAGCCTTCAAGCAAACAACTTGAGACAAGGCCAAACTGCTTTCTTCGCACCCTAGAGAAAATGAGAAAACATGTTCAGCAGCGATAGATTGCCTTGAAAACCAACAGGCAAAATTCAATCATGTCCTTAAGCCAGTGGAAGCTTCGGTTGGTTCTAAAGACCAAGACACACCCAGGTGGGCTCGATATAAACGTGTCTCGAGATCCTTTAAACATGCCTAATTTGCCTGTTGGTTCGCTTTGGGAATATTGAAGCATGTGGGCGAGTTGCCATGTGACCGTAGAAAAGAATTGGAACTCGTTGCACTGGGATCCCGAGCCGAACAACAAGTTGGATTCTGAGGTGGTCGAGCTGGGATCTCCGTAACTCACACCATGCTTCTCATGAGTCACTCTTTAGGGAATATGCCCGGATGCCCAAAAGTGGCAGAGCTCAAATTCCCAAAACAACTGAACCTCCCAAATTGGAGTATCCGTTCCTCACTTGAGTCAATTGGACCAACTTTTCGTCTGCAGACCGGAGCCATCCAAAACCATCCAAGCTAACTCAAGTTTCCCAGTGAACCAGTGACTAGTCACTGCATTGCGTCTGTGGAGTGACCATCCGTTGCGAGAAAAAAAGAAAAAAACATAGGTGTCCTTTTTGGGAACATAGATGGGTTTCCCTGGTAGTTGATTGAACCACCAGGTAAACCACCAGGGCCCTCTATTTTTTCCCAACCAAATCAGCCAAAAAGGACCCCGACGAAACCGACTATCAAACCCGCCGCAAATCAGTTGCCGCGCAGCTCCTCGTAGCCGGACATCATCTGGGAGCCCATCCAGCGCTTCACCAGCCTCGCCGCCCCGGCCAGCGCCGGCAGTTGGAGCCTCGAGCGAGCGAGCGAGAGCAGCGGCGAGCGAGATCAGCGGTTCCGGCTTTGCGAATGTCCACCTTGTTTCGGAGGCAGGGAACGGCCAGCATGTGGGTGCTATTCAAAACTGGCGACCCTTGGTGTCCTTTTGGTGCCCCTTTAAAAACCTGGGTGTCCCTTTGAGAATGTCGACCTTTGTTGATTATGTGGAGCTTAAGTCGCCCATTGGAGGAATCAAAGCCCGGTGTTAGACAGGGGGTCTTTTTGCAGGGCTGCTATTTGTTGGATTGATTCAAAGGCTAGGTCCTCCAGATTTGAGAGGACAGAATAACATGGTACCCGTTTTTTCTTTTTTTTTCCGGTTTTGTCTATTTTAGTAGGGGACCCCTCCCGGAAAAAAATGGTACAAGGGCACTACTGGGGGACCTAGGATTCATCCGGACTCTGTTCAGGGGTCCTTGCCAGAAGACTGGGAAGCCACCCAGAACAAAAGAGGGGTGGTTGTTGCAAAGGACCGAACCAATCAGGGGCGGTGAGGAAATGATCGATTTGAGGGATCTGGTTAGGAGAGGCCTAAGCTCATGACATGTGAATGCAACCGAAATATTGCAAGCAAACCAACCAAACACCCAAAACCCTAAAAAAAAGCGACCCTTTAATCTGGTGGTGACTCACTCATTCTGTCCAGGCATCCTTCCCGGTTTTTGAAATGAACCATGGTTGGAAAGAGCGAACATGGAAGCAATCCTTACAAACACGGAGGTTTCCTTGGTTCGTACGACAAGTGGATTCACTGCGCCTAACAGAAAAGGTACTCTTTGGCGAACAACTTTTGGTGGTGTCCCTTGAACCCACAATTTTGGAGAGACCTGATGAAACCGCTGATGTCACTTTCCTAAACCACCCGCAAACCAGAGGAAACGCACTTTTGGCCACCAAAAGGTGATGTTTGAAACCGCCCTTGGAAAAATAGGCCTCTGACTCTGATTGTTTAGAGTCGAAACCTCAACAAGTGGTTGGTGACTACCTGAATCCCCCCCCGCACAAACCTGATGTCCATCAAAGGGTTCCTAACAAAAACTCATACCAATCTGACATGCTCACCATGTTTCTGGGATGTGTTCTGGTTTCCGACCCCTGGACAAGCTTGGGGTTCCAAACAAAAACATCGCGACGTCCCTGGCCCGCCTGAGCCGATTCAAGCCTAAAACGATTCGATCCCTCCGAGTCGAGTCGAGCCGCGCGTGCGCGTGCAGCGCGCCCCGAAGCCGCGGCAGCCACCACAAGCCCCGCAGCCGCCGCAGCTCCTCCTCCGAGACGCCGCCGGAGGGGCCGTTGGCAGCCTGCGGAAGGCCATAGATTTCCATCGGAATGGGGGTAGTTCGTTCCCCCCTCCAAAAAAAAACACCCCATCCCAGGAGAATCAACCAGGTGCTGTTTTTTTTTTTGGTTAATCTGCATTTCTCACTAGTGGGCTCCATCGCCCTGGTGGCTTCAGTTGCTAAAACAAAGGGGGTTAACAATCCACCAATTTTCCGTGGAAAGGTCCGTGTTAATTGGTGGGCGGGCAAGATAACCACCATTATTTACCGTTCAGGAGTTTCATCACTCAAATCGGGTCCGTGCCTTTTCTTTTGACTGGGAAGTGGACCCTCCGCCCGGATTAATCACCCTCATGGAGGAAGGTGTTTTGTTCCCCCACAGTGTGCCCAAGGGGACAGACATTCCCCTAGAAATTAAGCAGCCCAGTGGCTTCCATCTCCCTGGTTGCCTCCAACAGCAAGAGCTTGCCTCTGAAATGGGACACCTTCCCATTGATTAGTCATCTATGTATTCCAGTAGAGAGGTCAGAATGAGGGTACCAGCTTTTTTCTGTAGTCTATTTTAGTAGGGGAACCCTCCCCAAAAACTGCTGTAAAAGGGCACTACTGGGGGACCTAGTGTCATTCAATACACCACGCTGCTTCGTCTTTCCGAGCGCGGCCGAGCATGCATCAGAAAGGAACCTTGCGTTACCCGTCCCCCATCCGGGTTTTGGCTTTGGTGGCCTCAAAAAGCCCCCTTTTTGAGGAACCGTTTGATGCTTTCGGTAGAACCCATGCGTCACCAAAGAGTGCGTATGCGGGTGCGAGAGTTGCGGTGAAAAGGGGAAGTTGAATCCCCTTTTCCCATTCTTTCTGGATCCGTTTTAATCCAACTTGGTTCATTCCCAAACCGTTGACTCCCTCCGAGACCTGGGACTGTGGTTTTTGGTTCAGAAGTCAGTCTACAGCTCCCATTGGGCGATCTGGGTACCAGGTTGGGGCCTGGACTCTGGGCGAGTTGCCCTTTCTGCCATGTCTGGCAGTCCACAAATTGCTTTTGGCGCGCTCATTCACCATGCCTGTCCTCCTCTTAACCACCAGGTTCCTCTAGGCAGGATTCTTTGTATGTCCCTCCATATGGAAGTTGTTTTACGCTCCATTTGCTTCAGTCCCCCCGAAAAAAATGGAAAATATGTCCAGTAGCGATAGATTCCCATTAACACCAACAGGGGAAAATAAATATCTAATAAATAAATAACAAATATTCTTAACCATATGGACGCCCGCCCGCGCTTCCGCGCGAAAGCCGCTTTCGCGCGGTAGCAGAATCGATGGATCGAGCCTGCAGGTTGGTGACCTTGTTGGCCGCCTCTGCCAGCTCGTGGGGGTGGAAGACCCGGAGCCGGAACACCGCCTCCGGATAACGCCTCAAAAAAAAAACGCACGAACCTGGCCTCAGATCCCCCGCTCAAAGTGACGGACTTTTCGTGGGCGAAATGGACACCACTAAACACTAAAAGTTGCTAAAAAGCTAAGGGACCGGATGGCTGGGAGTCAAACCATTTTGGTCTGTTTGTAGTTGTCCCCAAAGGGGTGTGTTTGGAGGGTGGGAGGGGGAGGGAAGAGCTGCTACTTTGATGCTCGGCCAAGCAAGCGGATAGACACGTGAAATGTAATCTTATAACCAACTGACAAGGTCAACTCCACTTGACTACCAGTGGGAAACCCAGGCTACGAACAACTTACTACCTTGGTCAGACACCCAAGTACCACCCTCCAAACACACCGACCCCAGTTTTGGTCCATGTTAGTTGTCCAAAGCGTCCGTTGGGGGGATGTGTTTGGGGCGTGCTCATAGCAATGTTGCACTCACGCGATTGTTCGATTTACGGCATCGGCCGAAAGTGTCCGTTTTCGTTTTGAGGAGTCCTGTCAGCAACTATGCATGTTGGGACACCTTCAAATGAATTAAATGGTCATGAGTTCCCTCTCCGAAATTCTATTATACAAGATTCAGAAAATGTGCCAATTCCGCGCTGCTTTCTGCCAGTTATTATATTTCATGGGTCGATCTGAGACTCCCTTGTTGTTCACTTATGCTAGGCGTTCCAAGTGGGCTGAACGTCAATACCAAAGGCAAAGCAAGATGCTTCTTTGGATGGTTTGAGAAGCAAAGAGAGAACCCACCCAGGGTATTCAACTTTGAGACAAAAGCCTTGTATGGTTAATAGCCTTCCATTTTCAACCATACATGAATCCAAATGTAGAGAATGGTTGGCAGCATTGTTCAATCGTGGCGGAGAAAAGACTGAATAGCTTAAAAGGTCAGCGAAAAGGTTTTGGTGTTCAACAGCTTAAAAGGTTGTCACGGTGAAACAGGTACCATGAAAAGGTCGACTTGCTTTTGGGCAGCTCCAACATACCACCCTCAGGAACCCCGCGTGCAGGTTGGTTTGGGGGAAGAAGCCTCCCAAGTGGGACCACCAGAAGGGTAGCATCCCGATCCCCCATTGGTGGCACGGTTGGGGATATTGTCGACCCAGGACCTGGACTAGGATGTGGGGTTTCCCCAAAACACCTTGCCTCTAACATCGGACCCCATTGATCCACCTTTCAATGATCAACTGGGTTCCACGGGGCCTCCATTTGCCTTGCAAACACCTTGGGGACTTGCACCCAGGATTCTAACCACAATTTCGAAACCACCAAGTACCATGCCACCTTCATAGGGTTTCCTGGCCCCCTGTAAAGCAATCAACACCCCATTCCCCAACCAACCCTGGGTGCCTTTTGAGGCGGCCTTGGGCCAAATGGGAGATGAAGACGGGGGAAGCCGCCGTGGTCCTCACCCCTATGCAGGGTCCAATGATCTTTAGACTTAGACTCTCCCCTAAGGCAAATTACAGGCCTTCTTTTCAAAAAGGAGAGAAAAACAGAGAGAGAGAGAGAGAGAGAAAAATAAAGAGGTGAGAGGCACCCCAAACGGCACTGGGGTCTGACCAATGGGAACTGGGTCACATCCGGGTCTGGGTCTCTGAGCTCTCCCTTCGCTTTTTCGCCAAAGCGCACGTCCAGGTAGGCCTCAGTGGCGTCGGCCTCGATGCCCAGGTCCGAGCCCAACTCTTCCCGGATCCTCACATCTCGCTCGCTTGGGAGTCGGTTCGCTCGCTTGGGAGCCGGTTCGCTAAAGCGGCCATTTGGGGCTTCCTGACTTGGGGCTTCCCAATTTGCTTGCTTCCCGACTGTTCAGGTTCACATGGTCAACTTGCAGATAAGGAGGTTGATCAATATTCCATCTAGGGCCCCAGAACTTTGGCCATGTGGAGATGATCAAATATTCTTTGGTTGCCCGAATGGTCAGCCCATGGAAAGGACCTTTTGGTCAACCCTCATTTGCGGTTCGTGCCCCCAGGGAAAAAAGGGAACATACGTGCAGTAGTGAAATCGATTCCTCAGCAACAAGGGAAAACCACACATATTCTTAAGCGACTGGAAGTTTTCCTGTTTGCTAAGCATCCTGGAGATTCCTCGTAGGAATTGGGACCATTGCCTAAAAATGGTGGGAGTTCCAATTGGTCGTCTTCCTTATCTAAATACCCAAGAGGTCCTCCGTTCTGAGAATCCAGGTGTGTTTCTTCGAGGCTCGCTACTACCTCGGAGCTTGTAGGGGTTTGTTTAAGCATGCTGAGCTGGATGTGTGCTTTTGGGGCCCGGTACCCCTTCGCGGGGCTTGGTGTTTGAAGAGAGCATAGGAAAACGGGGGGGTTCCCTATTTTGACACATAGGACACTGAGGTGGAAAAACCCAGTTGGCAAGCTTCAATGGCCATTTGTCCACCAGGGTATCAACGATTCAAGACCTTCAAACATGCTGGTCACTCTTGGTTCTCTTTAACTTGGCTCAAACCCAGGGTGCAATAAAATAAGATGTTCAGACTCTGTTTCATGTTTAGTCAAACTTGAATATGAAGTGATATGGGTTGAGACGCCCGACATGGGTGTTCGGCCAAGTTGATAAATGGCTGGCCACCCGTGTTATGACCCGGGTGAAAGAAACATGTCAACTTGGGGGGACTTACACGTGTGTTGTATGGGATACTAGCAACTTACTATGTTGCCAGAACTCCCAAGTAGGATGCCACCAACCATTCTCAGCAAAAAGCCGGGGAAAGCTGTATGATTCGCTCCGCTGAGCCCAATCTCCTCCCGCTGGTTCCCCAAAAGACCCTTCTAGGCTACCTACTGGAAACAACCCCCCGCAAAACCAAGTGGAAGACCCAAACTGGACCCAACCCTCACGGGGCAACTATTGGAACCTAAACCAAGCGGCTGTAGCAGGAGCGCCCCCGCTACCTTCTGCGCTGCAGCCTCGGAAAACAGGCTCAACCGTCGGCCTTTCGCCAGGAGCCGCCGCCCTTCTTTGTTAAGAGAGCGGGACCCACAACCCCCACCCCCCAAAAAAAATAAGGGCGAGATCACCAAGAAACACTAAAAACAAATACTTGTATCCTCCTAGAAGGCCCCTTTTCTGCTTGTTTTTTTACCTATTTGTGGCGTCTTTGACCTCCCCCAAAAAGGAAAGCCCAAACGTCCCGTTGCTTGCCCCTCTTTCCAATCTTGGGTGTGCCTTGATCCGAGCGGTTCCCAAGCAAATCCGCGAGCGGCCAACAAACCAAACCAAACCAAACCTACCAACAAAGCAACCAACCAAGCAACCAACCAAGCAACCAAGCAAGAGGTATGGTAGAGTCCCTAAATATCGCAAGTGAACCAACCACATCCATCCACCAACCCTGGACAAGTTGGATAGACCACCAGCTTTCCCTCCTTACCTGAATAATAATTCCCGTCCAATGCGAGGAAAAGGAATCCCTCCACAGGCCTTGAATTGCCTTTTAGAGCCTCCCCCCTCCGGCACGCTCCCCTTCCGGAATCAGACATTAAATATGCATATGTATAAATATATATATATATATATAACTTCTTAAACATATGGTGCTCCACTAAGCTGTTGGGATGTTTGTGGTGTGGACATGTAGGCCAAACCCCCAAATGCCCCAAACGCTCAAGCCCCCCATCTCTCCAAACCCCCTAAGCCAACCAACCCCCCTTACCACACACCAAACCCCAACAAAACCAAGCCCCCAAACCCAGCCCCCCAACCCACTCGCACACAAGGAGCTGTCTCCTCCGGCCACCGGCCCGAGGCTTCGAACTCCAGCACTGTCTCAAACAGCGGACGCCACAGCTCCTGCGAGGCAACCGGACGAGGCAACCGCAACCGCAGGGGTTGGGGCTTGGGGAAGTTGGGGGGCTTGGGGGGCTTGGGGGGCTTGGGGGCTTGGGGGGCTTGGGGGGCTTGGGGGGCTTTGGGGGGCTTGGGGGGCTTGGGGGGGGGGCTTGGGGGGCTTCAGGGGGGGCTTGGGGGGCTTGGGGGGCTTGGGGCTTGGGGGCTTTGGGGGCTTGGGGGGCTTGGGGGCTTGGGGGGCTTGGGGGGCTTGGGGGGCTTGGGGGGCTTGGGGGGCTTGGGGGGCTTGGGGGGCTTGGGGGGCTTGGGGGGCTTGGGGGGCTTGGGGGGCTTGGGGGGCTTGGGGGGGCTTGGGGGGCTTGGGGGGCTTGGGGGGCTTGGGGGGCTTGGGGGGCTTGGGGGGCTTGGGGGGCTTGGGGGGCTTGGGGGGCTTGGGGGAGTTGGGTGTAAAGCGAATCGGACGATCTTGCAGCAAGGATGTGGTCACACTATCTCACTCGCGTGATACCATGTGTGAGTTATCCTGTGTCTTGAGCGAATGCATGAGTGCCAGGAAGCATGACAACTGCAACACGTTTGGGGACAAAGAATAATACCAAAGGGTTGCCTTCAGAACTTGACCGTAAATCGGCACACGGCCTAAGGATTCACGACAGAACGGAACTAAACCTAGTTCGTTCACTCCATGAAAACTTTAAGCTGCAATAAAGCCCATTGAAGGGTTTGGTAGCCGCTTGGGGCACTGCCTCCAAATCACGCCTTTGATATGTCGCCCAACCCATGAAAAGGATTGAAAAGGCACGATGTGATCACAAGGAGCAACAAGGTGCACTGGAGGCGCAGCATAGCATCTAGTGCGTCACAGGAACTTCGCTACAATTAAGAAATGAGGTCGCTGCCCGATTGATGTGGCTCTTCTGTGCTCATACCGGACCGCGCGTTTCTGCATGTTTGGCCCGAGTGAACAGAGCCCGTGCATTCGCTCTTGGGCCCCAATTGCAGTAAAGAAGAGCACCGCTACATGAAGGTGTGTGGGTTGCTGCGCCATCATCGAAAAACGCAAAAATGTCAACATCCCACGACTCCACCCCTTCTCAGTCATGCGTTCTGACTTTTCCGACACGCCTGAAGCACCCTGAAAAAAAATGAATTTTGTTGGGCCCCGCCGCCTGAACAAGTGTAAACACGGAAAACTCCAACGCAAAAGAACAACCAACTCCTCCCTCCCGAACTGCCCTCGAATTAGGGATGTCTCTAAGCCAAGGCTAAACCAACACTAAGGGGACGCGCAGAGATGTGATTTCCGACGAGCAGTTGTCGATGATTCGAATGAGCGGTCTATGAGGGTCTATTATGGCAACTTACGTAGGTTCTTGGAGGCTGGTTTTCTGGGTTACATGGCGGGTAAATGGATCCACAGAACGCTGTCTACCTCCCAAAGCGAAGCTCCGCTTCCATTTCCTCAAAAATTCACATGGCTTGCGATTCCTATGGCTTCGGCCTCAACCCTCCAGTGCCAAAACCGCATCTTCTCGCCTTCCATTTTCGCCTGGAGAAAATGAGGCAAACCATGTGCAGTGAAATCGATTCCCCGAACAAAAACTAAAAGGAGGAAATAACAAACATCTTAAGCAGATGACCCCAGCATGGCTGATTACCTATGCTGGCACCAGGAATCCCTTGGGATGGGAAGTGCAAAGAGATGTTCGACAATCTACTTGCCAAGTCGGTTGAACTTTACAAGGCTTTGCATGGGTGTGTCACATATGATCCCTCAATACGAGATTGTGGGGTGCTATAAAACCATGTTAAGGATTTAGCCTCCCATGATACATGTCCCCTTTACGCATACGCCACAGAGTCATACCATCTGAACCCACCCCCCCTGCACCCAATCTGGGGCCACCGGCTGCGTCGCTGCCCGATGGTGCCGGGGGCGCTAGCTGCGTGTGGACCGACATGTAACCTCGCTCGCTCGGAGGTTTGGAGCTTCTCAAGCTGGATTTCTTGGAGCTTTCTCAGATCTTTTGTTGCATGGCATGGTGCAAGATGGCCCAAGCGAAATCCAGGCCAGCCAAGATAAGCCCAACCTTTGAAGGGGGATACCCTCAAAAATGTATGTGTATATATATACACACTTAAACTTGGAGCAACTCTGTAACCTGAATAACTGATGCGCAAACCCGTGTGTGAATCAACCCGGCAATACAACGCTCTTTGCGCTGTCAATGGAATGTAGGCTCAATGCCTTGATGCATCCACATGTTGCAGATGTGCCAAGGCATGTTTACTTTCTCACTTCCCCCCCCCCCCAAACATTGCACGATCTAAGGGACAGACGAAAGACTGTAAGTTCAGATCCTCACCTTCAGTTTGCCTCATGAGGGGCTCTGTATGACGCTCGATCGCCCAAATGTCTTGGCAATAGGTGATCAGCTTTGGGGGCCTTCACGAAAAATGGCCGTGGGTCCAAAAAGGGTACCCCCAAAGTGGGATGCCCCATCGGCAAATGAAAGCAAGGACTAAAGCCTACAGTCCATTTCCTGCTGGCAAAAAATATTGACCCCACAGGCGGTTCAAGGGCGGACTCGTCCCGCCTTTTGATTTTGGGGTGTAGTCTTTGAGGTGTTGTTGTTGGGGGCTATTTTGAAGGAAAAGCAACGAGGAACTCCACATTTGGAGAAAAACCCAATCATCTAGTCCTCCCAACGGGCAAGGGCAAAACAGGAAGTTCAGACAAAAAACACACGTAGGGATTGACAACAGGATGGTCCTAGAGACTTGAGGAGAATCACCCCATACCAACGAAGAGTTCCCTTGGAATCCCAGACCAGGGCTCTAAACTAAGTTTTCCACTTTGGGCAAAGAGAAATCAGCGATTTTCGGGTGGGGGCTGATGTCTGCTGAAGCGACAGCCTGAAAAGGTGCCAACTCTAACAGGATCTAAGGGAAACCACGCAACAAGTTTTTGTGAACCACCAAAAGAAGTAGCGCTCAGATAAGTATGTGGTCTGGGTTTGATTGATACTTCACTCAATCAACTACCCATCGGTCACCTACTTCCCTATTGAATTCCGGTCACCACATGGCCCCAGTGAACGACAACCTCCCAAAAGAACCCCGCCCCCCAGCAGTGGTTGGGCTTGCCGAGTCGCTAAAGGCGCTGTCCACTGGATGCACCTCCTGAGGGGAGAGCACATGAGACAGGTTCATCATTGGTCTTGCCTGGTTTTTCAGTGATAGATGCAGCTCAAACCAAGTGACGTACGGCAGTGACGCCTTGCAAAAAAAAGTGATGGCCCTCCCAAAGGGTCACATGCTTCAAGTGAGTTGACAGTTCCAACTCTTTGACAGCGGCCCCAAAACGGGTGGCACTTTCGACTCACCCCTCCCAGGAAACCGAACCTGACACTTGCGGCCAGGTTCACAATAGCGGCACTTCGGACTTTCAGCTACCCGCAACCTGACTTTGCTTGCCAACAAATACCGGATGTGCCACAAGTGATGGGTGAAAGGGTTTTGAACTTCCAAGTATTTCCAGGCCTGTCCCACTTCAGTGTTTCCCCATCGCCCAGAGCTCTTTCCATTTCGCCACAACCAGTTCCAGATGATTTCGGCCAAGAGCAACGAAGGAGAAGGCCACATGCCTTTTTTGGAGGGCGGGTCCGCCTGGGAAATGCGCGGAGTGTGCTTGATTCCTCTTGTTTCCTGTCACTTCCCCCAGGAAAGCAGCAAGAGGGGAAGCTGGCCAGGGCTTGTCTCAAAATGGCTCCCAAATTCTTTGTGACCCGAAAGAAAACCACACCCAGTGGAAGCATCCGCTTGAGAAAAAGCGACACCGAAACGGATGCGAAAGCCATGAAACGCCAGGCTCCCGAATTCGGTTTCGGAGAGCCAACCGCCTGAACCTTACAAAACAAAATCCCGTACCCTCAGTGAACATCCCAACCCCCACTAAAATAGACTAAAATGGGTGGTGCTACCCCAAAATGGAATCCCATTCGTTTTGACACACAGCCATGTGGCCTTCAAGCCAAGAATCTAGAACCATCCGCTGTCTTCCTTGCTTGGCATTCCCACTGTATCAGATAGAGAGACTTCCCCAAAGCTACAGAAAGCAAGAGCCTGAAATCGCCAGGGTCCAAGCAGAGATACATCTTGTCCATTGGGCTTTGTGACCAAACCTCTTGCTGACACCGTCCAAAACGGGGCTGGCCTTCTTTGAGGGTACCCCTTTCCGGTGGGCTGCAAAGAAAAACCAACCGGAAAAAAAAAGAGGCTGGTTGCGTGGGTCTCCTGATTGTAAGACACTCCGAACCAACAAAAGACAGGTGTTTGTTGAACAAGAAAATGTTCTCAAACACTGGTCTTGCTGAAACGGTCGCGTCCAGGACCCAAACCGCGAGCCTTGATGGCCAGTGGCAAAGAACTAAGCTGGCAGAGGTGGGTGCGGAAGGTCTCGAAGGTCCCCCAGACCCGGCGCTCCTCACGAAAAAATAAATAAATAAAAAAATAACCAGCGAGTGGACGAGCAAATATCACAAAAGCTGCATATATATATATATATGTATATATATATATGTATGTGATGTATGCATATGTATACATACATACATATATAAGTACACAGGGCACCTTCAAATATACACACACCAAGCCAAAGGGAGACTAACGTTCAAAACATTGCGAGAAAAAACAACAACTGGAAAATCCGTAGTGGATTCGAAAAAAGAGGAGTGAAAAAAATCAAACAACTTTGGATGTTCTTATTCGTTCAACCCAGGGCTGCCCTCAGATCCCCCGCTAAAAGGTGACTAATTTTTAGTGACCTCAAATGGAAACTACCACTAAACAGTACAAGGCTAAAAGGCTAAGGAACTGGATGCCTGGGAGCCACCAAGAACCTACAGCGGGTAAGTTTTTTTGCAACCTGCCTTCTCGCCCAAGTTCTCCACAAAGCCCACCGGCCCGGACACCGCCTCTGACAAGGGGGACAAGTGCGGCGGCAAGTGCCGAGCCAGCAGGTGGTGCACAATCTGTGTCACCTCAGCGAGACATGGGGGGAAAATATCTGACCAACCCTGGAAGAAAACACATCCATGGGAACATCTATCTCACCAAGCCTGGGGGGAGAAAAAGCCAACTTGGGGAAGCCACCAGTTGAACGCTCAGGGTTTCGCCCTGGTTTCACCATGGGAGTTGGGCTTTGCAAATCTCCTTTCGCGCAAAGAACCGGATCTCGGCCGTTGGTTTCCCCGAATTTTCACGGCCCCCCGTTGTTTGGGGGGCGCCATGCTCCGAATTGCCTTTGTAAGTGAGAAAAGGAAACCATGTGATGCAACTGGGGGGTCCCCATTTGAGCTGAGCTCAAGATATATCGACACCTCGCCCAGCCCATTTCTCATTTCTGGGAACTTTCACATGCTTTATTGTTTTTTTAATCTAAAAAAAAGTCATGTGTGGCGCAAAAGCCTTTATATAGCGAAGCCAAGCCCATTTTGGAGGTGCATGAGACAGGGTTAACCTCAAAGCAAACCACAAGGTATTGAACATTGGCGGGGGTCAACCAACTTTCGAACCTCCATGGCCCTTCTCTTACTGATTGGCCGAATCGCTCGAATATAAACTCTGAAGCTGTGAATCCCTTCTGCCAGATTGTCTTTGTTGATAGGCCATTTAAGGGGGGAACACGCTTCAGAAGGAACATCAGGTTTCCGACAGGCGACCTCTACAAATGGCACGGCGCCTGAAAAACGCGGCCAGAAGACGGCACGGCTGGCGACAAACCTGTCAACCCAAGTTGGCTCAACCAAATTCCAGGGCAAGGACATTCAGTGGCCTCTGAACAAAAGGTTTTGGACAACCTGCTCTGGCATTTCAAAAGCAACTGCGAGATCCATTCCACAAACCCATCCTTCTCTTTGTGTGTTGCTTTTGGGCTCAGCGTCACCCTGGGACTCTAAAGACTCCCCTTTTTTCTTCACGCAACACCTTACCCGACCACAAAACCGAAATTCCCAGCCCAAAGAAACCGGAGTCGTTACTTTTTGGGAGAAGCTCTCCCCCCCCCTCGTCTGTTTGCTGTCTTCTGTTTCTTGGCCAGACTTAGCCAGAAAGGGCCTTTGAAAAGTTCAGCTCTTGGTGATTTCGTGGTTCGGTGGCTTGGTGGCTTGGTGGTTTTTTGGTTTCGTGGGTTGGTTGGTGGTTCCCATCCTTTTGCACGAGTTAAGTCTGGCATTCCTGGCGGGTCCCCCGAAAACAGCCACAGCCTTGCTCTGAGCCGTCCGAGCCAAGGTTCCACTGCAGGCTGCTTACGCGCTTCCACCGTCCGCCCGGGTGCGGGCTTCTTCCAGACCACACACTCCAAAATGCTTCCATCCTGGCGTCGGGTTTCCGAGGCCTAAACAAAAGACCCCCTTGGTTTGCCTCTCGCAACCATATTTTGTATACATATGTCGCAACCATATATTTTTACATATATATTTATATATATACACATATGTACATATACATGTAGCTTTAGGTGCTTCCATCCTCGCAGGGACATCTATGTTGGATTTCCCTGGCTTCGAACACGTCGGCTGTCGGCGCCCAGAGAAATGCCTGAAAGGTCACTGCCGCACAGTTCTCCGCCTGACCTGGAAGTGGAAGTCTAAAGACGAGCTTTTGGACCCTCAGATTCGGTTCTTCAGGCCTGGGCCAAACATGTCAGGCAAACTCGCTGTTTCGAGCGCCGCCTGAACCCAACATGACGCTTCTTGAGAGTGATGTCCGTGTGTTGCAAAATACGAAGCCCTACAAATGGGGGGGTGGTCCTTTGCGCCATCACCTAAAGGACCTGGGGAATACAAGGTTCGCCTCTTTGGGACCTTAACTACACAAGGGCCAAGGAGGCCCCAAAGGTCAAAAGGTCGATTCCCTCAGGGCCATCCTTTTCCAAATGTGTCGAGCCCTGTGTCTGTTCGGCCATTCCCACCAGTGAGCGGATTTTTAGACCTGCCACAAAGCAGTGTCCAAACCCTAAAAAGACGTGGTTCACCCATGTGGTTGGGAGGAGGCGAATTACAACAAACAGGTGTTTCAGACATCGCCCACAAGAAAAAACACAGAAAACAAGCTGGCACCTGAAAGGCAAATATGGGTCTCTCTCTCTCTCTCTCTCTCTCTCTTCAAATTGTGTGCCCTCAACACAGGAGTACCCTTTGTAAGCGAGCCTAAACGCGTGTACATCTGACGGCATACCACGACGGTCAGACTGCTCGGTTCCCCCAATGAAAATGAAGAAAATCACACCCATGAATTTGCCTTGAGGTGGAGGACCACAAAAAGTGGCGTTCCTCTCTCGAAGGTCCCTCGGTCCCGAAGGTCCCGGAGCCTTGAAGCGCCTCAGCTCCGAGGTCTCTTCCCCCCACAGGCGCCGGAAGGCTTGGGCCGCCTCCTCCTAAGCCGACGCTTAGGCCATGGACGCCGGCGCCGGAAGGCGCGGGTTGGGGTCCCTTTGGTGGCCCGGGGAAACCAAACCAAAACGGGGGTCCTCAGAAAAAAAAGGCACCCCCACGCCAATCTGTAAGGGTGCAGACATAGATGTATGCGTATGTGTGCATACCATACATGTGTGCTGTATGTGTGTTTGTGCGTTCCTGACTTCCTTCGTACAGGTGCAGCATGGGATTCCGGAGAGCCTGGTTGGGGGGAGCAACCCACAACTAAGAAGGGATTTAGAGCGTGGAATCCACTGAACAGTTATGTGATGCAGGCGGTTCTTCAAAAACGCAACTCGAAATCAAGAGTGACATTGGTCGGGCCTGTTCTCAAGCACTTCGTGTTTGCTTGCAGTCATGACCATTTCTAGGAACAACCTCCCCATTCTTTCCACAAATCCCAAGAGAACGGAAAACGGCTGTTGTGAAAGCGACGCTTGATTGCCCAAGCCAGGGGAAATAGGCGAAATAGAATGAGCTAATGAGCAGGGGGCCTTGAATCGTGAGACCAAGATGCGTTTGCTTGCCACCAAAAGGGGTTGGCCCACAAGAAACCCGCAAACGCAAAGTTTGTCTTGGACGCAGCCCGTTCAGATTTGAGCCAGGTCGCCAGTGGAAGCAATGAACCACCCTTCGGTTTAAGTCCTGGAAGCCTGAGATCCCTCCGCGCAAGCTGCCCCGTTGGCTTGATGTGATGGCTCCCGCACTCATGTTTATGGACTATTACAAGGAGGCATCCTCGTACATGTGTAGATGCATCCATGTATGCTTACATACGCACATCTACACACATATGTGTAAGTACATCGTGAGAGCCAAGCTGGTCATATCAAAGCGATCTATGTTTCCTCTGAGAATTTGGTCCCGGCCAAAAGTTGAGACCATGGCGACAGGCAAAGATTCACCAATTGACGCCTGAAACACCCGAACAGGCTACTAAGAAAGGACAGAGGCCCACCAAAATGGGCGAAAACGCATTCTCAGCCCACGCAAAGCAAAGATACCCTGGGCTTTAACGTCTTTCAAGAAACCTCAGTGACTCCTTAGGGCTGGCACGAATCGAAGGGGCCTTAAAAGCCAATCACGTCGGTGACGAAAGGCTGGACTGGCACCCAAGAAAGAAACTGCCAGGGTATAGGGCCGGAAATTGATTATTAGGGGACCGCAGGAACGCAAGACCGCAGGCTTTAGTCGCTTTTCATGTTGGGTACCTACCTCTGACCCACGCCCACCCTGCTTGCTAAAACTGCCCTCTGCTTGGTTGTTTCGATTGGTGGTTTGGTTGGACGCGTTCCCTGCTGGTATCAACAAACAAGGGTTCAAGTCGCAACACCAACCCAAACAACCAATCTGCCAATAGGCACAAAACACTACGCTCATACGTTCCGGGGGATAGGCAGGTACACCTACCCAAATGGCCCAAATGGCTATGAGGCTGTATAGGAAACGTCCGCCAAAGTAGAAAGTGAAAACAACTACCTCCCTATAAATTATGACGTCCACCAAACACAGTAGAGACTCCGCACCCTGCCAAAGCTTGTGAGGCCGGTTGAAAGGGAAACATATGGCAACATGGAAAGCCAAACCACCCCCAAGCAACTGGTATGTCCAAAATTCCCTTGGCACGGCAACCAAAAAGCTGTAACGGGTGGAAGAAGCCGTGTTCAAATAAGGTAAGCCTCGTTGCCTGAACTTTCAGGTGGCTTCCTGCAAGGTGAGTTGTTGTTAACCTAGAACCCACTTACAAGTCCCCCGTTCAGTGGTGTTAGCCTTGTTATTAGGGGGTGAAAAAACCCAAGTGGCGGTCCCCACTTACTAACCTGGCGAATCGACACCCAAGTCAGGATCGCGTTCTGTTTTTGTTCATCAAACATTTACAAGACACCAAACCAGAACAAACCGAAACAGATCCAAAACCATCACAGCCCAAAATCAGCACAGCAAATATCCCTGGACCCCATTCTTCCCTCCACCGGGAGAACCCGAAACACCCGACCGGCCCCCCCCCCCCCGCCCGATTCGGCGTCCTCCTGGGCGGAGGGCCCCCGATCGATGACCCGCTCCAAGTTCTCCGGAGCCAGCGCCAGGCCCAGCATCACCTCGATCGCGGCCCGCGAGGCTTCCGGGCGGTCGGACGGGTCGGACGGGTCGGACGGGTCGCCGTGGGCGACGGAGAACCCCCACGCTTGGTTGACGTGAGAAGGGGAGCAAAATCTAAGTCTTAGCAGATAAGCGGATTTGGATTTCAACCACTAAACCACAAGAAGCAAACATGCAAAATGTTTCCCAACAACAACCATGCACGGGGTATGGACAAAAAAAAACGTGTTTCGGAGGCTGCACCCGGTTTTGCCCTATGCTTGGCTCAAAAGGTTCCGGTGTTTCGAGGCTGGCCCCCCGTTTTGTTTTGGTGGGTTCATTGGAAAAAACAACTTGATTGAGTTCAAACCAAAAAGCTGAAGTTTCTTTTTTGAGGGTCCCCCGTTTTGGATGGTTTTAAAGGGAAACACCCATTGTGTAAAAAGACGTACCCAAATGGTTGGTTTATGACATGGTTGGGTTTGTCTCAAAATTATTAAACTCACTTCCGATCGAGTGGATTGGCAACAAAAAGCAACTGTTTGTTTACCACTAAAGTGGTCTAAACCCAAAAAGGTTGAAGTGCAGGAGAGGGTGTGTCCTAAAACCAGGGGGTCCTTTTGGTTTCCCGTCTCTCACCCCTAAATGGTTTGGTTGCCCTAGCCCAAACAAACCCAGAACCAAACTATGCTCCCCCATGCCTGTGGCTCCGCCCATGGATTTCGGGGTCGGGGACCTGCGGTTTTTTGTGGGTAAGGGGAAACCAAAGCACCACCGAAGCCCTTTGAAACCTACAAAGGGACCCTCACTCGTTGCTAAAGGATATGGGCAGGAATTGTCCTTGGATTTCCCCATGGATGACTTCCCTTGAATGCTCCCTGCTAAACAGCCCCAAAACAAACAGCCCAAAAAAGGACAACACCAAAAGGGTATGGTTTTTAATTGGGGACCTGTGGGACATCATGGTGGGGACTTGCTAAAAGGGGTCCACACAACCTCGCCCGAGTCAAATCCTGGTAGGGTTATCATCCCTGCCAAACCCAGTTGGCCCAGCTGTGTGTTTGCTTTTGCTTTTGGGGGGTTTGGAGAGAGACGTGTTCCCAGCATTTTCCAATGGAAGCGGACAGCAGGCCTTGAAATGATGGAAGTCTTCCAAAACCCTCCTGTGCACTTCCATCTTGGAAAGGGGATACAATCAAACCCAAGAAGCAACAAACCGGCTGCGCTTCAAAAAGACCGCCTTCTTTCCCGTTTGGCTATCAATTCGAGTAGGGAAGCGCTTCGAAAGTGGCTTGCGGACATTGATCCCCGCCGAACCTCACTTCCTGAGTGGGTTGGCCAAAAAACGTCCACACTTCTGATTTACCACGAAAAAGAGGGAGTGATTCTAAACGATGTCCACCAAACAAATCCCTAACTCGAGCTCATGCGCACAGGTCACATTTAAAAAAAAGGGCCTATAAAACCCATCTAAACCAGTGGAACCCATCTGTGGTCTAACCCAAACTAACCGATCCAAATAACACGGAGGCCGCCGAGGCACCGCTACACCCTCCGGGGCCACCTTCTGCCATCGAGGCCGCGGCTGGCCCATGAGTCGCCTCGATGCTTGGCGCGGCTGCAGAAGGCCCTGGTTTTACGTCTTTGTCTCCTTTTGGGTGGTTGGGGGCCCCAAACACGCTGCAAGCGCAAGCGCACCACTGCGGGGAAGGACTAAGATCGACCTGGAGGTGTGTTTGGGGTGGTAGGAGGTGCTTCCCCGACAAACCTTCGAGGGCTGCCGAGCTGCACGGCAGCGCGCACGCAGCGGTCCCCTAGCCCCGCCAGCATGGTGGTGCCTCAGGCAAACACCATGACGCTTGCTAGACTGCAAATGTTTATGCGCGAAGCAACACAAAACACTAGAAATGCGCCTTTTTGGTTGAGGTCGCAAGCCAAATCCTGCTGCGAGGTCACCCAGATTCTGGTGCTCTCATGTCAAAAAGAAGCAATTCGCGACCCTGGCCGGGTTTTTTCAGGGAATTAGACGATCGTTGACTGGGTCAAGCTGAAGACCGAGGTCAGGCCTTGCTCTAGCCCGCAAGTTGCAAAAGTTGGTTTCAAACCTCGGGGTTCCAAGTTCCAAGTCCTTGTGGTTTTCCCTTAAAACACCAACAAAAACAAGAAAAACATCCACATGGAATCCGAAAAATCCCCCCTACCTTAAGGGGAACTGGGGTGGGGGGTCCCCAACTCCATTTATTCAGTCTTCCCCATAAAAAGGGAAAATTGAACCATAAATAAAATTTGAGGGGTCACCCCCCTCCCCCAATTCCATTTTTGAGGGGGTGGGGATTCCGAAAACCTCTGCAAACATCGCCCTCGGAATCCTCCGGCCGAGCGCCCCACGCAGCAACTCCGCCAGCGCCATAGCTTCCGGCGCGTCGCCTGTGGCGCGATTTCGCGCAGGCTCCGTCCGATGTGTTTTTGCTTTAAGCATACGGCTGTGGCTCAAATAGATGTATCAAAACGGCTTGCGTGGTACTGCGTAACGCTAGCTCTTGAATTTTGAGCCACAGACATATTGGAAACAAATTAAGACGCTAGATGAAATGATATTCGCCTCGGCCCCCAGGGCCGAGAAGCGGTCAGACCTCTTCAGGATCTTCCCCACGCCATCTCCATTCCCTTCCACTCCAAAACCAGCCGTCCGAATCCCCAGACCGCCTGGTGGCCCTTGAAACCTATCAAATCCCCCCAAAAAACCGCAGAAACCGGTCAAACTCCCCTCGAGAAACCTGTCAAATCCCGTCAAATCCTTCCAGAAACTGGCACAATTCCCCAGACCAATCAGATTCCCTAGAAAATTTAACCTTCGCTTGGCCCGCCGTTCTGCAGCTCTCTGCGGCTCTGCGAGGCGGGCAATGCGAAGCATGAATTGAATTCAGTTCATATGCAACTCAAGGAGAATACTACACTAACTAAAATCGCAAAATTCATCCAAATTAAACAATTGTGGAGGGTACCCTTGTTAGGTAGGTTTGAAGGGAAACCAAAAGGAACACCGAAGCCCGTTTGGGGGTCCCCCGATTCTAATATTTCAGCCACGACGCAAGAGCAACATCAGCTACAATTGGCCCACAAAATTGTATTTCTTGCAAATAGAGTGAATGTCACATGAGCCACGGTGAAAACTTAATGTGCCACGGCAGATCTTGGTGCGACCCAAGAAGGGAGCTTCTTTCGCACCCCCTTATTTTCATTTAGGCTTCCGGCAGTACTGGCTTTTCCAAAAAGGTAAGGATTCTGTTGTTGAAGAGTTTTGCCAAAACAAACAAATACAGGCACACAGCCAACCAACCAACCAACCAACCAACCAACCAACCAACCAACAAACCAACCAACCAACCAACCAACCAACCAACCAACCAACCAACCAACCAACCAACCAACCAACCAAGCAACCAAGCAACCAAGCAACCAAGCAACCAAGCAACCAAGCAACCAAGCAACCAAGCAACCAAGCAACCAAGCAACCGAGCAACCGAGCAACCGACCGAGCAAGCAAGCAAGCAAGCAAGCCAGCCAGCCAAGCAAGCAAGCAAGCAAGCAAGCAAGCAAGCAAGCAAGCAACCAAGCAAGCAAGCAAGCAAGCAAGCAAGCAACCGAGCAACCGAGCAACCGAGCAACCGACCGAGCAAGCAAGCAAGCAAGCAAGCAAGCAAAGCAAGCAAGCAAGCAAGCAAGCAAGCAAGCAAGCAAGCAAGCAACCAAGCAAGCAAGCAAGCAAGGCAAGCAGGCAGGCAAGCAAGCAAGCAAGCAACCAAGCAAGCAAGCAACCAAGCAACCGACCGAGCAAGCAAGCAAGCAAGCAAGCAAGCAAGCCAGCCAGCCAGCCAAGCAAGCAAGCAAGCAAGCAAGCAAGAAAGCAACACAAACCAAAACAAAAACAAAAAACACATTCGGGCCATCCTTGCGCGTTCCACTTCCTTATATAATAGGCTATAACCATGGTGGTCTTGAGTGTTCCCTTCTCAGCTTGGCAAAACAAGACAAGAGGAGCCGACTATTTTGGCGGGGTCCAAATCTCTATTTTGACACATACGGTATGGGTCTAAACCTCATCATGCTGCAGCATCGAAGATCCGCGCAACATCATGCACCCCATAATCTGCAGTGTCTATTCTGTAAACTGTAAACTGCTGCATCTGCAATCTGCTACTCATTGGGGCATTGGCCTGGCTAGAATTGTTGATAACACAAGGTCCAAGGTGGGATTGTGTTTCTTGCCCTTTCTATGGTTGGTTCAAACCGCCAAACTAAAAGGAACACGGTAATTTGTGAGGTTCCCCGATTCCCCACATACCCTAGAGTTAGGAATAGCTCTCCACAAATTAGGAACAATTTAGAAATAGTTCCGTGTAATTTGGAAATAGTTCTGCAACATGGCAACCTCCCTCACAGAAAGCCAACATAAGGCCGATGCTACTCCCAACACATACCCAATTTGCTGATTCAGAGCCGGGGGAGCAATCGCCAAAAAGGGGCAATCGCTTACTTTGGGCCATACCAAATCCTTGGACAAAAGAAGCCAAACAAATGAACACGGGGATCCCATTTCTTGGCTACAGGCTAGGCCTTGGGAGATCAAGCGCTGGGAAGTCTACCTTGGAGTCAGAGTCAGAGAGGTTCCCTGAATTGGTTCACGCCTTGGTGCCATGAATGGTGTCCAAGAAGGCATGTTGTCGCTTTGGGGCTCGATTCGTGAATCAGGCTTCATAATGATAATACATGGCATGGGGATGGGTTTGCCATTTTAGCCTTGTTTTGATCTAAGTGGTCAAATAGCTCTGGTAACAACTGGCTGTCACTAAATAGGCCTTGACGTTTAGCTCTCTGATAGACAAACAGCCCTGAAACTCGCTATTCTAGGGGTACCTTCCCCATTCTTTCCAGGGATCCTTCTTTCTAGAAAACCTCCGGAAACCCAGGGAAATCGGCCGGTTTTTGGAACGATGCTTGAAAAGAATGGGGAATCAAACCCCAGAGCTATGTCCAATCGCACACGGCCCTTTTCCTAAGTAGCGCCAACGAACTGCGCTGTGCTCGCCCCGGTTTTGGGCGGCCAAGTTGCTGGGCACTGCGCTGGCGCCGCTGGCGCTGCTGGAGTCTGTCCTGTGAAGGGTTGGGTGTTCCCTCGGGTGATTCATGGTCCTAGCCTCGTGGTAGAGGAAGCTGTTCTTGGGGATTTATGGTTTCAGGAGCGTTGCAAGACCCCAAGAAAAAAAAGAGGATTACAATCCCGAAAAGAACAGCTCTGAAAAAGACCAACCTTCAAGGGGTATGAATGCCAATGCAGACCTTTGGTGGACATCATTTACGTGGGGGTTCATGTCCACCATGTTTTTGAGGTTGTCCCGATCAAACTCGTGCCCACATCGGTGTCTGTTTGAGGCAATCCTTTTTCGGGTGGTTGTCAAGGCACACCAAAGGAAAGTATTGAGACAACCTCATATTTGGATGAATATGGATGCCGTTGAGGATACAAGTCTGGAGAACAGGTAAACGGATGCCATGGGATTTGTCATAGCATTCTACTGGGCTTAAAGTGACAGCCTCAAAAGCGCCCTTTTGATGATGGTAAAGACTGAAGGCTTTGCAGGTTGGCTGCCCGTCTGAGCCTAGGTGCATAGCCGTACAAAGGAATCCATCCCAACAGAGCTGCCAAGGAGCAAACCAAGCCGGCATCCTGCAAAGCCAGATTAAACATCACCTAAACGGAAGCTCATGTCAAACATGGCCCCCCAAAAGAATGCGCTTGCAGAGATTCTTCTTGAACCGCCACCCCACGGAGAAAACACAAAACTGGGCTGTCCTCAGCTCCCGCGCTAAAACTTTAACTTGTGGCTGAACTTCGGAATTTCCAGCCACCAAACACAAACAAAAACTAAATCTAAAGAACCGGATGGCTGGGAGCCACCAAGAAAAAGGAATTATGCCGCTGGTTTGGGACCCCGTCCCCTCGCCCCTCGCTTTCCCCGCCTGAGATCGGGGCACAGGCACGTGCCGCCCAGCTGCGGCGTTCGCAGGACCAGATCCTCACGGATCGGGGGCATCGAGTGGCTCAATGGCCGGAAAGGGATTCCCTGAAAGGAAACCACAGGTTGGATGGTTACTTCCATTTGCTTAAGCCCCGGAAAAAATGCAAATACTTCCAATAGTGATAGATTCCCAATTAAACCAACAGGGGAAAATAACAAATATTCTTAAGCAAATAAACTGTTGTTGCTGTTGACCCCTCTGCAAAAAGTTGACCACTTGTTGTGGGTTTAGTGGAAAACCTCTTCATTTCCCAAAAAGTTAAAGTCTAAAGATCCAACCCAATAGCAGACAAGGAAAACACAGGTTGGATGGTTCGGGGGCATTCCCTCATTCTCCGCTGAGAACCAGCAAGTAAAACTTTTATTTGAGGTCTTGCGCACTTTCCATCGAGTGGGTTGGCCAGACACGTCTGAACTTCGTGCTTCCCACTAACTCGGTCTTCCCAAAAAGCACTTCACGTCCAGGCACTCGAGTGAGGGTGACGCTGAGATTGCTTTGGCTGCTTTGGGTTTGATTTGGGTCTAGGCTTCTCTTGGCTTCGCTACAAAATCATGAAAATGCCATTTCCATTTCTTCCTCGCATGCCCCCTGTCCTTTTGGGATGCCTTACCTTTGCTTGCCAGTGAAAAATTGTCGGGACAATCCACGAGTGCCTGGCGGATAATCAGTGCCGAGTTGAAGGTAACCTTTGTTGATATTTATGAAGTGTGATCCAACTGGCAATCTCTCCCACATACACAGACGCAGACGCAGGTGCAGACACAGACAAACAGACACGCAGACACGCAGACACGCAAACACGCAAACACGCAAACACGCAGACCTGCAGACACGCAGACCCGCAGACACGCAGACACGCAGACACGCAGGCAGCTGCTCAATCTGAACAAACAGGTGAGATCTGACCCTGGTATGACAATGAAAGGGCATTCCTTGTGAGGGTTATTATCCCAAGCATGTGCTTATACGGTGTTTGACATTGTCCGAAACAGGCATGCGTATGCGCCGGAACCGCGAAACCCTGAGGTCAGAGGACTCGGGGAAACGATCTGAGAGCCGGGAAGCGCCGCTGAAGGGGAGTGAAACTGAAACCTCCCCGTGTGCTTAAGGGTCCAACCCTGTTTGCTGGGAAAGGCCCAACCCGAAATCCTGATCTCGTCAAGTGTGCAACTAAATCCCACCACACATCTGTAAAACGAACAACCTGCCATTTCATTCATACAGATGCCAGCTGATTTGTCACGAACACATCCCCCCCGAACTTCCCTCGCCACTTGCCAAGTTGCCCAGGCAAGCTCCGGCGCGGCATCCCGGCCGAAGACGGCATCGAAGGGGTCGGCCTTCGTGCGTGTCGCGTGCCGAAACGAAACCCGTTCTTCGGGCCCCAGTGACCCGCCTTCGGCAAACCCTCCAGTCGGAGTGGTTGCAAAGGGAAACCAACAGGAAACTCAGGAAACTTTCAAATTCAACGGGAAACCAACAGGAAACTGAACATTTTTGGGGGGAGACGTTTAAGACAGCACCATATCGGCTTGCTTCCCTCCAGTTGGCTATGGGAGGATCCAAATCCAAACCACCGGGCTCCAAACCAGCTGATTTCTCTGACAGTAACCCTCATGGGTTGTCTCCAAAACTCAGAGGCCCAACCCCCCCCCCGACCCTCAGCCGGGAGATATCCCTTTGTGGTAGTTCATGTGAATCTAAGAACGGTTGTCCCTACCAAAACAACCAGGCGTGCCTGCAAACATGTCGGTGGTTCTGTCCATAGCACATAGCCCATACCCCATACCCCGTCCTTCCAGTACATACGACTCACCGCGTCTTTGAAGGAACTCAAAGTTGCTTGGAATTATGTTTGAACCAGGGCTTGAAACGCCCATACTTGGGCCTAAAGAATTAGAATGGCGTTCCAAAAGAGAACGTCCCCTAAAAACCTAGACTAAGCCCAGGTGGTATCAGCCCCGGCACTCCTGGAACACTCCTTTTGAACCCTCCCTGAAAGCTGCCCCAAACCACCCCGAACGAGCCTATCTGGGCTTTTAGACCCCATAGCTTGCTGGGGAAACAGATACACCGATACACCCCTCTGCCCTGTTTTGGGGGGGGGAAGTCGGAAGAGAATCACATCAACTCCGCCCGCATCTCTTGCGACGCGAGCTTCGAGAGCGCTCGAAACGGAGATCTTCCAGCCTGGGCGTCTAAGATCCGGAGCGCCCGTTGGGCCTCCCAGCAAAGCTCCTGTCGGGTGCTGGGTGAGCTCCGTTTTTGTTTGTTCTTCTTATGTTGTCGTTGTTTTTTTTGTCTTTGTTTTTTTTTTTTTTTAACGTTATTTTCTTTTTCTGGGGCTTAGCCAGGGGTTATATAGTTGTTGTGTCGGAAGCTAACAGGAGCTCGGAGCCCGGGGATTGATTCGCTGTATTCGTCACGGTTTTGAAACCTGCCAGCCAAAGCTTTCAAAGCCTGCCAGTGGCCGGGTACAATGTGAAAACAAATGAATGTTGAACCATTTCGGGGAATGCTTGGGCTCCCTTATGTTTTCCCTTCAAAACCAAGACAAAGAAGGTGGGCAAACTTAAAAATGCCCATGTTTCTTGGAGGGGAGAAGGTTCTCCCAAAAGGTTGTGGCGGCTTAAATTGGCGACCAAGCTCTATGGTGAAGAAGCTTGGCAGCAAAAAGTGACTAGAGTTTGGAAACTGAATAGGTCAGCCCATGTGTCAAAATAGGGACACCCCCAAAGGAATGACTCTCCTTTTGGTTCCCCTTTGGGGCGGGTATCCTCAAAAAAGTTTCGTAGACCAGGTGGACATGAATCCCCAACATCCACCAAAGGGTCCCGGGGCCATTAAAATTCATGACCACGTCTACCCCTTATAATGAAATCTGGGCTGTTCCCAGATCCCCTACTAAAGTGTAACCTTTAGTGTTTTAGTGGAAGCTCTACCACAAAAAACGAACTCAACACCTTGAAAAAAAAAACCTAAGGGAATGGCTGGAAACCACCAAGTCACATGGTGGGTTATTGTTTGCATCTTTGTTCCGTTAACCCCCCTACCTGCAGCTCGGATGCTCAAGGGCGACAACCACTTGCCCACCTCCCCTGGCGCCTCGATCACCGGGCCCAGACGCCAGAAGAAGTTCAAGGCACCCGCCTGTCCAGTGAAACCTCCAGTGAGTTACCGCCAAGGGCTAAGTTGAAACAAAGTGGTTTTGAACCACCAAAGCATGATGAGTGCGGCTTTGAACCAAAGTGGTCTTGAACAATCTTGAAAAGAAACCTGGGACCCGGAAAAGAACTTTTTTTTAAAAAAATAAATAAAAAAAAAGTGGGTGGCAAACACACCCCAGCACCAAAAACAGGACACCCCCGAAAGTGCAGAAAAGGAAAAAGCGCGCCGCGTCGTTTTCTCGCAACCTTGTTTACACCATTGGTTTGAACCGCCCTTAGGTGTTTCAACAGCCATTGGGCTTCCTTTAAAGACCACCAGGTTCAATGTGCCGAACCTGTAGGGCCAGGGAAGAAGTGTTTTCTTCCATCCATTGATAATCGCCACGGTGTCAGAGAAAACTACGCCTTGGGTTGTTTGTCTTCCTGACTTGTTTTGTTTGATCTCCCTTATCCCCTTGTCCCAAGTCGCTGGATTCTTCGAAATAATTTGTGAACCTTGACATGCAACAATGAGTGCTTGCGGGGTATTCCATGCGGGTCTGTCGCACCTTTGGGCGCAAGGCGAAGAAGCCGCTTTTCGGGAGCACTTCAAACAGCTGCCTTCATTCTGGTTTCCGTCTCAAGGAACTAGCAGTCTGCAAAGCACTTGAGGGATACCCTTTCGAATCAAGCCTTTTCCAGGGTTCCCCAAACCAAATAGCAACCCCAAAGATGCTCACATGTTGGAACCAGACGTGGCTGTCTTTAAAAGGAGCCAAAAGGTGGCAGTTTGTTCCGACACCATGGCCACAAGACCGCTCTTCCTTGTTGATTTACGCCGAAGACCCCTGAAACCCAGCCGAATCCATCATGGCATGGAACATCCAAGAAGCTGGCAGGAAATTCCGTAGGACACTGGGCCTGTTGCAAATGCTACAAGGGTCTCTCAGCGAATTTGCCATGGAAGTTCCTCTCGTTGGATGTTCATGAGGTATTCCCCTACATGTTTTTTCATGGAACCCAAAACAGGGGTCCATGTCCTAAAAGGAGCTGCTCCTAAGAATAATAGTTGCTTGGACTTCATGTCGATCTGTAGGAGGTTTAATGAGGTAATCGCAAAGATCGCCAAATAGATCCAAACTTCTTGTTGGATCCACCAAAGACCAGCCATGACCTTCGAGCACACCCCCTTGTGTAAACATGGTCAGCGTCCGTTTGCAAGGAACTCCGAACGTGTACCCACGAACCCAGCACCCATTTATTGATTTATACATACATACATACATACATACATATATATATATATATATCATATGATAGATGCGTGTGTCGCTTTTGGGGGTACCTCTTCGTGTACACGGAAACCAACCGTGAATCGTACATCCGCAGGTTTCCATTTTGGTGTCCCGGTCCGGAACCAAAACCGAACTCGAAGGCCCAGCAAAAAACCCGGCCGCGTCGTAGAAGTGGGCCGCACAGACCTCTTGCTCCATCTTGGACAGAGCCACCGGCGTCGTCGTGCCGTAGATCACCTACGGTGATAGGGCTGGCATGGGGTTGGTCTAAACGACACATGAAAATGCCCCAACCAAAGATCGTAGAGGCTTATTGGAGCTGGCAGAGCTCAAAGGGACACTTTGGGGAACTAGAACGGTGGGAATCTAGACATCCGCAACTATATGATGAAATGATGGTTGGAGGCCAGGATAAGTCACATATGGATTCATTGTGAACTTAGGCAGGGTTCGTCATTCGAGCCGTTCCTAAGTGTTCCCGAAAGATGATCAGCATGCCCCGTTTTGGGTAGAACATTGGTTTGATCAGCTTGAAGTTACAAAAACTTGGAAGCTCTCACAAACTCCACACCGTCTCTAGCCGTGATTGTTTCGCTTGTTTCAGGGTATTGAGCAGACGGGCAGCCACCACGACTCCTTCAACGGATCGGCTCCCGATTGCACAGGACCATCGTGCTTGCATCCGAAAGGAACCCACAAATGGTCCAAACCCATTCTGTGACTAAAGTCCCAGAACTCAGGGAGTGAGAGGTCGCCTTCAAATCTCTAAATGACTTGCTTACTCTCAATAGTTCCAACTTCACCTCCGTTGCAAGCTGAGAACCGGGTGCAACACTGGGGGAAACAAGGACAACTCTTCGAAGATTCCCCCCAAATGTTCAAATCTTCAGACGAAGCCACTCAAGTGTCATTCCGTTTCCTCCATCAAAGCTTCGCATGAATGCCAATGCTTCTACTAGGGAACCCCTCAAACATACTGGACATAGCCTCCCATTGTACATTCGATGTCCACCAAAAGGTCCTCCATGAGACGCTGCCCGGAATGGCGCCTTTTCACAGGCTGTCGACATTGGAGTCTTGGCTCAGCCCAGCGTGCAGGCTGTCCAGTTCTTTCATTGCCCGCTCTTGGGGCGAAGTACAGCAAGGGGCAACACTATGCGCAAGTGACAACGTCGATTCAATCGGTTTGCTGAGTTCATACACTAGCTTGCCTCGAGTGGACAAAGATTCGGTCATGTGTTTCCTTGTAAGGAAGATCCAGCAACGCGTTGTCAATTGCTCAGTGGCAGCTTGCAAGGATGGGCGGGATGGGCGGGTGGGAAAAACCTGCAAAACAATGGGATCCTTTGACTCTTTCGCATGAATGATTGTGTCAGCAACTGACATGGTGCGAGTCTGGTCACCAAATATTCCGGTTCTTCACTACCGCTGTGGGGATCCCCGCTATTTGCACCATGACAGCTGTCAAAAGGCTCCTATTGAGGAGGGCACACAAGCTTGTCAGCGTGGCAACATCTGGGTGCCATGTCCCGACCTACAAGTGTGGTCAGCTTGGAACTACAACCAGCGCCATCTTTGTCAACCAGGCTCACCTAAAAAGGACACCTATTGCTACATGCAGAAACCCGAATTGAAACAGCTGGTAATTTGTTTGTTCACAGGGCAAATGTATCCTCGAAGCAACGCTGATTGAAAGAGAGCCCGTCAACACTTCCCATTAGGGTCAACTCGTTCCGCCAGTCCTTGCTGCCTGACATATGCCCAAGAGACCGGCCTGAGCGTTCTTTGAGCTCAGTGTCTGCCTTCTTTTAAAAGAAATCTGCATGTCTGAGCCCATGATGGTAGCCTTCCCTTCAAAGAATAGCAGTACCGTCCGTGGACAACATCCTGCACTGCCCGCACCCGATTTTCTGGAATGCCTCAAGCTAGGCCGATCCCCCCCGCAGAACAACTCACAGCACTGCGGCTTTGCTTTTGGTTGTCCTTTTGAAGCCCCAAAGTGACTGGTATCTATAGCGGCTGCTTGGAAAATCGTGGGGTTTGGCGCGCCAGCGAACAAGCACAGTCTTGTTCGGAAATCCAGCTCCACGTGTGTGTCTCAGGGGGTTCTCCACCAAAGTGCGATGGCCTTCCTTCCTGGATCCAGCATGTCAAAGATCAAAGTGGACAAGGCCACTATGTGCCATTCACACATAAGATGTATACTATCCAAATTCAAAAAGCACCAGTCGCACGGTGTGCGACGTCGCAGACGTTTCGCGAATCACAAAAAGGCGCCTCCAAGAGCTTGCGGTTGAGTTGTGCTTGTGTTCAGCTACCAAATAAATAGCCTCCCAACCAATCACAAAGAGACGCGTTTCGGGTTTCAGCCACTTTCCCGTTTCTCTAGTCATCCCATGTTCGGAACTTTTAATCAACCGTCTCGCTAGGAGGTCATATTCGCCAGCGTGGACACCCAGTCGAACCACTTGGATTGCTCCACGTCCAGCTGTACTTCCACATCCTCCAGGTGCATCTGAGCCACGGCTTCCTCGCCGCAAAGAACAAGTGCCAACCCATCGGCCCATCCAACGCACAAGACTTCATGAGCTGAGGGTTACTTCTCATCTTCGCTCTTTCTAATTGTGGCTTCAAGCAACACAGCGACCCGAAAAGGACAGGTTTCGCGTTTTTTGGCCCCCTTAAAAGATAGGGGGAACCAGTGGGGGAACCCATGCTAAAGGCCAAGTTTGCAGTCTGCCTCAAGCCACCCAATGTGGTTTTGTTTAACCTCGGGACCTGCAAAATCGGCACCCCCCCCGACACAAAAATATGAAACCGGTTTTGATATGGGTGGCTCGTCGGCTTTTCAGTTGGTACACCCTTCTTTGTGGTAGAGGGAAACCGAAGAAGCGAGGGATCAACCTTAAAGACGAGCCACCCATGTTAGCTTGGCTATGCCTGAAAACGGCTGGACTTTGCTGCTCTGTGACCGCATTCTCACCAAGGATATTTAACCCCTGCACACAAAAAAAACGTTGATTTTGCAGCCCCTTACTAAAAATGGACAGAACCAAATTACGCCAGCATAGACTCCAAATAGCGGAAAAACACGCCGACGAGTGCACACCAGCACCTCCAACAGCACCCCTCGAAAGGCACCCCAAACAGCACCCTGCAGTCAATCTCGCAAAGATGCGCCCGCACCGTCACCCCGAACAGCACCCCGTCGCGAAAATGCGCCCGAACCGTCGCCAGCATCTCAAACAGCACCCCACACAGCATCCCAAAACACCACATGCACCAGCACGCCAAACTGCATGCCCCCTAGCACCCTGCCTGGGAAAGTGATTTGCGAAATTGATGAGCTGGTGCTAGGGGCCGTTCAGTTTGGGGAGCTGGTGTAGGTGCTGCTTTGGGGTTCTGTTTGGGTCGCTGTTTGAGGCGCTGGTGAGATTGATGGCTGGGTGCTAGTGGGCGCAGGTGACGGTACAGGCGCATGTTTGCAAGATTGATGGCAGGGTAGTAGGGGGCATGCAGTTTGGCGTTCTGGTGCATGTGGTGTTTTGGGATGCTTTTTGGGGTGCTGTTTGGGGCGCTGTTTGAGGCGCTGGTGATTGACGGCTGGGTGCTAGCGGGCACGTCAGCAAGGACCGAAATATAAGATATATAAAAACTTGATCCAACAACAGTGAAGACACATTTCCGACCCCCAGAACGACGAGACCAAAAATCGGACCTTCCCCGACCTACCCGACGAAAGACGAGCTTCATTGCTTCATGAGCTTCCATGCGGTGGGCATGAGCGAGAGCAAGAACGAGGCCAGCCACCCGTTCCGCACCTCGGGTCAAAAGAAAGCAATCGGGCTTGTCTTTTTGTTGATACCTGTTTTTTTGGGCGGTTCTTAAGGCAAAGCGAGGGGAAACCGATTTGTCCACCCTTTAAAAGAAAACTGAACACTGGGCTTCGGTGGTTCCCCGAATGTTGGATGAACACTGAACACAGGAGACAACTCCAAGGCTTCCTTATCCCAAGCAAGGGCTTCAAGGCAACATCGCAAGATCTGGGAATTTGTCGAAGCTGAAACAGGCCAGAAGAAATTGTTCGCGGCCGAAACGGTCTCGACCCCGAACCAAAAATCGATTTTGTTTTCTCTCTTTCTTGAGGGCACCCTTTTTGGGGTCTCACTTCCTGGGTTGGCCAAAAAAGTCCAAGCTTGGTACACGTCATATCGCCATTTGACCTTCCCAAGTATGCGGGGAGTGGGTGCTTAGGGAACTCCCAAGGGAATCCGCTTGTTGTGGTGGCTCCCATACAAAGACGCATATGGCTGTGTGTCTTCTTCTTTTCTTTTTGGGGGAGGGGACCCCTGTTTTGTGGGCTTATGAAAGGAAAACCAAAAAGACAACCGCCGGGTCCGAGATTTTTTTAAAACAAGGAGGACCACACCCTATGCCTCCATCCCCACGTGGAGCCTGCGCGGTGATCGTCATCCCGAAGATCCGCTGCTGATCATCGAAGGCATCCACCTTGATCAAAACGGGACGACGATGTGATTCTACGAATTGCAATGTCCAGAAGAACAGTTCATTCGATCGCCACAGAACTCCGTGGTCAACGTAGCACCCCCTGAAAGCTGAACTAAGAATTCGACTTTTCAGGCAAAGGACCTTCATGGTGAACGAGTTCCCCCCTCCCCCAGGTGAGTTCGCTAGAAGATGGGCGGATAGTTTTGCACCATCCATCACCTTTCTCGGAAAGGGGCAAGAACAGCAGTTCCAAAAAGCGAATGAACAGACTTCCCATGACACAGGCGCACGAACTGCCTGACGAGCCCGCGCGTGCCGCCGGCAGCCCTGGTTGGTCGCGCACTTGGCTTTAGCGGGCCCGCGGCTCTTGGGGCGACTTGCCCTAGTAGGGGAACACGTGCCGGGTTGCTGCAGGCGCGCGAGCTTCAAATGGACACTGCGCGCGGGCTCCAAGGAGCTGCGGCACGTCATCGTTGCGGCCCCCTGCGGAGCCATCGCGCTTGAGGAAACCGCAGGAGCTGCTCGTCGTCGACCACTTCTTGGAATCCTCCCCCCTTGACGCAAGCGACCGCCTGACGGCGATCGCCGGTGTAGCAAATCGTCCCTGCCGCCGCCTTGGGAATAGCCTTTGTTTTTCGCGCTCGACGACGCTGCCGGCAGGCGGCGCAGCACACTTGAACTTGCGAGCCTCGCCCTTCTCGCGCTCCCCCTTCTTGAGAGCAAAGCAC